TATTTTATAGGCTGTAGGAGAAGGGAAAATGCAATTCTGAGCCTTGCATCTGCCTATAGGGAACCCAAATGGCATATGACGCCTTTACTTCGTAATAACATTCATAAACGAGTCCGATCATTGCTCTTCTTCATGGTTAAGCGGGCCCCTTCCCGTCCCGTCAAGTTGACTATAGAAATTTACTGCTCTAATGAAAACCGGGAACATGCCCAATATTACAAGTTAATATGTCGATTTTTCCAAAAGTTAGAGTACGCACAAGCGTTTTGTGCGAAAAACCGAACAATTACGATATCTTGGAAATTTTGCCTGAACGGGTATGCATATCTTGATCGATTAAAATAGAGGACATTGAGACGAATATTTTGAAACAAAAATTATTGAAATCGGTTAGACAGTTTTCGAAAAATTTGCAAAAAACGATTTAGAAACGAATGGAGATTTCTCCAAAACTGCTGGCCCGATTGAGCAGCACCTTAGTACAGAATCCTTATTCATACCTATATCCTGACAAAATTTAAAAAATTTGGAAATCGATTGCTCCTTCAATTCTTCGATTTTCTAACAGTTGACTACCAGAGGTGGACAGTCGCTCACACACGCATGGCCGTAAAACTTTGGATTTTTACGTTTTAGACCATTTTACATCATTTCCAAGCAAAATTCGAAAATTAAAAAATAGAATCATTTCAGTGCTTTCATGAAATGAAATAAAATTTGTTGAAATCGCGTCGGTCATTCTCGAGATATTGACGGTTGAATAATGTCAACTTTCAGTTGTAATTTTATTGACTCACCGGGCGTTGAAATCCTCATCTAGACGTCGATATGCTCTCCAATGCCTCCAGAAGGTCGTCCCCGTGAAAATCACTTGCACTAAACACTTTTGAAATTAAAAACCGCACTAACATGACTGAAACTGCCATCTTACGTATTTATACACACATCGACGAAGAAATTCCCGAGAGCACTTTATCACTTTATTAACAAAAGAAAACATCATCACAATTCACAACACTAACATTCTAATAAATTCCTGTGTCCACTGGTTTCACTCATCAACTATGTTTATCACGTTTTGAATTTTTTAAAGAGTCATTGAATCTATCAAAATGTCCACCACAAACCCTCGATTTGTCCAGGATTGCTTCCAGGCGTCATCTCGTGGTGTCACAAATACGTCGGTCACATGGAGATCCCAGATTTTCACCATTCGAGACATTCATATCTTTTTAAGTTTCGTAATTTATCGAAGTATGCAACCATTGCCTTGTACCATTGTGCCTGTCCATTATTATTATTAATTAATTAATTATCAGATTGTTAATTAATTTCGGCGATTTTACGAGTAATTTCTTCGACAATACTGCGGTGCGGTCATCGCCAAGGAACATCAGGGCAGCCACTTTTAATCTGCGCAGAGACGTTGCGCAGACGTTTTTATTGTTTTCTCGTGGGTATTTCTGTTTTTACGTTTTAAAAGCCGCAATTCATCGTATTAATCGTTGATTTGATGATCAAATTATTATTCTCCATTATTATAAACTAATTACAGCTTTTTAAAGTGTTATTTTAATGATTTTACCCTTGATTTCGGATAAAATCCGGAGACGAACGCCGAAGTCTCGAGACTAGTCGGCCATTTTTGTTGGGCGCAGAGATGTTGCGCAGAGATTTTTTCCATTCTCTCCTGGCAATTTTTGTTTTTACGTTCCAATACCCGCAATTCATCGGAATAATTGTTGATTTCATGACCAAACTATTGTTGTCCATTGTTGTCAACTAATTATAGCATTTTTAAGAATTATTTTAATGATTTTACCCTTGATTTCGGATAAAATCCGGAGACGAACACCAGAGCCTCGAGACTAGTCGGCCATTTTTGTTGGGCGCAGAGATGTTGCGCAGAGATTTTTTCCATTCTCTCCTGGCAATTTTTGTTTTTACGTTCCAATACCCGCAATTCATCGGAATAATTGTTGATTTCATGACCAAACTATTGTTGTCCATTGTTGTCAACTAATTATAGCATTTTTAAGATTTATTTTAATGATTTTACCCTTGATTTCGGATGAAATCCGGAGACGAACGCCAAAGCCTCGAGACTAGTCGGCCATTTTTTATGTGAGCAGAGATTTTTCCCATTCTCGCCTGGCAATTTTTGTTTTTACATTCTAACACCCGCAATTCATCGGAATAATCGTTGATTTGATGATCAAATTATTATTATCCCGTATTATCAACTAATTATAGCATTTTTAAGAATTATTTCAACGATTTTACCCTTAATTTTCGAATAAAATCCGGAGACGAACGGCAAAGCCTCAGGATTTGTTAGCCATTTTTGATGTGCGCAAAGATGTTGCGCAAGGATTTTCCCGCTTACTCATGGGGTGGAGAGGTCTTTTGAACAATTTCAGACGGACACATTCTGTTTTGGACAAGTTCTCTAGGAAAAATGGGGACAGATTTAAATCTACATGGGAAGTTCTTTTCTGTTTATAGATAATGATCATCAACTTTTTTTAGCTATATTATGCTCTATTTTACTTACCTTTAACTTTTCTTCAAAAAGGGATGTCCAATGACCTGCTAACGAATTACAAACAATTCTATAGGGTCATTTGTTTGAAGATAGTTTTTTGTCGGCTAATAAGATACTGCTGGGGAGTCCCAATCCCACGAAAACGTCCCTTCCCCTCCCCCTCCCCCTTGCAGTCTACACAGGTTTTGTTTTTATTAGTATGGAAAGAATAACAAAAAAATGGCACCAGATGAACAGTGCAATATGGCACCATCTACACGTCTTTTGTAACAATATGTACAAAATTTGTAGACCTATCTGTTTTATCCACCTTAGATAACTACTTCAATATTATTGATAAATTTCTGTCCTAGTTTTTTCATCAGTGAGTGTTATAAGGATCTCAACGCAGCATGAAGGATTCAATTTAGAGAATCTTCTGAGATCTTTGAGAAAGGGTCCCTTTTAAGCTTCGCAAAGAGCACATTCGAAGATGTGATTTGGTATTTCAGCGTTCACTTCACAGGGACATACGTCCGAGGGGACAATATTAAATCTCAGAGACTATTTCGAGTAGAATTATGATTACATCCAAGTCTATTGACAGTCATAGTTTTCCTGCTCAGTTTCAGTTCCTCGAAACAAAGGTTTTCTGGACCCTGAGTAATAGTGTTTGAAATCATCTTTTCGTCTTGTTGAAGACAGGTATATCTTCAACTGACGGGCAACTGCTGCCACCGTCTCAGCAGTTGTGAAAGTTCCCGAGTATCTTGGGATTTATATATCGCACGAGTTTCGCACCCGCGATCTGTTTGTTTTCCACCGACCGCCGAGGTTTTCACATGTCAATTGATTCAGTATCCTTCCCTCGCGCTCCTGTGAACGCACAATCGAGGCGAACGCATCTCGTTAATTTATCGCAACCAAAGTAATCGTTGAGTTCTTATTTTAATGATTTGTAAATTACACAATCACATTTTTAATTACGATTTTTCAAACGGAGGGAGTAACAATGGGGATAAATCAGTCGAAAAATTCAAAGGTCTTGTGCCAGGCGCCACCCGCTGGAACTTTTTTCATGTGAGTTTGTATTTTCTTTTATTCAAACTGCGTTGACCGCATTCTCTTCCTCATTTACGGTCGGGAAATGACAGTTCTTAGCGGATACATTAGCGCGATATTTAAAGTCCGCAGTTGACAGTTCTGGACAACTAATAACAATCACGACCTCGCGAATGTATAATTAGTCGTAATTAGTCATGAGTATTAAAATTTCAAAATGGAAATCAGCTGTTCTGCAATGCCTCTGGTTTCCCATCAACTTCTGACTCATAATTCAACGGGAGGAAATTTTAAATTGCAGGGGATTTTTAATAACCTCGGGAATTATTCAAACTTCTAATAAGGACTCGAGTAGTTCGTCGGAGAATTCAATGCTAAATGAGGAAAACAAATATTGAGAATCAAGCGAAGCGGAGTGACTAACACTGTTATCGTGAAAAATAAAGCTAAACAGATCTCATGAAACACGAGAGTGATAACAAGCATAGAAAGATTATATTACATTGTCGTATAGAAATTCCTGCGGTGACTTCAAACATTTGCTTTAAAAAATTATCTAATATAAAAATCGAAATGTTAATTTATACTACTTTTATTCATGAAGATTGTATTTGTCAGGGGAAAAATTCTCTCGTAGAATTTCTATAGAAAATATCATAAGAATTAAAAATGCGATCAGTTCCCAAATTATGTGACTTCTAATTTTTTTCGAAATTGATGAAATGTGAATTTGACAAAATGCGAAAAATCGCTGGAGGTTGGGTTGAACCCACGACCCTTAGGTTTTGTGTCTGAGCCTTTACACAAATGGCTGTCCACAATTTCAACAATTTTAATTTCAAAAACTCATTAGAAATAAATAAATCGGAAATTTTCCGTGCACGCCATTCGCCGCTATCTCACCGTCATTGGTTTCCAGAACGCATGATAACCGGTAATATCAGCTGTTGAACAGCTGATCCGCTCCCAGCGCCACGTTTCAAATATAAATAGCGCTAGAACCGCCGACAAGTTCCAATAGTTCATTCCGTACAACGATTTTTTCCGATAGCAGACAAAAGACGCGATGATCACGTATTCCGATAGCCACGCCTTTTTATTCAGCAGCGAAGCGGTAAAACGGCTCAAGTTGATTTTTACTGTTGCCCGATTTTCAATGAATATCTCGGAATCTAAGGGAGTTAACAAAATTTTTGTCATGACCTTTTTTATGGCCCTTAATTCGCTCTACAAAAAAGGTTATTACGAAAATTTCGATATCTCTCTTAGATTCCGAGATATTCGTCGAAAACTCCGCTGAGGGTCAAGTCAACTTAAATCGTTTTGCCGCTTCGTTACTTATTTTCATTAGTAAAAAAAATTAGGGGTCAGCCGAGCGCGCTCCGGTTGTCGACAGCCCCCGCAACATCGCGCGATAATTGCAGAATCCTCGTCAGTTATCAGTGAATCGCTACGCGAGTCAGAGCCTCAAAATTGTGTAATTACGATTAACAATGTTTAATAGCGCTCTCTAATTAACTCAGATATGAGTAATTAGCAGCTGGAGTTCACTCTTGTTGATAACAATTAACGCGAGGGGGATGTGTTCGCGGAAATTTTTATTATTTAGTGCCCAATGTGGTGAGGTGTTACCGCGAAGAATAACAGAGTCGAGCTTTGTACGCAGAATACATTCTGTTTTCAGTGATCGAAGGTAGAGATTGATGCAACTAAACACACATTGTCGTCATAAATAAAAAATTGATGAAACAAAACATTTCGCGAACAATGAATCTACTTTGTGATTCAGACATTGAACTCATTGTATCAAAACACTTGTCTGCGTTATTGATGAGTTATCAGTGGATTAATTAATCATTGAGTCTTAATGATTGGAACTTCGTTCATGATTTTGCTAAATTAATGGTTTCAATGTTTTATATTATAAGACAAACAATAGTAATTAAATGATTGATAAGAATTAAAAGCTAATTATAAAATATAATTATTGAAGATTGAAATGAAATGTTGAAAATTAGAAAAATTCATTTTTCAAGACAATGATCATTCTCTGCCATGAAATATAATGATATTCTTTTTTATTTTACGTACGAAAAAATTTAATTGGAAAAGCTAGCGAAGTCGAGAGGAAATTCCATTGAATTTCTACGGAAAATGTCTAATAGAAATTATTTTATGAAAAAAATCAGTAGAATTAAAAAAAATGAGAACCCAGGATTTTCTATAGAAAATATCTCAACATGATAAATTCTAAACCGAAATTCAATTCCATCGATTTGCCCTATAGAATATTTTCCATTGAACATTTCTATTGAAAAAAATATGCACAAATAAACTGCGTGATTTTTAATAGATCACCTAAAAACTAATAGAAAGCTCTATAGCAATCCAATAGAATTCTATAGTTAATTCGCTAAAAAAAATTCTGAAATTTTTTCGTACGGCCTTAGCTTATTGTCCAAGCCCACTCCTATAGAATATTTCCCATTGAATATTTCTATTAAAAAAACACGCATAGATAACCTCCAGGATTTTTCAATAGATCACCCCAAAACTAATAGAAAGCCCTATAGAAACCCAATAAAATGCTATACCAAATTCACTAAATTTTTCTCTGAAATTTTGTCGAGCGCCTTTACCTCATTTTTTCAACCCTACTCCTATAGAATATTTTCCTATAGAACATTTTTCATTAAAAACTTCTAATGAAAAAAAAACGCACAAATAAACTGCGGATTTTTTTGTTAATCCGTTAAAATCTAGTAGAAAGCCCTATAAAAATCCAGTAAAATCCTACAGCAAATTCACTAAATTTTGCAATGCATTTTTTCGCACACCTTTATCTCATGTTTTCAAGCATGACTCTGCCAAATACGTCGCGCGTGCGCCCATCCCCACTCCACCAAAGACAGTCCATCCTATTGCATTAGCTAGTGCACAATGCCCCACTCCTCGTGGATGTGGGATGTGTGCGGTTGCAATTGACGGTTTATAGAGCGTCGGCGTGACTCCGACTCACTTATTGCTTCAGGGTAAAGGGTGACAGTCGTGCCGAGGACACCGGCAGAGCAACTCATACCGGAAGTAAAAGTCAAGTGAGGGATATGTCAAGTCTTGAGAGGGATAGATTGGGCCAGCCCGGCCCAGGGGATGCCATCACCCCTAACCTCGTCCGGGGACTCGATCACATCCGGAATCCACAGCTGAATAAGGTAGGAGTAAGGAGGAGGATTTTTATTTTCAAAATTTTATTCATTTTCGTCATTTTATTCATCTATTTTGTTTTTTCATCAATTTTTTTCTTCATTAATTTTTTTTCTCGACATTTAAATTTCCCTGTCATTTTGATTGTTTCGGAGATGTGCAACAAGTTGTTTCCGAGTCTTAATCTCAGTCGTAATCACTCAAATTACTTTCACTCGGAGCTGCACCTCAGGTGCACTTGGCCTTGATGAGAAATAGTAGGAATTGCGTCATGCGTGCGAAATCATCCGAGAAATCATCCAAGCGCGATGAAAATTCATCGGATCGCCCGATATTTTTTTATTTATTCATTTCTGGTGTTACTAACGGCTTCTTTGTTATCCACCTATGTGGCCTCCTCTCCTTAATAATTAGATAACATTAATTCCACATAAAATTTCTTCTAAATTCATATTTTCAGTCAATTTAATTCTGTTTTAATCAGTTAGGATTAGTTAGGATCTTCCGGTAATTTTTCAGTCATAATTTTTGCCGCAAAGTTATTCTGCATCGATTCGTTCTATTTTTACGGGCGACACATGACACGCAGAGTCATGGAAACATCAAGGGGAAACTTCGGGGGACAAAAATTTTGCGCCAAATGTGAGAATGCAATTTCAGTGGAATTAATCGGGGAATGGGTGAGGTTTGCTGCGGTTCATTGGAATATTCAGACGCGATGACGAGCATTGACAAGCCCCTCATGTTTTACTCATCGTCTAGCCGGTTTTCGAATCGAAATACACGGTGACAGTGTTATCTCGCGAGGTGCCCTCTTCACGCGGGGTTGGGACGCGGTTTCCTGCATTTTCACCGCGAGTTATGCCTGAACTTTGGTCGTGATTGAATCGTAATGAGGGGATTCGCGATGCAAAGATCATGCGGGTTTTCTTGTTGATATTGGATTTTTGTGAGGGAATTTGCAGGGAAAGTGAGAGGGGGGAGTTAATGAGAGGAATTCGATAATTTAAATAATTTTAATAATGGTAATTTGAATTCTTCAATTGGCTATGAATTTAATTATTGAGAATATAGAATTGTAAATTGACTATTGGGGAAATATTCATAAATTTTGTAAAAGGGATTTTCGATTAGCGAAATAATCGTCAGTCCTCTAACTCAATTATTGGTGGGTAAAATAATTCGGATTTTAGATATTTATGGTATTCCTATTTTTCTCTAGAACCACTTGTTATCCACATAATTCGATTTTCCTACACGTTTCCATCTCTCCCCTAAATTACCCTCCAAGCCTCAAAATTATAACCGGAAGTGAAGGAGAAAAGCAGGTCAGTTTACCGGTCCCAAGGAGAAACCTCCCTCTCTACTAAATTCCCACCGTCCACAAACCGAATTATTTTCCAAAATATTAAAAAAAAAAATTTCAAAATAATTCTTAATTATTTTCCAAAATAATTCTAAAATAGTATATTTCCCTCGCCTTCTTCTCGAGTGGTAATCTGCACGTGGGCACGACTCCTTTATTTTACCTCCCCCCGCGAAGCGGGAGGAAAATGTGTCCTTTCCGCCCGCCGTGGCGAAAAAATAATTTTTCAAAATAATTCTCAAAAAATAATTCTTTAAAATCAATTTTGAAAAAAAAATTGCATTGAAGATTGACCTCCAGCCCCCACATTGTCTCCATCTCCTCCCAAGCTATTGACAATGCCCTGAAAAAAAAATAGATTACCGTCGTGTGCATGTAAACGACTCCTCATCCATAATACATAGTCCTCCAGAAAGACAAACATCGCTGGGGTTTCCTTCGGCTATCGATCGCTGAGGTTTGTCCCTTGAACCCAGTGTTGAAGAAAGCAGCTCAGAACCCCACGGCAACGGTATCCACGGGCGTTTGTTGTCATGGGGGTGGTTGGTACACTGTAAAGTGCCAAATGAACGAGGGGTGGGCGGATTATATCATACTTGCATTGGAACCCATGAAATGGTGCAGGTGAGTTGGGAAAGTGGAGGCCATGGAGAAGGATTGGTGGACATTCGTGCCCAAAGAGAGCACCTGGATGATCATTCCTGAGGCTCTATTGGCTGTTGATGGAAGGGTATCGTTCATTTACATCATCAGATTCATTAATTCATTCATTTCATTAATTTTTATTCATTGATTAATCATTCGGTGCGGCCGCTTTATGTTGCTCATTCATTCTTTTACTCAAATAATTGATTATCATTGCCGGATCACCCAATTTGTAATGGAGAAAATCTCTATTCTGGAAGCATTTTCAATACTTCGAAATTTAATAATTAATTTAATAATTAATTTACATATAATTTTTTAAATTTTATTTACATAATTAATTTAATGTGTTCGTCTACTAATTGATTGTTTCGATCATTCCTTGCGGCAAATCGATTGAAATCAACAGCTCAAATGTGTATTCTCATGTCTCCTGTCCGTTTCACTAATTATTTCGATCATTCGTTGTCTAGAAAAAATTTTAAAACCACGGAAAGTATCGGAAATTCATGTCAGAATACTCTTTTAATGCTTTCCGATTTGCATTCCGTAACGAGAAAATAATGCGCAATTTCCCTAGTGTCTCCTAGCCTCAGGGATATTTAAATTATATTATACTTGCATTGAAACCCATGTATCGTTCATTTAAATCAGAAATTCATTAATTTATTCATTACACTAATTTTTATTCATTCATTCAGTAGCGATGTGGTAAAACGGTTTAAGTCGATTCATGTCCCAGTTGAGTTTTTCAAGAATATTTCCAAATCTAAGAGAGATAGCGAAATTTTCGTAACCACATTTGTTGTAGCTCTTAATCGGCTCTACAAAAAAGTTTATAACAAAAATTTTGCCATCTCCCTTGGATTCCGAGCTATTCGGGGAAAACTGGCCAATAGTCAAAATTGACTTGTACCGTTTTACCACTTCGCTACTGAATTAATCATTTGTGGCGGCAAATCGATTAAAATCAATAGCTCAAATATGTATTTTCATGTCTCCTGTCCGTTGCATTAACTATTTCACTCATTAATTTTCTAGAAAAATTTTCAAAACCATGGGAAGTACCGGAAAATTATGTCGTAACGCTCTTTTAATACTTTCCGATTTGTATCCCGTAACGAGAAAATAATGTGCAATTTCCCTAGTGTCTCCTAGCCTCAGGGATATTTAAATTTCATTATATTTGCATTGAAACCCCTGCATTCGGCCTCATGGATCGTTCATTCACATCAGAAATTCATTAATTTATTCATTTCATTAATTTTCATTCGTTGATTAATTATTCGTTGAAAAAATCGGGTGAAATGAACAGCGTTAAACACTTATTTTCATGTCTTTCATTCTCTACAAAATTTTCAAACCCATAAAAAGCATTGGAAATTCATGTCGTAATGCCCTTTTAATGTATTCTCCCCTAACGAGAAAATAATGAGTAATTTTCCTCGTATGTCCAAGCCTCAGGGGCATCGACTCCCTCGGGCACTTAACAGGGAAATGCATAATTCCGACGACTCTTGATACCTGATGGTGTAATTGTCCTTGAAGATCACCCGAGTCGTGACTAATTATTACCCGAACGTCAGCAGAGATGACCTCTCGCACGTAGGCCAGGGCGCCCGTTCTTCAGGTTACCAAGTTTTAAAAATCCCGTGTTTTCTTTGCTCGCGTCCTCCAGGCGTGACTTTCATTCTCGGAAGAAAGGCTTAATTGCGGAGTTGAGGAAAGAAAGTGCTGCGGAATTCTTTTGCGTCATCAAGAAATGGAAAACCACGGATTTAGGATATCCGAGGACTTTAGACGTTGAAAAAAAATTTTAATCTGAATCAACATTGCGACCTCTTTCCTTCACAAAATTAATTCGAGAGGTGGTTTATAATGGTTTGAAGTACGTTTTTAAATAATTTTTGGAATCTCAGAAGACAAATCATGTTCAGAATTTCATCAGAAATAAATTACATGAGAGAAATAAAAGGTTCAGATAATTTTCATAATTCATTAATAAATTATCAAATAGAAGAGAATGTTTTTTAAGAAAAAAACATTTTTAATGACTAATTATCGATGAATTTCATGGAATTTTTTTCACTTAATTAAATTTAAAAAATTGATATTTCTTTTTTTTAAATTCTGTGCATTAAAAAAAATCATTAGGATAATTGAGCTATTATCAAAAGACAATGTATGCAATATTCCGTCAATGGAGCCTTTTATTCTAAAACTATTCAAAATATTTGCAAATAGTTAAATAATTCCGGAAATCCCAGAAAAAAATTCATATTCAGAATTTCGTCAGAGATTGCTGAAATTGAAGAATTAAAATTTCCGAAGGTTTAAACAATTTTCATAATTCTTTCATAAGTTATAAAATAGGAAAGAATGTTACAAAAAAATTATTTGCAATGAGAAATTCTCTAAATCAACGAATTTCAGTAAATTTCTCTCAATTAAATTTACAAATTTGATATCCTTTCTTTTGAAAGTTTCTGTATTAACGGACATCATTACGATAATTGATTACTCTCAAAGGACAATAAAGAGTTCCTTACGGCTGCAATATTCCGTTCAATAGAGCGAGCTCGACTACACAGGAGCCACCGGGGTTTGAATCGATCGAGACGGCTCCGTCAAATCACTCGACGGAAAAGTACCGCCTGCTCTCTCCTTCTCACTTCCCCTTCTCTATTATTCCGTCAATTGACTCGAGAGCGAAAGCTGCGGGCATTTCGACCACTGAGTCATATCCATTTCTTTCGTCAGATAAACCGTGGAAAAACCCCTGGCCCGAGTATTTTTTAAAAAATACGTGGCCACAGAGTTCGAGAGTTCACAATTCAATCTAAAGTCCAGTCCATATCCTGTTTTGGAGGCTTTTGAGGAAATGGTTATGACCAAAATGGGGTCTCACTCACTGCATTTCAATTGATTAAACTGTTTTTTCCGTTTATAAATCCTTGAATTATTATTCACGAAAAATAATAAGCGAAATATTTTCATAATCTATTTAAAAAGTCGAATTGATTTCGCATTTTTATTTGCAATAAAACGTTGATTATTTCGTAAATTCTGAATAGCTAGAAATATTTGAATACTGCCAATAAAAATTTTAATTGAAGCCTGCGCACTTGAATTAATTGACAAATTAATTCCGAGAGTTTATTATGATAGAGTTTATTACTCAATAAATAACATAAATATGCGGAAGGAAAGGTTTCAATAATTTCAGTTTGAATCCAGTTCATATCCTGTTTTGGAGGCGTTTAAGGAAATGATTATGACCAAAATGGGGCCTCAGCCACTGCATTTCAATTGATTAAACTGTTTTTTCCGCTTATCAATCCATGAAAAATATACGCAGCGAAATATTTTCATAAACTATTTAAAAAGTCGAATTGTTTCCGCATTTTTATTTGCAATAAAACGTTCATTATTTCATAAATTATGAATAGCTAGAAATATTTGAATCCTGCCAATAAAAATTTCGAAATTTTGAATTACAGTTAAATTTGGAATACGTCAATTGTTAATATTACTCACCAATTTTTTTATTTTAAAAAATAACCATCAATTAAAATTTTCAAATTATGAATTATTTTATCAACCAATAATTGAGAAATCAAATAACCAATTATTACATTAATTTTCAAAATTCAATTACGGTAAATAAATCTAAATTACTATTATTATTTATTTACCTATCTCGTAGGGGTAAACTCCCTATGACAGGACCAGGTTCCAATACATACAAAATACAAAAGAAATCTAAATTACTATAAAGTGCAACTTCTCATAATATTACTAAAAGTAATGATTGATGCCGACCTATGGCAACCACTTCATTTCAATTGATCTAACCATTTTGCATTTTTATTTGGAATAAAACGTTGACTATTTCATAAATTATATGAATAGGTGCAAATATTTTAATACTGCCAATCAAAATTTTAATTAAAGCCTGCGCATTTGAATTAATTAACAAATTAATTCAGGGAATTTAATAGAGCTCATTACGCAGTAAATAACATGAATATGCGGGACGAAACGTTTCGATAATTTCAGTTCAAATTTCATTAAATTTCATGAATGACAAAAAAATTTAATCGAGTGAATTCCCAATTAGTCAGCTGTTCCGTACCGCAAACTGGGTCAGGAGAGAGAGACTCGCGCGTCAACGCAAGCGTGAAGTAGATACGGATCCAGAGAAAGGCATTAAACTTGAGTAACAGGTGTATCTCGCAATCCTCAAGTAGTGATTGCAACCGCCAATTCCGGCTGTTTTTTAAGAATCCGAATTACTGAGACTCCGTGCCGCCGTTTGTCACCGTCACTCGTGCTCCATTGAGATCTAATTTCTCATTTGCGATTAGGAGAGTGAAGGCTACTCTTGGGTGACGGTCATGAGCGCAGACAGGCCGAGTGCACTGCTAGACTTTTTTCTTGAATCATCAAGATACTTCCTTATCTGCAGGCCATACTTTGAGCGGAGAGGTCACTTAATTGTGATTGAAAAACATTTTATCGTGAATTCATATCAGGAGATATCGACATTGAACTAAAAAACAGAAAAATTGATTTGATGATGTAGCAAAAATTAATAGAAAAAAGTCAATGGATTTCATTTCGATTTTATTTGATTTATTTACTTGTGATTTTAAAAATTAATTCTATCGGAAATTCGTATCAGAAGATATCGATATTGAATTAAAAAACAGAAAAATTATTTTGATGACGGGAAAAAAATTGTTAGAGAAAAGTCAATAGATTTTATTTTATTTATTTAACTGTGATTAAAAAAATTAATTTTATCGTGAAATCATATCAGAAGGAAAACAAGAATTATTTTATTATATAAAAAACAATAATAGAGAAAAATCAATAGATTTCATTGTTTGTACGAGTTATTCTAAAATCTTGGGCATAGGATCATTCCTTTAGTTTTTCCTTACGAACTGAAAGAAAAATACTTCGTAAAATTCGTCTCCGAGAGAAAATCAACATTTCTAACGTTAAAATTCTCCTAGAACTCAATAGAAATCCCATAAAAATCAAATAGAATTTTCATTTCGATTTTATTTTCTCCTCGACTGAACCATTGAATGATATTTCATTATTCAATCTAATCACAAATAAATCTCCAGCTCCTCCACTCAATCCTCACCTTGTACCGATTATCAGTCCTTTCAAAAAGCCCGGAGGCTCACAATTCACTATCCCTCGTTCTCCCGATGGAAATCCAGGGTCCTTGTGCCACATGCACTCTCAGAAAATAAAAGAAGGGTTCTCCAAAATTCACAATTACGCCTCCATCAGCCTGCGTTTTACATAATGACTCGGAGTTGTTATTGATCTCCGCAAGCCTTGAGGCGACCTCGACTACAGTCAAGGTCAGGGGACAGTCGGCTCTTAATGTTTTGCGATGCAAAAAAATCGTCTGCTCTCATCTCGCGCTATTCAATCTGATGTTATTCAATCAGCGGTTTTGTATTTCTTCAGGGAATGGCCTTCACTATTGAGGAGAGACAGACTCTGGGGATTCATGGACTCCTTCCGGCTGCGGTGAAGACTCAGGAAGAACAGCTGGAACTTTGCCGACTTAATCTGGACAGATACACCGATGATCTGTCGAAATATATTTATCTCACCGGCCTATTAGTGAGTGCAATTCAACAAAAAAAAATATATAAATTTTTTTATTGCTGGATGTGAAAATTGGATAATACATATTTTTTTATTTCGACGAATAACGGAGAATTCTTGATTAATTCTCTGACTCCTGGATTTTTTATTTTTTTTAATGAAAAAAATTGGATGTGTTTTTAAATTAAATTTCCATCTCATTAAATTTGGGATTTTGATTGAAATTTAATGTAAAAGATTTTTTAGTGTCCAATGGACACTATTTTATAGAAAAAATCAGTAAAAATTGAATTTTCTTTTCGACATTTCTTGAGGTGAATTTTCCAAGTCGTTTCCACTTTTTTTTCTCGTCTATTCATTAGAACAAATCAACCAAAAAAAATTTTGAAACTTTAATTCTATGATTCTAATGATTTGTTCTCTGGAATATTTTCCGATGGACGTTTTTAATTTTTTTGTACTTGATATTTAATTATTTCAATTATAAAAAATCACGCAACAACAAATTATGTTCTCCCCCCACAGGACAGAAACGAGCGACTGTTCTATCGCCTCCTGGGCGAGAATGTTGAGAAGATGATGCCCCTGGTGTACACCCCAACAGTGGGCCTCGCCTGTCAGAAATTCGGGCTGATCTACAGAAGACCCCGAGGTCTCTTCATCAGCGTCCACGACAAGGGGCACGTATACGAGGTATTCACTCAACTTCTTACGAGTTTTTTGTGTTTTTTCCCTTTTTCCCGTTTTATTAATTTGTCAAATTACTGTTATTATCATTTGTTTATTGCTTTCGAATGGGATTTTGATTTTGGCGTCACGAGTTCGAGGATGTTATTTTTAAACCATAGTTGGATATATGGAAAATTAATTACATCAATATTCAGGGGGGCCAATATTTAGGGAAAGATAAAAAATTTTAACGTTGGGGCAATATTAGATGTTACTGTTGAGGCACATGCACGACAAAATTTAATAAAAAAACCTGACGAATTTGCTAGAAAATTCTATTGAATTTCTACTGAACTTTCTATTAGTTTTTGACCGATTCTATGGAGATGTTCAATAGAAAAAGTCAATAGAATTCGATTTTTCTATACAACTTATTCTCTTCAGATATTTCATATAGCTCAAATTTTCTAATTTTTTTTTTTCCATTTTATTTTTCACTTCTGTTCATCAAGTAAATCAAACAGAAGAAATTCGAAAATTTGAACCGAGAAAATTCTATAAAAAATACCTCAGCAGAATAAGTCGTATGGAAAACTCAAATCCTTTTGACTTTCTCTATAAAATATTTTCTATTCAACAGTTCCATAGAAGTCCAATGAATGCGCTATTTTTTTCTATCAAATTTTTTCACACGTGCAGCGTTGAATTTAATGAATCACTGAATTCAATTTAAAATACATCGGCAGAGAAATTCCATTCTGAAGCATATTCCTAATTTATTACCAAAATTCCTAATTGAATTCCTAATTAATTCCTTATTTATTGACTATGTTGTGACAAAAGGGATTCTCCAATTTCTTTTTTTCAATCTACATGAGTCCCATTATCATCCTCGCATATTTCAGGTAGTGAAGAATTGGCCAGAGCACGATGTCCGAGCTGTCGTGGTGACCGATGGCGAGAGAATTCTGGGTCTCGGTGACCTCGGTGCCCACGGTATGGGCATTCCCATCGGCAAATTATCCCTGTACACAGCACTCGCTGGTATCAAACCCCACCAGTGTCTTCCCATCACCCTGGACGTTGGGACCAACAATCAGACCTTCCTGGAGGACCCCCTCTACATCGGGCACAAGCACAGACGTGTCACTGGGCAGGAGTACGACGAGTTCCTGGACGAGTTCATGCGGGCGATCGTCATGCGTTATGGACAGAACACGTTGATACAGTTCGAGGACTTTGGGAACTCCAATGCCTTCAGGCTCCTCCAGAAATACAGGGATGGGTACTGCACGTTCAATGATGATATCCAGGGGACTGCGTCCGTCGCTGTCGCTGGACTAAAGGCTTCCCTCAGGGTTACCAATACCAAACTGTCGGATAATACTATTGTGTTCCAAGGGGCTGGAGAGGTAATATTTGCAGGATTCATTAAACTCCACGTGTTTGTCGATGCGAGACAATTTGAAAGAAAAATAATTTGGGATTTTTTCCCAAAAACAATTGTTGGGTGAATTCGATAGTTAGGGGGATGGGAAGAATTCACTTTTTCAGTTTAGGAATTTTGGAAATTTTAAATAATTTCGCCATTGGAGTATTCCTTATTTTAGAGAATTAATATTTAATAAAATATGGAAAGAACGGCTTCGTTATATCGCTAAATTCAGAAATATTAATTTGTTTAAGAATAAGAATTATAAGAATAAGAATCTTTAAGAATTCACTTTTTTCAGTTTATGAAATTTAGAAATTTCAATTATTTATCGGTCATCTGGAGAACGACTGTTTAGGAAAGAAAACAGCAAAAAATTCCCAACAATAAATTCTTCTGATAATCCTTCCCTAACACGACGTGGAAAATGGACTCACAATTAATGCTATTAGTAATTCTTTCGATATGTTTGTCCATGTTCCCTTCCTCTAAAGCCCGAGAAATTTCCGAAAAGTAAAATAAACAAATAACTAAAAAAGCCTTTTTTGTGGCTGAAAAAAAATCTCAAAAGTTTCGATATTCCCCCTCAATGAATAACGAATTCGCATCCAAATAAATAATTCCCTCATCTTCAAAGGCTGCCCTGGGGATCGCAGGCCTCTGCGTAATGGCAATGATGAAAGAGGGAGTGTCCGAGCAAGAGGCGACCAACAAGATCTGGATGGTGGACTCAAAAGGGCTGATAGTGAAGAACCGTCCGTCTGGGGGTGTGACAGAGCATAAGGCTCGCTTCGCCCGGGACCAGGAGCCCATCGACACTCTGGCGCAGGTGGTGAAAGGGGCGAGACCCACAGTACTGATAGGAGCCGCCGCCATCGGCGGAGCATTCACCAAGGAGATCCTCGAGGACATGGGGGACTTCAACGAGAGGCCCATCATCTTCGCCCTCAGCAACCCAACGAGCAAGGCCGAGTGCACCGCCGAGGAGGCCTACACCGCCACCAAAGGACGCGCCATATTCGCCAGTGGATCGCCCTTCGATCCAGTCACCGTCAACGGGAAGACTTATCACCCTGGACAGGGCAACAACAGCTACATCTTCCCGGGGATTGCTCTGGGGGTCATCTGCGCTGGCATGAAAACCATTCCCGAGGAGACTTTCCTCATTGCGGCGAATGCCCTCGCGGACATTGTCACCGATGCTGATTTGGACTCGGGAAATCTTTATCCACCACTCCAGGATATCCAGAAGTGTTCCACTAAAATTGCGGTCGAGGTCATGGCTTATGCGTACAGAGAATGTAAGTTCAACTTGAGAAATAATTCGTCAATCGAAGGAGAATTTTTGGTTCATGCAATGTCAATAGATTTTTATTTTTTATTCAATATTTCCTGTTGTTATTTTTTTAATAATTATATTATATTACATATATTGTAATATAATAATATAATTTTATAATATATAATACAATATAATTATATAATTCCCATTTTTTAATAATAATATATATTACAAAATATATTATATATATTATATAATTATAAAAATAAATATAATATATTTTGTTATATTTTTGGGGAGAATATTTAAGATAATAAATTAAGATTTGTTATTTAAATCAGTAAAAAAAACCGTGGAATTTCCGAAATAAATTCAAAATACCTCTTCCTCTCGATTTTTCTCGAAATTTTTTCATCAGTCGTCGACGTCAAGAAATCGGAACGTAAGATATATGAATTGATATTATGAAATAAGTAATTATTATTGGTAAGGAACGAATAATTATTTTGATACTTATGTGTTTGCAGCTTTAGCGACTGTCCACCCAGAACCAGCAAACTACGAAGACTTCATAAAAGCACAACTTTATGACACGACTTACAAAACAGCCCTGCCAGTCACCTACTCATGGCCCAAACTCTGAGTACAATTTTTTCCAACTCACTCACGATGAACGCCTCTTGGTTCCCCGAGACTCATCAAACTCCCCGAGTTTTTGTGATTTTTTATTGAATAATGGAGTATTTAAACATGATAACGAAAGTATGAGGATAAGTTTAAGGAAATTCTAGATGGTGATACACTTATTTATGTTGTACAAAATGGAATAAATATATCAACTATTTGTTGAAGAGAGCATTATATCTGGAATTTAGTCATTACCCCTCAATTTTCCCATTGATGAGGCAAAATAATACGAAAAACAATCCATTCTTTTGGTAATTAAAATTAAAAAATTGGATAGTGAAATTGAAGAATAATAATTTCGCAAAATGTTTCAATGGAATTAATTTTATAAAAATAACGAACTCTATTCATTTTTTCTATTCGAATTCTATTGAATATTTTCCATTCTATAGAATGAGTCAAAAGCTAATAAAAAATTATATAAAAATCCAGTTTTGCTGGGATTATCTCTGAAATTTTTTGCTGCGTGCATTCAATCTTCAAAATAATTTTTTTTCTTCACTCAAAAAAATTAATTCGGGAACAGAAAAATCTAGTTTTTCCTCAAGTTCTCCAACTTTTATTCTGTAAAACTTCCTCGACTCAAAGAATATATATATTATAATTATAACATTATTATTATTATTATTTTTTATTATTATATACAGAATTCTCTTGTAGAATTTATTTTATATAGAATTTCCTCAGTTTTTTTCACTCCATTTTTCTGTTTTTTATCGAGAAAATTAAACACAAAAAATTTGAAAATTTGAGACGAGAAAATTCTATAGAAAATATCTCAACAGAAATCCACTAAAACTCTGGCGAATTCGCTAGGTTTTTCAATGAAATTTTTTCATACGAAAAATAGAAAAATAAAAAAACTATTCATTATCCCTCTTAATTAAGACATCTCGTTTAATACTGGTTGTCCATTGTAAATATTATAAAATCAGAGAGAGTCTCTTTTACCATAAAATGAAAAAAAAAATCCTCAAAGTTTATAAATAAATTCAAATCAATAAGTAGTGTTCCCTCATTAAAAATCCACTTCCGGTTTGCGCTCGTTTGACAGCAACTTCGTACAGTTTGAAGATAGCCGGCTGAAATTGGTTGCCAAACAATAACAGCGTTTGCAAATACCTCCCCAAATCCCAGTTTGTGTTGATAATTGCTCACGACGACTGCAAATGGCCCTTTAAAGAGTCCATCGAAGGTAACTGCATCATAATCTCTATTTTCCAGGAAATAAGTTCCCTATTCTCTTCGTTCTCTCCATCTAAAAAGTGTGACATAACCTGACAGAATGTTTACATCTCCATGACTCATTACTCCACACAATTTCCACCCAAATTTCCGAAAGATTCATCACATCTCTTTGATTTGGAGTATTGAAAACATGTTTTTATTTTTTCTTGAGGCATTGGAAGGGGGAAAAAGGAAGCAGTGATCTTCATTTTTTTCTTCCAACAAGAACAAAGGAATGGAGCTTGAAATAACGCAGCAAAAAATAATGGAGAATGAGGAGTTGTCACCGATAAGAGATCGTGACGAGAACCAGGAGTCTCTGAAGAAGTACCCACGCCACAGGCACTCGGTGGAGATGAAGCTGGACTGTGTCAAGCGAATAGAGAACGGTGAGACGATGAAAGCCCTCTCTGAGGAGGTGGGAGTAGCCAGATGCACGATTCGTTCGTGGGTGAAGAACAAGGACAATCTCCTGATGCCCAAAGTGATGAGGATCCACAATCCGGACCCAGATATAACGATAAAGCAGGAGCCAATAGCGTCTGACGTGGAGAGTAATGGACTAGGGCATGAGGCGAGTGGTAACTTGATACCTTTGGAGATGAAACCAAGGCCGAAACCCAGGCCGAAGCCGAAACCGAAGATCCTGGGGCCCAGGGAGCCAGATATACCTCAGCTCGTCAATAATTCGTTGCTCAAGTGGTATGAGTACTGCCAGCAGAGGGGAATCGCTGTTACCAGGGCCCATTTTGAGGGTAATTATGAGCTTTTTGACAATAATTTTCTATTATTGGGAGAAGAATCTAGTGTAGTTGATCAGGGGTGAGCTTGGTGATTGTTCGAATGAGGTAGATACATAAATTGATTGAACCAGCAACCACCATTGAACAGTGAAATAAAAACATCATTACTCGGATGAACACTGGAAGAATACGATGGAAGGAATGAAAGCTGCTCTCCCTCTCTCATTTAATTCGAAACTCACACATTAGAACTACTTAAAATACCTGAATAGTTTTCTCCTCACTCGTAGGGAGATCGATGTACAATATACATACTGAAATATAAAAATATAAAAAAAAATTAGGACATTTCGTGGTGAATGAAATCCTAGAGTCTGTGGCACGTGAAATAGACAGTTACTGGGCCTCGCACACCTCATTGATCATTGCTTTTGAAGTACTAACCATTGATATCAGTTATATCAGCCGTTGATGGACGATTATTGACTCCATACGCTGGTGCAAATTCCTTCAACGATTCATAGCTAATTGTTAAGGATATCCAAGTGGAAAATCCCATGCAAACCACTTGGTTCTCGAATAATTACATCTTTGGGCTTATTCAATACAAATTAATGTCAAATCCCAGTTGAATTGTATTCATAAGGTTCAGTTGAATGTAATACAACTGAAATCCACTGAGATTGCAGAATGCTACTAAAAACTCTCTCTATAAACTTTTTTCTCAAGTAACAGTTTTAGTTCTTGGGCTCATTGAGTTCTTCACACGACCAAATTAATGAATTTCCACCAAATATCCATGATTTTTCTTTACGACAAATAGTCCAATAGTGCCCAACTGTACTAAAATTCAAGAAAAAGTCATTTAACAATCTCAGTTCAGTTTTAAACTTCCAAAAATAATTTAAAAAACAGCTTATTTCCGAATATTTTCGACCTTTTGAATGCAAATAATGAAAAAACCTATGAAAATTCCGAATTAAAAATCCTGTGACATGAAAAAATCCCCCAAATCTCTCCTCAAAACGTATTTTCTAATTAGTTTATTTATTCTCCCCCAGAAAAAACCGACTCCTATTTCAAAAAACACGGAATCGAGAACTTCTACATGACCAATGAGTGGCTAATAAAATGGTGCAAGCAGCACGGTTTCCGAGTGCTCTCGGAGACCCTCGAGAGCATCCCCATAACCCAGATAACCGACGGTGACTTCCAGCGCGAGCTGAAGAACACCCTGGGCTGTACAGACTATCAGAAATTCCAGGTGTTCAACTGTTCAGTGCTCTCCTGGAGCTACAAGTCCCTGCCCCTCTCCCTGGGCTACCAAGTGGAGCGAGAGCACCCCCAGGATGACTACATGCGTGTTTTCTCCTTCTCCAACGCCGACCTGAGCCTGAAAGTTCCCCTGATCTGCACCCTAAACTCGGGGAAGAAAAAATTCTGGAAGAACGAGTTCAATCTGCCCCTCTACTCCACAGAAACAGACGCCGAGAGACTGGACTCCACTGTCTTCACTCACTGGCTGAATCATGAGTTCTCCCCCCACGTCACCAAGTTCTTGACCGAGAGGAACGCCCCCATGAAGGTCCTCCTGATCCTGGATAAGGACATTTTCGAGGCGCCAAAGCTGACGATAGACTTTGGGGGCTTGAAGACAATCGTCGTCTCCAAGACCTCCAGCTTTCTCGTCAGGCCCTTTGACTCTGAGATTGTGGCCCTCATGAAGAACTGCAAACGTTCTTTTCTGAAGAAAGTCAACAGCATGATCCAGGAGAACAACACTGTCCCCTTGATCCAGCACCTGGACAACATCAACAATGGACACTTCCTAGCCTGGATCAAGATGCACTGGAAACGGGGACCTGATAGCATCTCTGAGCCCACTGACACGCAGCTGGTGAGGTGCCTGCCTGGGGGCAAGGTGCTCAGCCTCGAGACCATCGAACGGTGGTTCAGGAGGTGCCAGCCTGAGATCATCGAGAAAAAGGAGGTGTCCAGTGTTGTCATCAAGAGTGAATGTGATACTGATATCGTGTCCTCGGAGGAGGCCAAGGGGTATCTTGATAAACTCATCTCTTATTTTACTTTTCATAATATTTTGGAGAACGAGGAGATGCTAGTGTTCAGCAATGCCAAGCAACGTATTACTGATGTGATGGAGGTGAATCGAGTGGTCTGACTGGATTGATGGGGAGGAGAGGATGGGGAAATCCAGGTGTTTATTCGAGGTTTTTAAAATAATTGATGGTTGGTTGGATGTGATACACATGCAGATCAGTGACGAGATTGGTCGCCAATTGGTGCACGCACGAAATATTTTAGTGGAACGCCTCGGGAATTCGAGAGGATTCTGTTGGATTTCTATTGAATTTCATAGCGGTTTTTGGGAGATTTGGCGGAGGATTTCAGCAGTTTATTTGTTTTTTTTTTTAATATAAATGTTCAATGGGAAATATTGTAGTAAAAAAAAATGTCTGTTGGGATTTTTTTTTGTTTGATTTTTTTAATGAAAAGATGAGAAAAATTGAGTGGGAAAAACTTGGAAAATTCAGGTCGAGGAATTGCTGTAGAAAATATCGCACTAGAAAAAGTTGTATACGAAGAAATTCTAATTTTTAAAAAAAGTGCAGCAGAGCTGCAGAACTCTTCAACAGAAATCTAATAGAAATTTTTATCCAATTCGCTAGTTTTTTCTATGAAATTGTCTCGTGCGTGCAGATGATTGAAGCGATTAATTGTCAATTGTTGTCGTTATTAAATGACATTTTACGTGGTTTAATGCACTTGGGCACAATTTATTCATTGGGGTATTTGTGTTACTGAAGAATTTTGGATATTTGGCGAAAGTTCATTAGTTTTATCGTGTCAAGAACGCCATGAGTCCAAGAACTAAAACTGTAACATGAGAAAAAAGTTTATAGACAGAGTTTTTAGGAGCATTCTGCAATCTCGGTGGATTTCAGTTGTGTTACATTCAACTGAGCCTTATGAATACAATTCAACTGGGATTTGACATTAATTTGTATTGAATAAGCCCAAAGATGTAATTATTCGAGAACCAAGTGGTTTGCATGGGCTTTTCCACTTGGATATCCTTAACAATTAGTTATGAATCGTTGAAGGAATTTTCACCAGCGTATGGAATCAATAATCGTCCATCAACGGCTGATATAACTGATATCAATGGTTAGTACTTCAAAAGCAATGATCAATGAGGTGTGTGAGGCCCAGTAACTGTCTATTTTACGTGCCATAGACTCTAGGATTTCATTCACCACGAAATGTCCTAATTTTTCTTTTATATTTTTATATTTCAGTATGTATATTGTATATCGATCTTCCTACGAGTGAGGAGAAAACTATTCAGGTATTTTAAGTAGTTCTAATGTGTGAGTTTCGAATTAAATGAGAGAGGGAGAGCAGCTTTCATTCCTTCCATCGTATTCTTCCAGTGTTCATCCGAGTGATGATGTTTTTATTTCACTGTTCAATGGTGGTTTCTGGTTCAATCAATTTATGCATCTACCTCATTCGAACAATCACCAAGCTCACCCCTGATTTATTTAGCTTCCAACTGACTGGAGCGTAAGCATTCTCTGGTTTCTCATGTTTTTAGCAATCAAATCGTACTTTGGTCTTTCTATGAAATGTAGGAGTATTGAGTGTATTCTAGGCACTATCGGGACATGAGAAACTATGATAAGATAAAGTCGTTAATGAAAAAAATTTATGGGATATCAACAAGTTTTATTCATTTCTTTGTACCCTGCAGTGTTTTTTTAATGTCAAGCTATTTTCTAAGTGATTGGAGTTTCGGCGAAAGTTTCAGTTTAACATGATGGACAGCACTCTGGGTACGGCTTAGACATGTCCATTTTTGTTGCTGCGACGTCGTCACAGACAGCCATTCCACAGCTAAAAATCCAAATGTTGTTTTAGAAATTAAATAGCAAAACAGAATATCGTAATTTACGAAAAAATTGAATAGAAAATATTTCATGTGAAATATTAAATCATCCGGACAATGAGTGTCTCTTATATTTACATTTTCATTATTTCCCCTTAATTTTGTTTTCTCATGGATGATCAATCGCCATCCTTTCTTCAATTGTATGAAATTCCATGAATCGATAAATTTTCTTACCTTGCCAATTCGACCATTCCATCTTTCATACAGATGTGTTGCATGCATGATTCGTCTGTCCAGACATCACCAGCTTTGCAGGTGGCATTGACTAATGATCAGTACAAAAATGACAATTTAAAAATCAAAAATCAAATTAAAATCTTCAAAGTCTCATAATATTGCCCTCACAACCGATGGCAGTGGCCGCAGAAACTCCGTCAGTGAAGACGCAGACGGCAGCAACAACGCAAACAACAAATACAACCTTCATCCTGATGATTTTTCCAGTCGTTCTAGCTCGGGGAATTTTTTCAAATGGTTTGATGGAAAAAAACTGATTTTCGTCAACTTATATAGTCGATCCACCTCCACCACCCTTTCACCAGGCTCTTCGTTGACTGGCCTTGTTATCTCCACGTGATAACTCGCGTCATGGACATTTGGGATAGATGAACATAGCCCAGAGTGAAAAATATTTTTTATCACATTAAGTTTCCTTTTTAGTATCGAAATTTTTTTATGATTTTATAATCTTGAAAGAATTATTGATGAATTCAACTGAATGAGTGAAATAAATTCAATGAATCGAACAATTTTATTTTGTTTAAAATGTAGATCAAAATAATTGAACGACAATAGCAGAAAAATTACATAATAATAATCCGATAAAATTTTTAGTCTGCAATTCTCAATTTCTGTCATCTTTTCTATTCATTCTATCGAAAGAAATTCTGTAGAAATTGAATTTATAGGTATTCCTACAGTAAAGAATAACCACAATCTAGTTGTGAAGACAGAAATGGAAAGAAAATAAAATAAAATATTCTAAATTAATCTATTGATTAATTTCATTCAAAAAGTTAATTAAATGATTTAATCCATTTTCATCGTTTGAAAAAATTCATCAAAATCGTTGAAAAAGAAAAATTAGTTGAAGGTTCTTCCAATCTTTCTTACAAAATAATCTGTCAGTGGAAAATATTTTTAACACATTGAATTTCTTTGTCAGAATCGTAAAGTCTAATGATGGATTTACATAAGAATGGACACAGTGATTTATAACGAGTCTCCGATTATCTATGGAAGTTGTTGTGATTTCGTAATGTTCAGGCGAAACAAATTATCGATGAGGTCAATTGAACGAGTGAATTTAATCAATTGATCAATTCTATTTTGTTTGAAATGTAAAGAAAAATAGTTGAATAGAAGTTGAGGAAAAATATAAATCGTCGACTGCAAGAGAATATTGCTGAATTCAATTGAAAGAGAGAATTAAATCATTCGATGAACTTTAATCGTCTCAAAAAATGAAGTGAAATCGTTAAGAAAAGACAATTTAATTGAATATTTTTCCAATATTTTTTATAGAATAATCCTCCAACGAAAAACATTCTGATCACATCGAATTTTTCTATCGAATTTCTCTATCGCTAAATCTAATGATGGATTTACATAAGAATGGACAAAGTGATTTATAACGACTGTTCGATCATCTCTTGATGTTGTTTTTAATTTATTGGGACGGAAACGCAAGAGCTTTTGATGGTTTCGTAATCTTCACGTGAAACAATTACCGGATGAAGTCATTTGAACGAATGAATTTAATGTATTGATCAATTTTATTTTGTTTCAGTTGTAAATACAAATAATTGTACGGCCGTAGAAGAAAAATATGAATTAATTCAGTTGAGAGGGGGAATTAAATCATGCGATAAATTTTCTTCGTTACAAAAAATCAATTAGAACTGTCAAAAAAAATTAAACAGTTAAATATTTTTTTCTCACAAAATAATTCCTCCAAATAAACCACTTGATCATCTTTATTGCCTTTGAAATGAGATTAAAAATAATTGAATTGAATTTTTAAATAATATAAATTCACCAATTCGTTCGAACTTCCCGCACTCCGCATTCTCCGAAAATAATGCCCCCACTCCCTGGCATTTCATTGGCCACTGCAACTCGACACCGGTCGTAAACAAAGAGCCCACAGTTCCGATCACCCCTTCGACCCCACAATGTTTTGAAAACTTGTTCGATCGAGAATGCTCGGCCCCACATACAGCCCCAAAACGTAAATAATCGACAGTCACATTGAAATTCACGCTAATTACTCATCACAACTCATTATTATCAGTCATCAGAATTCATGAACACAGGATGGCGACTTCAGGTAAGAGTTGAATCAAATTGTAGGTGAATTCAACAGGTTGTGGCCGTTGTCGAGCCGAACGTATTTTCAACCGGCAACGGGAGAGGACAACGGACAGAGGATATTTCCTTGTCGAACTTTGTTTACCGTTCTGCAATGGTACCTCAATTATAAAAGAGGAGCTATTCAAAAAAAAAATACATGACATTGTAGATGTCGATGATATTCTGATGGAATGGAATGCAGACCTGATCTTTTTTCACAGTTCTGCAATGGTACCTCAATTGGAAAACAGGAACTTTTGGAAAAAAATGATAAGATTGTAGATATTGATGATATTTTGATAGAATGGAATACAGACCCGAGCTTTTTTCATAGATCTGGAATTATACCTCAATTACAAAAGAGAAACTATTCAAGAAAATCATAAAATTGTAAATATCGATGATATTCTGATAAAATGGAATACAGACCTGAGCTTTTTCCATAGTTCTGTCATGGTACGCCACTGAAAAAATAAATCCCTCCCTAAAATAAACAGACATTTAGAAAAAAAAAAATTTTCTCAGTGAACAACGTAGATGAGAAGAATTAGTTGCCCTCGTATTTCTCCTATTGAGTCGTTCCCAGGCGAGCCTGATGAGCCTTCAATTATGACTTGCATTTGCATTTGCCCTTGGATCAACTCCTCCAATGATTATCCATTTTTCCTAAACTTGTTATTCTCTAGAGGGCAGAATATCGATTAATTTTTTAATATTAATAATTATTGAGGGAGTGCACTCAAGGCCATATCCAAGTTCATCATCTAGAGCACTATAATTGTGACAGTTGACACCTCACGCACGAATTCCCTAGAAATTTCTATTGGAATTCTATTGAAAAATTCTATTTGTTTATTGCGCCGATTCTATTGGATAAATTTTGTCTATTTAAATTATTGGGCACAAATTTTCTACGTTTTTTCCGCTGAATTTTATTTTGTTTTGCATTGCAGAATCCGAGTGGAAAACCTCAGAAAATTAATGCCCAAGCATTCTTATAGAAAAAATCTCAAGAGAAAAATCCAAACAGAAATTCGAACTCTATTGATATTTTCTTATCTTATCGAATTCTATTCTAATAGAATTTTTCAAATGAATTCCAATAAAAATTCTACAGAAACCCCAGTGTATTAGAATTCCTACAGAATTCCAATACAATTTTCTATCGAATTCGCTATGTTTTCTATTGAATTTTTCATAGGTGCTCTTGCGTATTCCGCAATACGGCACTGAAAAAATAAATTCCTCTCCAACCAGACATTGCGAAAAAAAATTAATTTTCTCAGTGAGCAACACAGATGAGAAGAACTATTTGCCGTCCCCTGAAGACCAAGAGGCCCTGCAGGAGCACTTCGCGAGAATCCGCGAGTGGCTGAACGCGCACCGAGACCTGTCGTATCCGGACGTTTTCTCCCCGGTCTACAGCGACGAGGACCGCATCAGGCTGACGATCGCGATCCTCGCGGAGCACGGCCTCCTGGGGCTGCGCACGGCCCCCCAGGAGCCGCCGTACACCTTCGAGAAGGACCTGGGATTCTCCCAGCTGCAGGGCTCGTCGGCAGAGGTTCTCCTGAAGAACCACAAGTCGAGTAAACACAACAGCGTCATCGACCTCTGCACACAGGCGATAATCCACGCCCCAGTGGACTCCAAGGAGCTCGCGATAGCCTACGGCAGGCGTGCGGAGGCCCTCCTCCGGGTGAAGCTCTATGAGGACTGTCTCAAGGACGTGGAGAGGGCGGTCAAGCTGGCCTACCCCCCGGACCTCATGGCGAAGCTCATGCTGATAAAAACGAGGGCTCTGGCCAGTCTCTACGACCTCGACAGCATAATCGTGGAGAAGGCCATCGAGGAGACCAAAGCACTGGCCAAGCAAATGAATGGGTACAGGAGGGGACCCATCACTCACGCCCTCAACCAGATCGTCAGTGGGAAGGTGAAGCGAGCGGATCAGTTCGTCAAGTGGAACGACGAGGGACATCTCCCGGATTTTCCCCCTGGACACGTCGACAATCCGGAGATTCCTGGGGCGTCAGATGCCATTGCCATTCGCTATTCGGGGAAGTATGGGAGGCACATCGTCGCCACCAGGGACATCGACGTCGGCGAGGTGCTCGCTGTGCAGATCCCCTATGCTGCTGTCCTCGAACTCGAGAGGAGGAGGACCAACTGCTGGTACTGCTTGATGCAGACCTGGTCGGCGATCCCCTGCGATGCGTGTGTCAATGTCGTTTTCTGCTCCGAGGAGTGCAGGGACAACGCTTGGAGGGAGTTCCATGACGTCGAGTGCGGGGTCCTCGGGCTCATCATCGCGGAGAAGATGGACGTCACTGCTGTCATGAGCGCCAGACTGCTCATCAAGGGGTGGAGGGAGGCTGGCAGCTGGCAGGCGCTCAGGGAGAGGGTGGAGGAGGTCGAGTCCTATTCTGGTGGGTTTGGGGATTAAGGGTGCTCTGGTTTTGATAGGTTTTTGGTGCGATTTTATACTTTTCCGGCGGACAGGGATTTTGGTTCAGGACTAGTTGATAATAAGGTTCAAATGTTTGAGGTTTGAGACTAAGTTTGTGATTCTATTGATTAAACTTTGCGGGGGTGAATTTTAATCGCGATATTGAACTGTTGGGGAATATTAAAAAATTAGAAATATGAATATGAAAAAATTAGAACGTTTACTTTTGGAGGAAGATTGATGGAATTATTTATAAACAATCGATTTTCCATCATAAAATTATTTCTTCGGAATCGTAATAAATTTATTTTCAAAAAACAACAGTTGAAAAAATTAATTAATTAATTTAAAAAAGTAAAAATTTAAAAAGTGCAATTTTTGACAATTAAGAGCATTTTTTATGAATAATTTATGAACAATCAATTTTCTATCATAAAAATCATTTCTTCAGAATTTTAACAAATTTATTCACATTCAGAACTTTACCAGAAATCTATTTGTTGCCTAAAAGAATAAGGTTTTCGAAAATTTAAACAATTGCAATTATTTATTTAAAAATAACCAATATTTAAAAAAATAATAGTTCTGAGGAAAAGTTAATTTGATAATTGAAAATGGTTGAATCTCGATTGTAGTCTGCACCGACTTTTCTATTTTTCAATTATTAAAAAATCTATTCTGAAATTATATAGACCTAATATTACTAAATTATGCCTTGAAAGCATCCAAAGTTGATCGAATAATAGCCCAGGAATAATACAGAAATTTTATTGACCTCTTAATCCCCTTCCACTAACGCATTAAAAATCACAATTAGAATTCATAACGACGAAAATTCTTGACCCAGATTTAAGGACCAAAGGATTTACCTCAAACATTCTCGACAGTAAAAAATACACCAGTATTATTACCCTATCGACATGCACCGAGAAACGATCGATGGAGGATCTCTTCAGGCTCTCAGTGGGAGCCACAACCCTCGTTTACGTTCTAGCCACAATGACCAATATCTTCGGGGAGAAGTTGGCAGGAGAGCGCAATATACTGCTGAACCACCCATGGGTCATCTTCGCTGGATCGATTATCCTCAAGCACGCGCAGATCCACTCGGTCAATTCACAAATGGTGAACATTGGTTTCATTTTATCATTCATTCATTTTTAATTTTTCTCAATTGACGATTCATTTACTTTTAAATTCGTTTATTTTTCAGGCCTGTGAATGGGATCCCAAAGCAAACACCTCTTGGGCACGTGCAATGGTCTTGGTACCAATTTACGGACTCATCAATCACAGCTGCGATCCCTCGGTTAATTACACGTCACATGGAAGATACATGGCTCTACACACAATTCGTCCAATCAAAAAGGGCGAACAGGTACATTAATACAAAACATGTTCCTTCATTTTCATAAAGAGTGAGAAATTATTTATGAGCACGCATGAAAAAATTTAAGGAAAACACGTGTAAAATGAAAATTTAGTAGAGAATAGTTCAATTGAGAATATTCAATAGCTAAAGTGAATAGAATTTGATTTTTCTTTTGCTTTAATCTAGAAAATCAAACAAAAAAATTTTGAAAATTTCAGCCGAGGAAATTCTACAGAAAATATCTTAATAGAATAAGTTATATATAGAAAACTTTTTCTATTGCATTTTTCTCATCCGTGTAAACAGTCGATGGGCCATCACTCCTTTATTTCCAACTTTTCATTCTATTTTTTATTCATAAAGTTAAAAATGAGACTTATATTATCGACTAATCAAATTTTAATGATGTAGAATTTTTTATTTCCTCATTTTCCTCAACAACATCATAATTATTAATTAATGACTAGTTTAATAATTATGACTTTGTTAATGATGTTGTTGTTATAATTATTAAACAAGTCATTAATTAATAATTATGGTGCTCTTGAGAAAAACGCAGAAAAAAAATTCTGAGTAATTATTTATTAATTGTATTTAATTACGATTAATCCAGACTTTCCCCAAAATAATTTCTCTTCATAATGAATATTGATTCCGTATTTGTTCACCATCTAGATGTCAATGGAGCACTCGGAGGCGACAGAAATGTCAAAATAGAAAATTTACCTTGTCCTCATTAACATCATAATTATGAAATGGGAGTGGATTTTAGTCAATTATTTTTTTCACCCCCAGATTTTCGATCACCGAGGGGCTTCTTTCGCATCAGTTCCCTACGCCCAGAGGCAACTTCAAAGGAGACAACTCTTCTTCTTCATGTGCGACTGCCTCCCATGCCAGGAGGCCTGGCCACAATTCAACGATCTGCCCTCCTACTCAGAAATGGGACTGCCCAAGTCAGTGGTGGACACCCTCGACAACGTGATGTGCTCGCACAATGTCTTCAACATTATGCAGAGTCGTTCAACGTTGGACAACAGTTCAGTCACACCACTCTCCCTCGTTGTTTTGATTGAGAACCTCAAAGACCTGTACAAACACGTGCATCAGCCATGTCGAGAGATCGAGGAAGTCGTCAGGACTCTGGAGAACGTCTGGCTGCAGATAGGCAGTCGCTGCCAATCACTGGATCGTTAGGACGATGTGAGAGAATTTTAGAAAAGTATTATTCTTAAGAAAAGCTGACGTCCAAACTTTAGATACGACTTTTTATGTTTATCATATTATATTTTGTGTTACTGGAGTTGGATTTCTTTTTTGTCTCAATAACGGTGATATTGAGGAATAAGTGGAAGACGTGATGGGAAAGATTGAGATATCTTCATACGTTTGGGTAAAGATTATAAAAATTTATAATTCGTTTGTAGTTCAGTCTTCTTTATGCCACTGACAAATCTGCGTCATTTATTAATCATCAGTGAATGTGATATAGAACGACAATTATTCACATGTGATATGGAAATCTCAAGCTTTGAGATGAATCTCATTAATTTCACTCTGAACCTTATAAAAATTATAAGAATATAAATTTTGCTTTGGCCTCGTGAAAATTACACGATTTCTGTACGGGATGCTTCATCAGTCTCAATAATGAGAGCAATGAGGAATAAATGAAGGACATACTGAAAAAATTGACAATTCTTTATTTGTATAGACATTACAAAAATTAATAAGTCACTTATAATTCAGTTTTGTTATGCAGTGGACGGATCTGAGATTCATCATAATAACGAACGATGATAATTCGTGTTTATGTGATATAAAATCGTCAAGCCTAGATATGAATAATTTTTCATACGATTAATTATAAAAGTACAAAGTCAACTCCCGACGGAGTTTGGACGGATGATTTAACAAAAATAACCAAATACCTAGTTTATTATAAAAAACTTTGAGACTCTATAAAACCATGTTATGAGGATTGTTGGGGTACTTGGGAGTAATACCCCCGCCACGGACTGAAGATTAACAGTTCTTTGGCGAGTGTTGTACACAGTTACCCAAAACTTATCAGTAAACTTTGATATGAGAGCCAAGCTCAATAACTACAATTATTTATTAAAATATAACTCTGATGTTGGGTTTGAACGATTGTACTGGTTTACTATGCCCTACTATGTACAGGCTGTCAAGTTTTTATTTCCCATTCTGTCGTCGAGCGATTATCAATCAATCTGTACGTTCGCTAATTCCTTAATTAAACAATTATTGGAGTAAAAAATTATAAAGAACTATACAAAATGAGATTCTGCGGGGATTCATTGGGGGGTGTTGATAGCAAACTGCCAACGCACTAGAGATTACCTCATGGAATATAGAACAAGAACAATCTCATCTTATTAAAACATAATTACTCAGTAATGAGACTCGGTAGAATTTTGTTCTGATAAAGTCCTTTGAGACTCTGTGAGAAATAGGAGAATTTTTATGGGCACATTTTTCCACAATTCTGTCATGACAGAATTAAACTATCTGTGCGTTAAAATGGGAATGAATTTCTCATAAACATCTTTAAAATATGGGAGACGGTAACTTGGATGAGAATTTTTTGTCGAAGTACTATAAAAATTCCTTAAATCCCATATATTCAACCAATAATTCGTTTTTTATATCTCTAAATCCCCGGATAATTTAGAAAGCTCTAGAAAAATTTCCCTATTTCCCATAGCCAAACACTTTCCACCAAAACTCTCATCCCCGAGACTCCCTAAACCTCCAGTAATCCCTACCCCCCTCCCCTGGCCCCCCCAAAATTGAACTCCTGCCCCCTAAAATACCTAAAACCAGAAATGAGAATGGAGACTACCATAACAATCCCCGAGGACGTGAATACCGTCCCTGCGTTGTAAATCGGGCAGTATGGGCACTGCGAGCTCCCGCAGACCTCGCAAATGTTCAGAATGTACGTCGGCAATGAGTCGAAGATGGTCTCATTGAACCTCTCAGGTGCATAATAATCGTAGACCCTGACAGGTAGATAAGCCGACATGTTGGCCACAGGATACCACCTCTCAACAGTGAAATTGACACAAGTCTCCTCGCTATCGAGATAATCAAAGTAGAATAGTACCTTCTTCTCGCTCCAGTGGAACCTCGCCCTCTGCAGATTCCTCACCATCCTGGACCTGGTGTACCTGTCCAAAGTCTGCTGCTGTATCATGTACCCAGTGGGAATGGTGACATCCAGCACAGCCATTCCCGACCTGGCGGACTCCTCGAGATTAGTCCACCTCTGACAGCTCTTGTAAACAATATGCGACTTATTCCTCCCCACGAAATCGGGTTTAACAACGAGATCAAATGCCCTGACAGGTGGCTGTGTCTGGAAACGTGGCTGATCGACATTGTACTGAACAGTCATCTGGAGAATGGCATAACCAGCGCCCCTAGCCTGAATCTTGACGGTCCCCCAGGCCTCGGGGATCTCGATGGCCTGCCTCTGCAGCAGATTGCTGTTGTCAATCCTCAGGATCTTACTTTTACCAGACAATGCAGTGGCTTCGATGGTCACCACCAGAGAGCTCACTTCCCTGATCCTAGATCTGATGGTGTAATCCATCAGACTCTTCATCGCCCATACTGTGTCCTGAGTTGATGCCCATCCACCGTCGGTCAGCCTCTGGGAATTCAGCCACTTGACAATGGGGTCCACCGACGCCTCTTGTCTTGCCACGTGCACCAGCAGAGCGTAAGCCGTTGTCTCGATATTCTCAGAGTCGTATTCGTATGGCAGTCGGGGCAACAGGTAAGTCTTCGTATTCTCGGTTTTTATTGGGGGCGGGGGAATGTCCTTTCTCCCCCAGTATGCGTACGATCCGTTTCGTCTGGCGTGCATGGACAGAACATTGAACGCCTGCTCTGCTGATGCTGACTGGGAGAGGAGCAAGGCGTAAGCAGTTATGGCGATCTCGTAGGGCGTTCCTTTGGCCTCCAGCAGGTTGAGATTCTGCTCCAGCCATTTGGAGGCCTTGGCTGCGGCCAGTGCCACCTGCGAGCCCAGACCTCCTGTCAAGTCCTTCACGGTCTCCAGGGTTATCAGGACGTGAGCTGTCAGGCTGATGTTTCTGGATCGGATGATGCCCTCGTCGTCCTGCAGGGTGCTGTTGATTTTACGGTCTGGGAACCAGGTCACCTCGTAGAAGGAGCCCAGCTCGGTTTGGTGACGAAGCACCCACGCCACTGCCTGGGCTATCACGTCGGGATCGATGTAAAGGTGGTTCTCCCACTCGTAGAAACTCGCCTCCTGGAAGATACGCGCGCAGAATGCTGTCAGCCAGACACTCGGGGAGGAGTTGTTCCAGTCGCTTCGGAAGAGACTGAAGGAACCGTCGGGGTTCATGAAGGAGAGCTGGCGCTGGTAAGCTATGTTCATGTGGTAGAAACTCTCTTTCTCCACTCCTCTCTTACGCTGGTTTATCAACCTGGGGCACATAGGGTTATTAGTTTTTTGAGATTGGTTTTGGGGAATGGAAAATATTCGGAGTACGGGGAATAATTGTTGGGATTTTGGTTTAGGTTTGTTGGAAAATTCTTTTCACTTTTGGGCGATTCTATTGAAATATTTTTGTAGAAATTCCTCGCATTTTTTACGCATTTTTTTTTTCAATAGACATGTTAAACGGAAAATATTCAGTGAAGAATAACAACAGAATTTTATTTTTTAGGCGACTTATTCCATTGAGATATCTTCTAGAAGGATTCCTCGGCTTAAATTTTCTACGTTTTTTTCACTCTATTTTTTTTCATCTCATCAAGAAAATCAAGTAAAAAAACTTTGAAAATATATTCCGAAGAAATTCTATAAAAAATATGTCAATAGAATAAATTATATAGAAAGCTAAAATCTTCTGACTTTTCCTATTGAATATTTTCTATTGAAAATTCCAACGGGATCGCCCAAAAACAAACATAAAGTCCAATAGAATTGTCCAGCGAATTGGCAATTAAAGATTACAAAATAAATCAAGCTCATCATTTGGCTATCAACATCCCATACCCACCTCATGTGCAGCGTCGTATACATATTGGCAGCAAAGCTGAACATGTTCTGCTCGGCGCAGTCCATGGGAAGCCCCAGCAGACTAGTGGCATTGACCGGCATGGTGGGGAACATGGGCCCCACGATGTCCCCAACGATTGATATCGTGGCCTTATTCGAGCCAAAGACGTAGTACCGCTGCTCCGAGTATGGGATAATGGGTGTCTCCGTGATGTTGACGTGCATGTGTTCCAGGATATACCCCCTGTTGCTGAGGTCCAGCAGCATGGACTCATGCCTGTACTGGGGCAGCCCATCGGCCTCGACATGAAGATTCCTCTCCACAATGTCACGACCAATGATTGTTGTCGCGTAGATCGTGACTTTGATGTCCCCAAGCCTCACTGGGACGATGGGGAGGTACACAATCTCCGCGTCCTGCGCTGGAATCCAGATGAAGAACTGATGATCCCCGAAGGAGGTCCTCGGATTGTACGACTGGACGATGCCATTCTCCTCGACGTGAACGAATTTGTAGTCGTTGGAGCCGACCAGGACCACCGTCGCCTCAATGTTGTACTTCATGTAGTTGAATACTGAGACTCGAATGCCTATTTGCTCGCCCTGTCGACTCGTGTCGGGCATCTCCACGTTGATGAAGAACGGAAGGACTCCGGTGTACTCCAGGGCCTTCGGCAACATTCCGAAGCCTTTGCTGGGGCTCATGCTGAAGGCTGTCACCATCCAGTGGACCGGCCGCCTTGGGACGTCCACGTTGAAGATGTGGCGGCCGTGGGGACCGATGTTTATGTCCTTCCACAGCCAGACGTTCTCGTACAGGCGGTGAATCCGGTTGAAGCGGTTCTTGCGGAAGAGGGAGAGGTCTGTGGCATTTCCCATTGAGCATCTTGCCTCGTCTGTGCCGTCCTCGCAGTCGAACACCCCGTCGCATTTCTTGTCGAATCGGTAACAACGGATTGAACCTGGGGGTTTGAGGGACAAGTTATTTCCTCGGAATTTGTAATGAAGAATGCGGATTGTTGGGGTTTAATTAATAGGGAATGCGGTATTGGGGTTTCAATGACACGAGAGTCTTTGGTTTGGAGAAGAAGTGGTCAATGGAAAATATTGTATGAAAAGATCGATACAATTCAATTTTCTATGGAAATTCTTTGGCTGGAATTTTTGGGGAATTGTTATTAAAATATTTCGATAGAAAAAGTGTAGAAAAATGAAATTCTGATTTTTTGAGTGAAATAGTTCATATTTGATTTTTTTATTGAAGAACAATGGAATTTCCAATAGAATTTGCTATCGAGTTCGCCAGAAAAATCTGTTGAACCTGTTATTAGTTTTTCAATCAGTAGAATTCGATTTTTTCTTTATGATTTTATTATTTTATTATTATTATTTTTTTTTTTAATGAAAAGAGAATAAAAATTGACTGGAAAACCTTGGGAAATTCTTGTCGAGAAAATTCTAAATGTGTCAGAAAATGTTTCAATAGACAAAATTGTCGAATTACAAAATTCTATTTTTTCTCTAAAACTTTCAATTGGATATTTTCTATGAAAAAAAAAAAAAAAAACACCCAGGAACACGGAATTTGTCAGTAGAATCGGCGAAAAACAAGCAGAAAATCAATAGAAAATCTACAGAATTTTTTATTGAATTCGTTATGTTTTTTTTTATAAAATTGACAAACCTGAGATGCACTCGGCAAAGCCCTGGGTCCTGTTGCAGGTGTCGGGTCTCCTGTAGATGTGGGCATCCGTGAAGACGACTAGGCCGATGTACTCGAAGGTCCTGTTGACGTCGATTCCGAAAGTAGAGGAGGGAAAGTGTACGACTTCGTCTGGATCGCCGTCGTGGAAGACCCAGCTGTGGGAGTGGGTTCCGTTGGTGTCCTCATCAAAGTGCGACATTTTGGAGATGACGTTGGCGTAGGTGAGCTCGTTGCCCGCTTGCATCGTGTAGAAAGCTCGGTCGATTCCCGACAAGGCGACGTAGGCCCCGGGCTCGCCGTAGATGGCGACCTCGACGCGCTCGCCAGTCCGGGCTTTCTTGTTGTTTATGAAGATCGTGAAGTTGTTGCGGGAGATGCCGTTGACGGGAATTGTCATTGAGTCGGCGACCACGTCGCCGTATCTGGCGACGTGATAGACCACTGCTGTCACTACCTGTGGGAGGGAATTGAATTTTTTAAAATGTGAATTGATAACATAACGCGGAGATGAATTCATTTGGCAAAAAATAAGGAACGAATGGTCACTTGGCTTTTGGAAAAATATTGCCTCGCAACGTAGGGTTATTACATCGACGTAATAATAGCCTCTATCACAATATTGTTTATTAATCCAATTTTCCCGCATAGTACACTCTGAATTCCCCTGTGATAAAGCTATTTAGCACGCGTGAAACCAGTAAATCATTGACGCCAAGTATTCCCATTCTCCATAATTTTGCAACAAGCATACTCGTTATAATTAATTAATCAATCAATTGATTAATCGAACAAAATTTTTACAAATTCTCAACAAGCAATTTTCGCACAAATTTATTAATCTTCATTTATTTCATTGATCTTATCCCCATTGAAACGGAGAGTAGAGGCACACAGCAAGAAGGCAGTGATAACATAACGCCAGAGATTAATTTATTTGGCAAAAAATAGGGGTGGGCTGAATGGACACTCGACTTTTTGAAAAATATTCACAACTCAGACTCATTGCAAAGGAAAGAGTGTACTTTTCATGGAGAAAAATATCCCATTGCATCAACAATTTAACGAGCCATTGGCATTTAAAAAAATTCAAAAGTGTCCATTTTACCCCACTCGCCCCCAATAACCGAAATAATTGAAAGATTGCTCTCTGCAGGTTTACTCCCCAAGTACTCAGTGCAAGGTGATATGATTAATGTTCGTATTTTCAATATTGTCCCCTAATACTTAATCGCCGAAACTCAGTCGCACGTTGACAAAATTTGTACTCCATATTACGATACGATAAACATCAGCAAGATGACTCTTGAACGTTTAACGTGGATTTTATCAAAAATTCTGGTTCAAAAGTTTTACTACAAAACGAGAGTTTGTAAAAGTTCAGGTAAATTGAGCTTTCAGGTCGCATTGATAATTGCTCGCCTCGACTGTTGATTATGTGAATACATTAATTAATGTCTCTTTCATCGAACATGGCTCCCAGAACTCAATGGATATTTACAATTTTCGATTATTAGACCCTCGCAGAACCCGCAATTGGTGTCTACTATGTGGCCAATTCATTTTATCCATTCTTTTCTTAACCTATTCACGAAGAATATTTATATAAAAATAGAATAATCCACTCCATCAATTCCCTCCCGACGAAAACCTAATTTCCGAAACCAAAATAAAATCATAACTGAAAGTGAAAACATACCGGTGCCATTTCCGAGCTCAAGGGAATAGAGAACGTCCTTATGTTGTGCTCCATGATGTCCTGTCCACTGAGGATAATCGACCCCTTGGATAAAATCACGTAGTTAAACGTCTCAATGTAGAAGTTGGTCTGCACGTGGAGGACCAGGTACTCCCCCACTTTGGCAGTCTTCGTGGAGGTCCAGACTTTGATGTGCCTCTGCTCCGGGGATTCGTGGGCCAGGAGACGCAGCTCAGCCTGTGCCCTGTGGCCCTCGCCATCGAGCAGCTGCGCGTAGACCCTCATCCCCGTGATGCTGTTGAGCTCCTGCTGGGCGCGTCTGGGATCGTCGAGCAGGTTCAACTGCTTCCTCAGATCGATCTTCACGTGCCAGATCGAGGGGTTCTCGTCAGAAGCCGCCAGATACTGCGCGTCCAGTTGTCGTCTCCCGTTCCTCGTGTCGATGTCAGCCTTGACTTCCATCTGTGCGTTGCGCAGCTGAGTGTCCCTCAGGATCGATCCGTCGTAGAAGGACGCCAGAATGTGCAGGTCGAAGGCCATTGCGGGCTTGAAGACCTGGGGTGAGCCTCCGAAGAAGTGGACTCGAACACTTGAGTTGTAGATCCTCGCTGTCGAGTAGCCCACGATCACTTCGTCCAGGAATCGCTCACCAACAGTTGCAGTTATCGTCACTTCCATTCCGTCGAGCGTTGGGGAGTAGGCGAGGAGCTCAGCCATTGGGTACTCAAATCTGGTGACATTTGGAATTTTTGGGTGACAGAGTAGTAAAACCGTACGATTTAAATAAAATTTAGAAATACTATTATTATTATTATTATTATTATTATTATTATTATTATTATTATTCTTATTATTGGTATATGTACTGTGTATCGTCACCTTGCGATTTTTATCGCAATAACGCGCATAAAAAAATTCAATCGAAAGTCTATTGAATTTTGACATGAAAATCATGACATTTAGAAAGAATAAATTATGACATTCTTAACTACATTGTTAAAAAATTTTCACTTCTTGAAATTCCTATCACATCGTCATTACGATTTCCCAATTCTACGAAAAAATCAAAGGCAATTGTAAATTGGACAAATCACTGCACGAAAATCAATGCAAAATAGGTCTCGAAATTAAATTCAACGAATCAACGAATCAACGAAATAATCAAGAGTAACAAAAAAATCATTGCCAAAAATGTCAAACCTGTAAGTTCCATTGAAGAACCTCAGCACTGGTGACGACCCATACCGATCAACAGTCTTGAACCAGGCGGGATAATACTCATTAAAGTTGAAGTGCTGCTCCTGCATCACGTAATTATGGGCCCTGTACCTGTCGATGGGTCTGTAACTGGCCTTGAGCGTCAAGTTTCCCCTGACGGGTGCCCCGGAGGTGTAATTGGCCTGAATAATCCCATGAATGAAGGGATCCGTATCGAAGAAGAAGGCAGGCATGGTGACATTGACCTCGAACCTCGTCTGGTAGTACTCCTCCACGACGAACTTGGTCTCCTCCACCTGTCCCTGGGCGATGATCTGAATGATCCAGTCCCCGAAGACGGGCTGATCTGACAGTTGATAGGACAGAGAGACTGTTCCCAGATTGCTCTGTCTACTGAGCCACCGCCTCATGATCCTCCTGTTGGGGTCCAGCATGTAGACGTCGACGGGATCGTTGAAGGCCTTCAGTTCCGTGTCGATCGGGATCGCGCGGAAGCGAACGGTCTGGCCCTGCATGTAGACAGGTTTGTCCAGCTGAATGAAGATAGTCATCGACCTCTGGGTGAAGGTGAGTCTGGTCTCGTTGAGGAAGGCTTGGCCCCCGGTGAGGCCGTTGTACAGTCCCTCAACTCTGAGCTTGTAGTCCCCTGGGATCGACGTGGGGGGCATCCGGAGCATCAGGTTCTCGGGGATGCCCTCCTTCACGTCTTTGTGGTCAGCAGCGATCTCCACGCCGTTCCGCTGGATCGTCGCGCGAACTGTCATCGGAACCGCGCTGCGCAGGACGTCCACTGCCACTCGGTAGATCTGGCCGGGTCTGCACATGCGAGAGGCCACCACGAAGTAGGTGGCCTCCTTGAAGATGATGTTGTCGGGGAAACCGGGGGCGCGGGGACTCGACGGGAACGGGGGGGACTGGTCCTGCCGGTCGTAGGGACTCTGGTCCTGACGGTCGTACGGGCTGCGGTAGCCGAACGTCGGGCTTTGGGGGTCGTTCGGGTCGTAGCGGTTCCAGGTGGCCCGCGTCGAGTCGTAGGGATCGTCCGGCTGCTGACCCACAGCCGAGGCCAGCAACAGGAGCAGCGGGAGGCGCCACATTTTTTCTGGAGGAAATGACATGCGGAATAATTCGTTGGGGAATTTTTAGAAGTTGGAGAAATTCGACCTTTAGTTGGGGAATTTCAATAACTATTTGGGGAATTTTAACAGGTGGTTGGGGAACTTCAACAACTATTTGGAGAATTTTAACAGGTGGTTGGGGAATTTCAATTACTATTTGGTGAATTTTAAAAAGTCTTTGGGGAATTTCAACAAATATTTGGTGAATTTTAAAAAGTCGTTAGGGAATTTCAATAACTATTTGGTGAATTTTAACAATTGGTTGGGGAATTTCAACAACTACTTGGTGAAATTTAACAAGTTATTGAAAAAATAAATTACCAACCAGTTACTGAATTTCAACAACTAGTTAGTATATCTTAACAACTATTTGGTGAATTTCAACAACTAGCTGTTGAAATTCACCAAATAATTTTCTTCGCGTGGGAAGTGAGATCTGGGGATTCTTGGGGAAGTTGATGATAACACAGACAAAAATATTTCATTGAAAAATCTGGAGGATTCGCCGGAAAATTCTAGTGAATGTCTAGTGAATTTTCCAATTGTTGGGCGATTTTACTGATAAATTCAGTAGCATCTGTGCGTTTTATTTTCTGTAGAGGTGTTGAATGGACATTATTCGATAGAAAAAATTATACAGAATTCAATGATTTTACAGAATTTTGCAATTCCTTGGCTCAAATTTTCTCAATTTTATTGTTTGATTTTTTAATGAGAAAAGAAGGAAAATAGGTGAAGAAATATTGTGTTTTCTCACTCTAGTTCAAATAGCCGGATGTAAATAGTTGAAAATCATCACGACTGTCTTCAATTTATAAGTTAACCGCAAATAAACGATTAAATAACAATGAACTTCATTCATTACTAATGACTAACGAAATTTTTCTTTACATTAGTTAGATTTTCCTCGCCTCTAATGAGTCTCGGTGACGCGCCCAGTGTCTCCAGTTACTACATACGCCCACGTTTTTCAATTATTCCCAAATCATATCCATCATCTTCAAAACAAAATTACAAATTATTAAGTCATAATCAAGTGACCTTTATCTAATTGTGAGCTCGTAAAACCGAAATTCTGTGTGAAATTATCCAAAACTCATGCCTACAGATCGTTAACTAAAACCCCTCATTCATCAATCGCAAACGAAATACCAGAAACTAGGGGAGGGTAGGGTAAAATGAACACTTTTGACTTTCTTAAAAATATTCATAACTCAGAAACAGATTTATCAATTGAGCTCAGTCTAAGCTCATCACAAAGAGGAATCATTGTTTTTCAATTGAAAAATAAAATTATTCCATTTCATGAACAATTCAAGACGTCATGAATATTTCAAAAAAGTCAAAAGCGTCTGTTTTACCCTACCCTCCACTATTCTCGAATTTGCATCCAAATATTAAAAACAAAAATCCCGTCAAAAATAAATTTCAGGGAAACCTGAGATAAAACAAATCTTCATCAACCGTCAATATCTCCCGACCAAACGATGCGATTTGAAAAATATTCAATTATCAATTATTGACGATTAAAAATGAAGGCCTTTACCCCAAAATTGTTCAATCACTCATCACCTGCGACTAAATATATAATATATTGAAAATAGCAAAAACAATTCGATCATATTCATTCTATACCATTCAATATTTCATTCTATTTTTCTTTGTTTTCACTGAAAATAGAAAAATAAGAAAATCAAATGAAAAAACTTGGAAAATTTGAGCCACGGAAATTCTCAATAGAATAAGTGGTAATTGTCAGTAGAATTCGTCAGTGGAAAATGCAATTTAGGGGATATTTAAGTGCAGGCGAGTCAAATGATCACATGTACAAATGCTTTTTGAGTGCGAAAGAGTTTGTACATTACTAAAAAACATTTGCACACCCCTCGATTCGCCTAACAGAAGAGAAATCTACTGTCGAATCTCGCTAGTTTCAGCTTCATACGTTGACGGTAATTAGACTCGAGAGAAGATTTTGTCCAATGACAATCAGTATCCAAAGTCATGAGACTCAACATTCAAAAAATCATCCTAATATTATTCCATTTCCCATTCGAAACACTTCTCCCCGCGTCAATCCGCTAATTTCCGTGCACGAAACTACAAAAAACCATCGATAGCACTTGCGCAGTCCCCACTTGTCCCCCATCCCCCCAGTTGAAACCATCAATGAACTCCTGGTGATTCAGCCCGACACACCCTCGACTCCCCCCGCACCCACGACTCCAAAATCCTCCGCATTTCCCGAAAAAAAAACAATAATAACGCATTTAAGAGTGAAACATGCAGGCGACGAGGGCCGACTGCACCCCGGAGGAGCGGTTAACGCCCAAAAAATACCTCAACGAGTAGCACACTCACCTGTCGGTTCAATTGGCGTCGCCGACCGCTCGATTCACCTGGCGATTCGATCACACAATCATCAAACGATCACTGGACGATTGCACAAAACCGCGGGGGCTCACTCGTTATTTTTATTTACGAAAAAATGGGGATCGTCTGTGGTCGTCTGGTCAGTTCATAACGTTCATAACCAAAGGCCGAGTGAAACCGAGGCCTGAACACTGTTTTCCAACACTTCCATTCGCTGGAATGACACCGACCTGTGGCGTACACTGTAGAGAGAACCCCCACCTCTCGCCGCGCCTGACTCATCGCTCGATTTTCATTTTTCGTTTTTTATTTGTGGGAATCGAAAAGCGCTAGGCCCATTACGGGATCGAATAAATTATACATTAAATATTGACAATAATTCTGTAGTGAAGTGGTAAAACGAGGTAAGTTAACTAACTCTTCGGTGGGTTTTTCGGAAATATCTCCGAAATTAAGGGAGATAGCATAATTTTTGTAATGACCTTTTTCGTAGCTCTCAATTAGCTCTACAAAAAAGATTCCGACAAAAATTTCGCTATCTCGCTTAATTTCAGAGATATTTTCGAAAACTCCACGAAAAGGTAAGTTAATAATGAAAGATTAAGCTATGGAGAAGGTTGGGGTAAAATGCACACTTTTGACTTTTTTTTTAAATGCTAATGACGGGTTGAAATGTTAATAAAATTTGATAATTTTTTTTTTCATTGCAAAGAATAATTCTTTCCCTTTGTGATGAGCCTAAACTGAGCTCAATTGATAAATTTGTTTCTGAGTTATGAGTAATTAAAACAGAAGTCTAAAGTGTCCATTTTACCACTCTCCCCTAGTGGGAATTAGTTCAGTGGCGAAGTGGTAAAAGGAGATAAGTCAATTTTTTTTTATTAAGCTTTCGAACCCCTTTCGGGCCCATTCAGCTACCAATAGGGGAGAGTGGGGTAAAATGGACACTTTTGACTGTTTTTGAAATGTTCATGACGTGTTGAGTAATTGATCAAATGGAATAATTTCATTTTTCAGTTGAAAGTAGAATTACTCTCCCTCGTGATGCACCTGAACTGAGCTTAATTCATTATTTAAATCAGCAATAAATATTGAAGATTTATATGAGCAATATGAGATCTATCAACCACTTTTTTGGAAAGTAATCGAACGATAACGGCCATACATACCCTTGATCCTATTAATTTTCATAATTTTCTCAAACTCCAAACTCTATACCTACCAGCCAATCGGAATTTAACGGGCAAAGACAGAAACATCATTAACGCCAATTCATTTTTTATCACCCACAGTCGGAAATAATCGGACTGTTTTAGGGTAAACTGCCCAGTAGATGGACGTTTGTTTTTTAGCAACTGAAAAAAAAAATTGATCGAAAAAAAATCGTCACTCAGGGGTTAAGAATCACAACAGTTAGTGAAAATTCAAAGCAACAATTCACATTTCAGTATTTTTTTGCGTAATTTCCTATCCAAAAGTAGCTCGTCCATCTATAGGGCAGTGTCCATCTACTAGGTAGCTTACCCTACCAGGAGCAAGTTTGGGTTGGAAACGGCTCGCAGTTCTCATTTTTCGATCCTATGGAATCACGATCTCGGCGCCCTCTACGTTTGCTTCGAAGTGGGGGAGAGGCGGTTTGCAGTGTTTACGTTATCTCCTGCATGTTAACGTAAATTGCGGATTTTACTGGACAATTGTTCATGTCGAGGGTCAATAAGGTACGTTTGAGGGGTTTTATGGGGAGGAGCAGTAGGTTTTTCACTCTGTTTGAGAGTTTTTGGCTGATTTTATCACGCAGGCAGAGTTTTCCTTGATTTTGGGGACTTGTCATCGTGGAGAAGGAAAGGATGAAAGGGAGATTCTTGAATTGTCAATGTTTTCTAATCAAATGGCGCTATTTTAACGAATTTTAAAGCCTGCGAAATACTTCAAAAATGAAAAAAAATCGTTGAATAAAATAATTGACTCGACATACCCTTCATATTGTTTTGAACATGAACATATGAATATAAATCAAGAATTTGTTGCTCAATTGTTGATGTTAAGAGTCAAAAAAATACGTCAAATGTTTCTTTGGTTAATTCTTTGGTTAACGGAGTCAAACTTTCAATTCCGTCATGATTAATCGTCAATTTATTCTGAAGATGAATACATTAATTATCATTTACAAGATTTTATTGATTTATTTATTTTTTATTTATTTATAGACCCTACAGCCGAGGCCAATTAGCAAGTCAACTCAATATACATTTCTAAACATATTTACATATTTGCATTAAGTTTTTCAATACACAATGAAGATGACGAATGTGGCGAATGCCAGTTGTTATTGCGAAGTTACTCCATTTTACAACAATATATTTAGGGGAGGCTGGGGTAAAACGGACATTTTAAACTTTTTTTAAAATGTTAATGAGGGGTTGAAATGTTGATGAAATTTAATAATTTTTTTTTTCAATACAAAGAACAATTCTTTTCCTTTGTGACGAGCCTAAACTGAGCTCAATTGATAAATTTGTTTCTGAGTTATGAACAATAAAAAAAAAGTCTAAATTGTCCATTTTACTCCACCCTCCCCTACTTGTGGCAAGTAAATTTACTTGGCAAAAGTAATTTTTTTCCCAGTGTATAGTGGCGTCGTTGCTTCCATACGTTTTATTTTTGACTGATGATTCAATCGATTCGATATTTCAATCCTATTGATGATTTGTGAAATTTAATGGGCTTTTGCAGATGCAGGTATCCGAGAGAAGACTGAAGAGAGAGCTCTCGAGGCTCATGATGAAGCCCCCCGAAGGAATATCCTGCTATCAGAAGGAGAGCCGAATGAATCTGCTCATTGCCACCGTCTCTGGGCCTCATGGCAGCCCCTACGAGGGGGGATTGTTCAAGCTGGAGGTCGAGGTCGACGACCATTACCCCTTCCAGCCCCCGAAGATGAAGTTTATCACACCAGTGTACCACCCGAACATCGACACCGGGGGGAGGATCTGCATGGATCTGCTCAAGGTCCCCAAGGATGGATCTGGCGGCTGGAATCCCACCATCACTCTGGAGAGTCTCCTCGTCGCTGTTCAACTGCTCCTGGAGAACCCCAATCCCGATGATCCCCTCATGCCAGACATCGCCAATGAGTATCGACTGAACAAACAGGTCTTCGAGAAGAAAGCCAGGAGATTCACTGACAATCATGCCAAGAATTGAGAGGTGTTTTTGCATTTAGAGTCTGTGAGAGACTGAAGAGTTCTTGGACAGATCGTTCGAGTAATCGTGGGGGAAAAACTTTAGGAGGTTTTTTTTAGAAATTAAGTTATTAAATTTTTCGACTATTGAGTGAAGACTATTCAGTCTTTGAGACACGAACGTTTGTGAAAATTTGTTCATTCGAAGCTACTCTTTAACGAGACATTGACATTATTATAACAAAAAGTTCAGTTTGATGTATTATAACTCCGTTTTCTTAAGGTTAAATTATTTTGAAAGCTAATGGCTTCAGGGAAAAGTCGAAGAAAAATTGTCTTGTGAAAAATTGACTCGGTTTCGTAATTTATAATCACTTCAACACAGATTAAAACAGTAAGCCTTGTAGTTTAATATTTTTGTAATAAAATGAAGTCAATACACAGGTGTTTTGATAAATAACTCGTCTCGTGTAGATAATATACATCCCATTAATTTTATTAAATTTCTCCCTCTTACAATAAGCAACGAAGTGATAACATAAGTATATCGATTCCTCTCATTTCGAGATAAGCGTGCATATATAGAAAGCGAAGTAACGCAGCTTCGCAACTCCTTAAATTAATGATCTTAGTCTAGAAAATAGGGTTATTACATCGACGTAATAATAGCCTCTATCACAATATTGTTTATTAATCCAATTTTCCCGCATAGTACACTCTGAATTCCCGTCATAAAGCTATTTAGCACGCGTGAAACCAGTAAATCATTGACGCCAAGCAAACATTCCCATTCTCCATAATTTTGCAACAAGCATACTCGTTATAATTAATTAATCAATCGATCGATTAATCGAACAAAATTTTTACAAATTCTCAACAAGCAATTTTCGCATAAATTTATTAATCTTCATTTATTTCATTCGTCTTATCCCCATTGAAACGTAGAGTAGAGGCACACAGCAAGAAGGCAGTGATAACATAACGCCAGAGATTAATTTATTTGGCAAAAAATAGGGGTGGGGTGAATGGACACTCGACTTTTTGAAAAATATTCACAACTCAGACACTGATTCATCAATTGAGCTCAGTCTAGACTCATCGCAAAGGAAAGAGTGTACTTTTCATGGAGAAAAATATTCCATTGCATCAACAATCTAACGAGCCATTGGCATTTAAAAAAATTCAAATGTGTCCACTTTACCCCACTCGCCCCCAATAACCGAAATAATTGAAAGATTGCTCCCTGCAGGTTTACTCCCCAAGTACTCAGTGCAAGGTGATATGGTTAATGTTCGTATTTTCAATATTGTCCCCTAATACTTAATCGTCGAAACTCAGTCGCACGTTGACAAAATTTGTACTCCATATTACGATACGATAAACATCAGCAAGATGACTCTTGAGCGTTTAACGTGGATTTTATCAAAAATTCTGGTTCAAAAGTTTTACTATAAAACGAGAGTTTGTAAAAGTTCAGGTAAATTGAGCTTTCGGGACGCATTGATAATTGACTGGCTCGTCTCGACTGTTGATTATGTGAATATATTAATTAATGTCTCTTTCACCGAATATGCCCCCCCAGAAATCAATGGATATTTACAATTTTCGATTATTAGACCCTCTTAGAACCCGCAATTGGTGTCTACTATGTTGATAATTAATTTTAATCGATTCTCTTAATCTATTCGTGGATTTTTCGGCAACCAACCGCCTCTATCGAATTACATCAATAATGAGTGTCTCTAAAGAAAAAAATTGCAAGACTTTTCTCTTCGAAATTTAATTCTCGTCAAAAAAATAGGATATCCTCTCTCGAAACCACTCATTACCCAAATATTCGTACAATTTAACAAGTCAAATCAAACATATGTCAATTCTCCATCAAAAATTGAATTCAGCAGCGAAGTTTTCCGCGAATGTCTCGGAAACTAAGGCAGATTCATCCGCCCGACAAAAAAGCTCACCACGAAAATGTCCCCATCTCCCCCAGATCTCGAGATATTCCCCGAAAGCTTGCCAATCGCCAAGTCGCCTTGAACCATGAGTTCAAAACTTCTCCTTTAAAAGAATAAGTTCCTCATTCCCCATCGACATTCCTCCCCCAAAAGCCTACCGCATCACCATGTAAACCTCCTCCGGCGCGCTTCTCTTCTCCCCCTGCAGCTGCAGAGCGATATCCTTGACCCTGGGGCTCATGGGCACATAATCGGAGTCCCCCAACGCCAGAGGGGCCACCGCATGGACCCTCTCCTCCGGCGTGGGTGTAGCCGACCTGGTGCCCCCCTCTGAGTCGAGACCATCGTCGCTGATGCTGCCAGTCCTAGTGGAGCCAGAGCCGCACCTCTTCCTCGGTGGCAGAGGGGGTGGCACTCTCGCCACTTCCCCAGACATGATGAGAATCTCATTGGGGTCCTCATAGAGATTCGAGTGGATCCTCATCCTCCTGAAGTCCCCCAGGTCCTCGACGATCTCCTCGTAGATCCCAGATGCTATCGACACAGTGGAGACCCTCCTGGGGGAGGGCTCCTCCAGCTCCTCGAGGCTAGCACTGATGTTGGGAATGCTCGCTGGCTCGGGTTGGTAGACATTGTCGACGGCCCTGAGGTGCCCTGTCAGCTTGCTGTCGGTCATGCTGTCCTCCAGCTGATGGAGGAGCTTGGCCTCACTGCCAGACCTCGAGGAGAGGAGCATCCCAAGGCCTGCGTTGATGAGCGTGGAGGCGACTTTACTCTTGACGAACGATGGAGAGGCCTCGGTGTGGCCTGTGTGAACCGACAGCCTCAGGTCCCCCTCGGACAGACTCAGGGGGCGCGTCGTCTGCTTGTGCTTGGGACCTCGCCCCTGCGTCACCAGGTCCTGCAGGAGCTTCGGGGCGTTCATGCAGAAGACGTGGAGCTCTCCTGGACCTCCACGAAACTCCTTCGTCGTGTGGATGACGCAGATTCGCTTGACGTCCTCCGGACGACCTGCTGTCACCAGGTGGAACTGGCTCATCTCCTTCCAGTCCAGGTTCTCGATTATGTCCCCAGTGTGCACGTCCTTGATGAAGAGCCCTGAACGACTCGCCACGAGGTCCCCGTGGAGGCCCGACAGCCCTGCGGCCCTTGAGTGCGTGTTGTCCACCATTGATATGTTGAAGGTACCCTCCATGAACCTGTGGCGCCTCGGCTTCAGCAGCTGGCGCAGGTTCGCCATCCAACGCTGCGTCTCCGACTCGGAGGTGCCGCACAGGTACAGCAGGGGCTTGCGCTCCTTGCCTGGGAATATGCCGAAGGCGAAGTGCTTTGTGCGGGACTCGGTGCGGCAGATTATCGAGTCTGAGGGGACTTTTATGGAGTTGTTGCGGTCGTTTCCGTCGCTGCTCAGGCCACGGTCCAGGTGCACCTCCACCCCCAGGCCCGGACCCAGTTTGCGGACGGAGCACCAGTGCCTGCGCCACGCTTTCCACGGCGCCAGCGGACGCTTTCGCACGCGGTGCGACATGTAGCGACTCCCGGGGAGCTTCGCGTCCAGAAAGCCGCAGAGCTCGGAGTCACAGCCTGACATGTTTCGGCCGATTTCTGGGGGGAGATAATGGTTTGTAGAGGGGGAGGTGATTTTTTGGGGGGAATTCTGTGGAGAATTTTTTGCTTTTGAGGGGCGCTGGGGGTTGTTGCGTTTCAGGAGAATTTTAAAGTAAACGTTTAGTGGTAATTATCTATTAAAAAACCTTTAAAAAATTGCGTGAATCACATTAAAATATTAATTTTCAAATGGTAACAATAATATTACGAATTTTAAAAAAAATGCACTCATCTCCTTTTACCACTATAAGGGGAGGGTGGGGTAAAATGGACACTTTAGACTTTTTTCAAAATAATTTATAACTCAGAAACAAATTTATCAATTGAGCTCAGTTTAGGCTCGTCACAAAGGGAAAGAATTGTTCTTTGCACTGAAAAAAAAAATTATCAAACTTTATCAACATTTCAACCCCTCATTAACATTTTTAAAAAAGTCAGAAATGTCCGTTTTACCCCAACCCCCCTACCACAGAATTGGCTGCCTCGTCTCTTCCGTTGATTACGCGAATAAATAGCTCAACGTTCCTTTCACCGAGACCCCCCCGGAACCCAAAGGATATTTACAATCCGCGATTATCAGCGATGATTACCCCCGTCATCGTTCCCCCTCATTGACCCAATTAAATGACTCATGAACATCCCAAGAAAGCCGAAAGCGTCGCCTCACCCCTGAGAATCAATAAAACAATTCATCCACTCCACTCCTGCAAAACTCAAGCGTCAGCCCGGAAAATTTCCATTCGCCACTGAGAGCTCCCCAGGACGTGCGGGTCTAACCCCCACATCCTCCCGGAATCTCACCTTTCATATCCTCGAAAAGTTCCCTCGAATAAACAACACCAGCTCTACGATGCGCCTCCAGCACACATATCACCAACAAACTTGACGACAGACGAATCCACCGACGGACACCTCCCAAGCACTAAACGCAACTCGATATTAACTGTCAGCGGATGGTCAACCTCGGCTGAACTGCGTGGCGCTGCAGGGGTATTGTGCCTCAGAGGACGAGGGGAAAGCCCGAATTTCCCCCTCCACAGAGCCTCAAACGTTACTACCTGCTGGATCGATCCGGAGGGGACATGAGCTGAATCCTATCCATATCACCACACCTCGACCCCTCGACCGACGACCTTATTTCTGCTCCAGTAACGGGGGGCATAAATAACTCAATAAGATTGCGGGGTAGAATGGGGCATCGAACTGGAGATCAAAATTGCGCAGACAAATTTTGTCATTTGTGTTAAATGAGAAAGGCGAAATGATAAAAATTACAAAACACTCTGAAAAAATTTCGCGATAGTTCCGTAAAATTTGCTACAACCACATTTCGCTCCAGAATTACGGAAAAATACGTAATGTTTATTGAATATTTCTCTCCGCGCAGATACATTTTCTATAGGAATTCCTCGACATGAATTTTCCAAGTTTTCGCCACTCTACTTTTCTTCCCTTCGAACTTTAATTGCGCTCCGCCACTAGCATTCTCTCCCCTCGTAATGTTTTCCCATCTTTCGCAAAATCCGCTGCCAAATTGACAGTCGCGCCTATTGGATTAAGTTGGCCCGCCAGCGCAAGAGCCAAAATAATTCCGAGACTCGCTTTACGACCGATTATCGTAGACGCCGGGCGTAATTCGGTCATGCCTTTATTGGGCATGTACATCGATAAGTTGCGGCAGGATGTCGCGTCAGGTGTGACGTCGATGTCACGACATTGCGTCGTGGGGTCCTGCGGGAATCGTCAGCGCCCACGATGCCAAACACGCACGAAAAAATTTAATAGAAAAACCTTTCGAATTTGTTAGAAAATTCTATTGAATTTCTATCAAACTTTCTATTAGTTTTCGGCTGATTCTACTGACATGTTTAGTAGACAACATTTAATAGAAAAAGTCAACAGAATTCGATTTCTCTGTAAAACTTATTCTATTGAGATATTTTCCGTAGAAATTCCTCGTCCCAAATTGTCAAAGTCCTTTCGTTAAATTTTTCAATTAAAATACAAGAATAAAAGGATAGAAAAGACTTATAAAATCCATGTCGAGGAATTCCTATAGAAATGTTGTTTTTATGTTTCAATAAAAAAAAGTTATATAGAACGGTGAAATTACGATTTTTTCTACGAAATAATTCCTATCAGACATTAAAAAAAAAACGCTAATGGAAGAATTTCAATAGAAATTCTGTAAAATTTTCCATCGAAGTCCCCGCATTAATCTATAAAATTTGTTCGTTGCTGTTATTCTCGCTTCAATTGATTCCATGTTACTGAAATTTTTTGCAAATTTTTTTAAGCGTCTGCGTTGCAACAAGTGAAAACATACCTTGACACGAATGCTACTAGTTATTCGAGCATTCTCCGAGAATACGAAAATATGTTTATGGAGCATAATCTACGGAATACGTAGGATAGCGTCACGTGAGGCCCCATCGACATAATTTTTTTCCATTTTCACCGGAATGGGGGTCACGTGCAGCTGGATCCGGCGCAATCACCTGCCACACGTTTTTCCTCTTCACAAAGATAAAGATCGAGAAGTTAAGAGTCCGCAATAAACTCGAGCCGCCGTTAATCTCCCGAACTTTGTGACGAAGGTCAGCTAGAGCTGTGCATCATCCCGAGGAAATGCAGGTCAGTCCGGATAAGCCAGGTGTGCGCAACCCGTCCAAAAATAGGAAACATCAACCAATCAAAAATAAAAAATCAAGAAATTTGAGATTTTTTTTTTTAATAAATAAATAAAATATTCAATATTATAGTAAATAATAATTTTATAATAACAACAATAATTATTATTACTATTTAATATAATACATAATAATGTAATATTATTTAATTTAAATATATTATTATTTTATTAAATTAATTATATATAAATAACATAATTAATAATTTTCGTATTATTAATTGCATATTATTATTTTCATTTATTAATTTAATAAAATATTGAATATTCTATTAAAAATTTAGGAATTGGTATCGCGATTAACGAAGTCAAATTGTCCCCAAAATTGTTATCACTATTTTTATGACAGATGTCTTGAAAAAAGGACAGTGGTGCACGCTTCTGGAATCACCAGCCGAAATTTACTCACCTGTTTGAGAATGCAAGGACGGGAAGTCATCGAAATAATCGCATTCTCCGGGTACATCGCATTGTTCGTTATTGAAGCCCCGGGGAGAATGACAGAATCGCCCGCAGTTAGAGGTTTCAATGAACATCGGTGTTAATATTTTGCTGGGCACCCACTTGCAGAGAGTCGTCAAACATTTTTTTAAACACGAAAAAAATTATTCGATTCAATTCTTTATTTCCTTGTATTGATGTTGCTCCCTCCTCCTTCATCATAGAATTGAGTCTACAGGCCAATCATTTTTTAGAAACTCAAATAATTGTACACAAAAAAAATAGATGGTGATGGCAAAAATTAACGGATTAATCTGTAGGAAAAATACACTGTTATTTAAAACATCAAAAAAAATTTTAGGACACTAAATTAACTCGAGAGTTACTTCTGCCCAAAGTTTACGCATTTTATAAATAAAATAGTGTAGAGAGAATTTCTTTTGATACTAGTTTTTAAGGTATGTAAATATTGTAGATAATGACTGTTTTTTAAAAATAAAAATCTGAAATAATTACGACGTTGATCAATTTTCCTAGAATATTTACAGGAATACTAAAAAATTAAAAATTGAGAAACAGCAGTTTGTAATGAAAAGAAAATGGAAAACTCCTCTGAGAAAGGAAATAAATTATTGTTATTTGCTTTTCGAATCTGTTTCGAGCCGTTCCCGCTGGAAATTCGTTCGACTTCCGGAATTTTACGATAGCGGGAGGACAGCATCCGGAAAAGAAGCAGTTCTGCGCAGGGATTCACGATTCACTCCTTTTTGTCACGTTTTCTGTTTTCAGTGTGTTTCTACGCCGGCGAAAAAGAGTTTCGGGATAAATATTTAATTTTGAGGGATTTTTTAACCATTCTCGATGGCTGGGACTATGAAGTGCTTCTCCAGGCTCTCTCTGGGATTGTTCAATAACAATGTTAATCGACAGATTCTTCTCAATGGTGAGTATTCCTCGTCTAACCTCAATTATGTAAACATTCATATTTCGGGTTTTGGGAAATTGTTTTAAAATTAATTCTGCACTTGGCAAGGGCTCACAATTAAAGAGTGGAATTTTCCTTCGCGAGTTGTTCATTTGCCTCTATTCACTGCTCCAATTTTTTTGGAAAATCTCCATGTTTTTTTTTAATTTTATGGAAAACTTCTTTCACAGGAAAGTTCAGAATTTCTTTGTTCAGCAAAACATTAAAATTGCAGAGAGATTTTCCATAGAATTTGTTAACTTTCTTTTGATCGTAACATTTCTGTCAATTGTTCAGAAAAAAAATTCTATTTTTTTTGTTATTCGATAGAAAGAAAAATTCATTGGAAAATGGAAGAGTTCATTCGATATTTAACATAAATTCTCAATTACAAGCAAGAGTTTAACCCTATAACTAGTTTTTTTCTCTTGTTCATCAGAAGTTCGTCAATTCTTGAAGCAGAAAATTTATTTGCACTCGATCCTATGGAGATAAAATCCATAAAATTATTGAGGAAAATAGTTTGATCATTGACAAAAGAACAAAACTATAAAAAAAAATTTAACAACTAATTTAACGCGAATTTCTCTCGTAAAATTGTTGCTTCTCCTAAGCTAACGATTTCCACTGATTTGTTATGACAATTTAAAGCGCATTTTTTTCGACATTTGTTTTGCCAAATCACGTCCACAAATTATTGAGAAGCGATTTAACCAAAAAACGTAGATTTTCTTTTCTCCTGACTTCACGTAACGAAAATGCCCTCGACAGCTGAGAAAAATCCCTTCGACACTCGTCAAAAACTCGAAAATTGCACCCAAGAAATTTCTCTCAAAATTAATAACTAATAAATTTCCCTCGTCATTTTTCTAATTATTTTTTTCCCCATCACCTCCTAGGAAACAGAGCATTGTACACCGAGACGTCCCTAGGTCTCCCTGAGTACAAAAACTCCCGCGCGAGCTACCAAGACCGATACAGAAGTTCCCTGGAGGCGTTCAAAGAAAAAGTTACGACTAACGTGAATGACGAGAAGAGCCTGATCTTCACAGAGGACCTGAAAGCCCTGTTGCACGTTGTGGAGAAGAGCCCGGACGACATAAATCTCCTCAAGACAGCCCTGGAGAAGTTCAACAGTCAGGACAACGACATCAGATTCGGGACCTTCAAGTTCGGTCCAGTCGTCATGAGGGCATTCCACTACTTGAACGAACCAAATGTAGCATTGGAGACGTTTAGAAATCCAAAATTCGAGACATTTTACGATCAGCAGACGACCTTCGCCATTCTCGTTGATCTGCTGCATGAGAATGGAATGTACAAGGAAGTTAGGGAGGTTTACGACTTGATTAGGAGTAAATTCTCGAGTGGAATCAGAAATCCGAAGCTGGTGATCAGTGTTTTGGCTTTATCTTGTTATAAAGAGGTGAGTTTCAGCCATTTTGTCATGAGAAAAGTCATTTTAATGAATAAATCGATCAATTGATTGATAAATCAATCGACTGAATGAGTTGATTAATTAATTAATCAAGTAATTCATGGAATAATCAATCGATTGAACAATTTTAGTGCTAAAAATTGTATCAACTTTGTTTTCTCGTGTCAGAATACAAAAGAAAGTCTCGATTTTGGAGTTAAAGTCTGCAAAGAGATGATTGAGAGAGGGGCTGTGCCACTCAGAAAAGTAATTACCACACTGGGAGCACTAGCTTTAAAGCAGAATGCACCCCACATTGCCTTGGAGCTGATGTCAGTATGCAGGAAATCCGATTACATCTCAGTCAGGACTGTGAGGGCCATGGCTCTCTGCGACCTCGACAGGCTCGACGATATTGCACATGACTTCCAAATCACGTTGAAGAGGGGAATTCCAACGAAGAATAAGTACTTCTCCAATGTCGTGAGTTTACTTTCTTCAGTTGAAAATGCATGGAGGAGGCAGAATGTCTTCACTAGATGGTTCATATCTTAGAGGGAAATGATGCGATTCGGATGAATTTAGGCTCATTTTAAAGATAATTGAAAAATCTTCAAAATGACCTCTGTTTTTTGTGATTTCACTCTGCCAATCTCGAGATATTGGCAACTGACGATCATTCATTTTTATCGAAAAAATTAATCAATTGAATTCTTGAATTTCGGTGCAGAAATTGATAAATTGAAGGGCTTTTTGTGCTTTAGGCTCCAAAAGTTGAAGCTGCTATTCAACGAGGGAATATCAGCCCCAATGCAGAGATATGTGAACTGTTTGAGCTGATAAAAGCCAGGGACTTCATTGATGAAAAGGTAATATCAGACGAGTGAATTGTCGAGAAAAAATGAAGAGAAATTGTTTGACCTGTGAATTATTGATCAGACGCTGGAGGAACACATCTCGGAGCCACTGGAAAGCAGCAAGGGGCCAGCCCAGCAGTACCAATACCAGGAGAGTCGCGGATGGTCCCAGCCCAAGAGGCAACCTGAACAGTGGACCAGAACCCCGAGGGGATCAGCTGAAAAACAAGAGGGATACAACCAACGATTCAACAACTTTTGAATGCTCTGTTATCCGCCAACTGATGACATTGTGTCGTGTAGTATTTAATTCCCAATATTTCAAATTAATTACAATCCATCGATAACACATTGTATCAAGTTAATTAATAAAAAATAATTGAGAAGCTTTTTCCTCAATTTAAGGTTTATACCTAGAAAAAAGGTTTTTCTTGTGATTGTCCCTGTGTTTTTCATAGATAATCTTCATCATATTTTGGGGATTTATTGAATATTGGAAGTACTATCTCAGGAGATTTTTTAGTTTCAATTTTTCACACTTGTAGCTGAGAAAAATTGAAAAGAAAAAATTTCCTGAGGTATTACTTCTAATGTTCAATAAATACCCAAAATTTTTTGCGATATAATTGTCGTGGGAACAAAATAAAATACAATGCAAGTGCTAAATCGCATGTTATTCGATAATTTATGAGAATGCAATAAATTAAGTGATTTCGAATTTTTTAACTAGAGGGATTAAATTCTAGGTGGTATTGTCTTGGGGGATAAGATGTGATTGGAACGAGTCACGTGTCACTTCAAAATTCCCCCAGTGATGTCAAGAGGAAGGTTCAATGGTTCTCCGCTCTAACGGCATAACAATGCCTCTCAAAAATCTCGATATCTGCCAATAAACTAATAAATTGAAATGTCTGAGACAATCAGGTGTCTCCGGAGGCCGCTGTTGCGCCTGATCACCAGCAGCATTGATCGCCAGTACCAGTTCACCGGTGAGTTTTGATAACTAACCTCAAATCTTACTGTAAAAGCCCAGGAAGCTGGAGAAAAAAATCCTCCAAGGATGAAGAAGTTTAACAGAAAAATCCCATTGGATGAAAAGTTTAATAAAAAAAATTCTGTTGGATGAAAAAGTTTACTAGAAAAATTCTATTGGATTTCTATCGAACTTTCTATTAGTTTTTGGCTGATTCTAGTGAAATGTTCAATATCGAATAGAATTCGATTTTTCTGTACAACTTATTCTGTTCAGATATTTTCTATGGAATTTCCTCAGCTCAAATTTTTCAATTTATTATTTTTATTCATATTTTCTTTCCTACTACTATCATGGTTTTATAGGCTCGCCATTAGTCTGCCTAATTTTCCAAGTTTTTTTGTTTGATTCTCTTATCGAGAAGAAAAGGAAAAAAGAATGAAAAAAAACGTGGAAAATTTGAGCAGAAGAAATTGTATAGAAAATACCTGAAGTGAATAAGTTATATAGAAAAATCGAATTCTAGTGACTTTTTCTATAAAGGCCCTCCTGGATTATCTCTCGAACGTGATTTTGGTTGTTTTTTTTATTTTGATAATCTGAAATGATCTCCAGTTGCTATTCACTTTTGCATAGCCCTGGAGTCTCCAAAAATGATGATTGTACAATCAAAGAAACGTTGAAAACAAGCCGAACATTTTCGAAGAGCGTTTTTGAATAATATTGGGGAATAAACCCAGTAGAGAGGAAATTGCAAATTAATAATTTGATGTATCTAATGGCTGTCAGGACTTATTTCTTAATTATTTCTTACTTATTTCTTAATCTTCATTAAAAACGCTCTTTCAAAATGTTCATTTTTTTTTCTCTTGTTTTCTATTGTACAATCACAATTTTTAGGGACTCCCTACATTACATTATGAAGATGGAAAAACAATCAAAATCACGTTCGAAAGATGATCCACCCGGGCCTTAAATATTTCCTATGTTCCATTGCAGTAGAATGGGCCAAAACCTAATAGAAATCCAATAGAATTTTACAACGAGTTCGCTAGATTTTTCCATTAAATTTATTCGCGCGTGTCTCGCTATCCTCTCTTCACCTCCAAATCCCCAGGACGCAGGCCCCTCTACACAGAATCAACCCTGGACCTCGACGAATACAAGAACGTTAGGAGGAACCTCCAGACCCTCGGCAAAGAGCAGTCCGACGTCTTCAGAGAAGCAGTCATGATAACCCTGAAGAACGAGACGAACCTGGTGACAATAGTGGACCTCAGGAAGATGCTGCACATCGTCGAGAAGAACGAGGAGGACTTGCGCCTTCTGAAGGCGATGGTGGAGCGGTACCACCAGCAAAATAACGACAATGACTCCTACACCTTCGGTCCTATCATCATGAGAGCCCTGCACTACCTGAACGAACCTCACGTTGCCCTCGAGGCTATCAAGGACCCCAAGTTCCACAGTCTCTACAACCAACCCACGACCTCTGCCATCCTCCTGGATCTGCTCTACGAACACGGCATGTTCAAAGAAATTCGCGATGTCTACGATTCTCTCCGCGAAAGGCCTGTTAGCAAATTGGTGATTTCGGTCGTTGCTATGGCGTGTTATAAAGAGGTGAATGTTTTATTTTTTTTTCAAGGGAGATGGTGAGCGAGGACTCCTGCGAGGCACATTTTGGGGGAATTTAACTTTCAATTGTCTGGACGATTTTATCGTATACATTTTGTACGATTTATTTCATGATTTTCATCATTTATCTTATATTTTATGGTTTATTTATGCGCATTTTTTTATATCAACAATATTTTCCATATGATTTATGGAAAATGGACTTCCTAATCATTTTCACAATTTTAAAAATATTTCCTAGTTGAGGCTCGGGTGTACTATCTTTCGAATGTTATCTGGATTTTTTTTATCTTTCGTAATCCAAAGTGGGATGTACCTCCGGGATGGACACCCGGGCCTCAAAGGTGCAAAATTAAACATCAAAATTTAAATAATAAAGTCATTCTCAACTTCAAATCAAATGGGGCTAAAATGAAAAGCCCCAGCGACAAATGTAGAAAAAAGTTTCAACGAAATTGTTGATTCGACGAGTCCCCAAGTCCCAAAAATTCGCGGAAGTCTTTCCTAAAAAAAAGCTATCCTTTTAAAATCATCGATTTACTCTCCAGAATTCCCCAGCGAGCTTGCAATATGCCCTACAAATGTGGAAGGAATTGTGTCATCAGAGTACGCCAATGCGGAGGACGATAGTGACACTCACAGCCCTAGCACTCAATCAGAATAAACCTGGAATCGCTCTGGAGCTCCTTGCATATTGTCATAAATTCGACTCCATCTCTGTCAGGTCTGCCAAGGTCATGGCTCTCTGTGATTTGAACGAGATGGACAAAGCGCTAGTGGACTTTAAACAAGCTTTGAAACATAATAGTCATTACCTTGCAGATGTCGTGAGTCTCTTTCCCATTACTGATCCATTTTATACGTTTTTTGTCATTTATGGGCTGATTATTTTGCTTTCGACAGGCTATTAAATTCACTGCTGCAGTGAAGCGATTGGATATCGCGCCAGATGAGGAAATTCGGGAGGTTTTCGATGTTTTGAAGATTCAACGCTTCATTTATGCTCAGGTAAGTTATTAATTTATTAATTAATCAATTAATTAATTGAATAATTCATTCATTCATTCGTTTTCTCATTATATATATTTTTTTTATGAATGAATGAATGAATTCAATGCAATAATGAAGAGGAAAATTGAAATTTCGATGTTTGAAGATGTTAATAATAGATAAATTGTTTTGAAATTTGATACAGACCCTCGACGCATACATCTCCAACCCAATAGACGTTTGGAAGAAGCAGAAACCACCTCAGAAGAATACTTACCAATTGGACAGACGAAAATTACCCCTTGGCAGAGACACGAGTACAACACGAGTACAACTCATAATTTAACCAGAACCACCACGAAATTTTTTCGACTCCATCATCGAGTTATGTAGTGTAATTTTCAATGTTTCACGTAAAAATACCTCCAGTGTGATTACAAAAACTAATGGACTGCTGTCATTTTTAATAATTGATTGTAGTTATCCGTGAGCCACTCGTCCATCACTGGTGTATTTTTAAATTGTTTTCTAATTATCTGGATAAGATTTGCCAACCAACTGGTTTTTGGTGTTGAATTATTCTCTCCACATCTGCAATAAAATGCATTCATTGAAAGTTCATTCAACATAAATTGACATAAATTAGAGAATAATCAAATCCCCAAATTTAATGAAAAATCAAGATTTTTATTCACATGTCATGATATTGAAGAATTTCGTAAGTTTCTTCCACGCGATTTTTTTTCTTCGTGAAAAAACTGCACAGAAAAATCGAATTCAATTGACTTTTTTATACAGCAAATTTTTCATTAAACATTTCTAATGAACAAACATACAGATTATCCTGCGAGATTTTTCAACTGAATTTTTCCCCGTTGAAAAATTCTCCAAAATGTTTCCCCTGTCAATTTTTTTTCGATCAAACAATTTCAATTCGCGATTGTAATAAAAAAATCGTGATTATGATGGAACACTCAAAAAATGTTAAAGCATTTGAAGTTGATAAAATAGACAATTTTTTACAAAAACCAATCTTACTTTTCTATGCACTTCGGTCAGAAAAATTTTTTAGAAGAAAAATTTCCCGGGGATTATTCCCGGGGGATTTGTCCCAGGAAAAAAATCCAGAGCCCAAACTTCCAACTCACCTGGAGGACAGTGCAGCAACAAGATTGGCCCAGCTCTCGACGCTCCCGGGGAAGGAGTGAACAGTCTTCTGGGCAGCCCTGAGCCCCTTCCCCTGGTCAGTGGCCAACTGCCCCAAAGAAGAGATGCAGGCGACCTGAGCGACAGCAACGGTGGACGTTTTCCTCCCCAGGAACAGCGTCTTCTGCGCGCAGTTTCCAAAACTGGCGTAGTTCGTCTCGAGTAGAATCCTCACGAGTCCCACCCAGGACCCCACGTCCTCGGGATGTCGGTGTACAGCCTTGGAGATGACCCTGACAGCCCCCCCGACATCGCCATTGGTGAGACAGGAGTAAGCTGTGAGGATGGCCACGTGGTGTCTGTACTCAGGATCGTCCTTGTAGGCCTGCAGCTCATTGAGAACGAGAGCACTGAGATTGTAGTCCTCGTGGAGGAGTCCGAGGGCCGCAGAGGCGAGGAGTCCAGCGACGATGGGCGGCTGGATCTGGATGCACTGGTAGAGGAGGGTCTTTACCTGGTCGACACCCTGGAACATGTAGGCCATGGCTGCCATGGCGCAGAGCACGTGGGCCTCGTCGGAGCCGGCGTCTGCCAGCCACTGGAGAGCGGCCCCATACGCCTCGTAGGACTCCTCGTACCTCGCGGCCTTGAACAGCGCCAGCGCCAGCTGACAGTGAGACCGGAAGCTCGGGGTCTTCGTGCCCTGGCAGATCTTCACAGCCTTCTCGTACTCCCCTAGCTGGACCAGAACTCGAGCGTAGTTCACGCGGACCATGTCCTGGTGATTCTCGGGGGAGAGGGCCTCCTCGGAGAGGCGCAGGGCCGCCGAGAACTGCTCTGCTGCCGGCCGCAACAGTTTCTGACGCTCCAGTAACAAACCTGCAATCGTTCAATTTTTCACGAATGATGGTTTTGGAGGATTGATTTTTTATCGTTTCGTGCACGACAACATTTTATCGAAAAATGTCGCGGAAAACAATCAAATTAAAGTTTTCTCGGCAAATTATTATATGGAGATGTTTTCTATAGAAACTTCAGGACTTTTTCACGAATGATGGTTTTGGAGGATTGATTTTTTTTTCGTTTCGTGCACGAAAAAATTTGATAGAAAAATGTAGGAAAAAAGAATTAAAAGTAATGAAATTAGAGTTTTCTGGAAAAATTATTTCCTTGAGATGTTTTCTATCGAAATTCTTCAGCTCAAATTTTACCAGTTTTTTTGTTCTTTTTTTAATGAAAAGAGAAAAAGAATAGAGAGAAAAAGTTGGAAAAATCAAAATAAAAAATCTAAATAGAAAAAGTTGCAGTTGAAAGATGAAATTGTACTGTTTTTTTTAATAAAATAGTTCTTATTAGACATTTTCTATAGGAATCCCTCAACAGGAATTTTTTTATTTTCTATCGACTCTATTTGTCTCCCTTTTTCATAAAAAAATAAACGAAAAAGCTGATTAGAAAAATCAAATTCTATTGATTTTTTTCTGCACATAAAATTATACTGATTTCCTCTATGAAATATTTTTTATCAAACATTTTCCATTAAAAAAAACGCGCACTGAATTTGAATCTCGATATTCAACCATTAAAAAACATTTTAGAAATCTGAAAAAAAGAAAGTTTACTTTTGAAGGAAGATTCACGAAATAATTTAAAAAGTGCAATTTTCAAAATTACATAAAAATGATCGTAACAAATTTATTCATGCCCAGGAATCGATTTCATGTCTAAAAAAATCAGCAAGTTTCCAAAAGTTTAACCAATTCCAAGCATTTATTTACAAACAACGAATGTTGAAAAAATGAATAATCCTGTGCAAAATGTAATTTGAATAACGCTGAATATTCACGATATTGTCCAGCCTTTCCACGCAATTTAATTGACAAATTTGATGATTGAAAATTGAATCTATAGTGTAGTCTCCACCAAGCTGCAAAACCTACTGCGATAATCCTGAAATTTCAGATTTCCCTGAAAATTCATAAAAATTCAAAAATTCTGAAAATCATGAAGACGAAAATTCTTGAATCGGTCAGCGAAAGATATCTTCATCCTTATTTTTTACGAAAATACGTACCTAAGGCGTTTCTCCCATACGTAGAATCAGGTTCCCTCTGAATGTACCACGTCATGGCATCAATGGCGACAGGGATGGCGTGCATATTGACAATAGTGTAGCTGTAAAGAGGATCCTTCTTGGCATCGGGGTCGAGTATGGTGGTGAGCACCCAGTGGGCATATCCAACAGCAGCTTGAGGATGATACCCGAGTTGTGTGGCGTGCCTGAACAAATCCATGGCCTCCTTCCTCTCAACGGACTCTGCGATGAGCCCCTGGCCGATCCAGCTGTTCTCGTACTCTGGGTCCGCCCGTTGGGCCCTCGAGAAGGCCTCGTTGGCCTTGTAGGGGTCTCCCAGGTGGAGGTAGAGGGTCCCCAGGTTCGTCCAGGCGATGGCGTTGTTCGGCTCTCTGTCGATTGCCATCACCCAGCAGTGCTGGGCCAGGGCGTAGTTCTTTATCTCCTCGGTCATGCAGATGACCCCCAGGACGTTCCAGTGGACCCAGGTGGAGGGGTTCAGGCGAACCGCCTGTTTGGCTGCTGCCAGGCTCTTCTCGGCGGTCGCCGATGAGTCGACGGAGGGGTCGAGCCGCAGCTGCGAGAGGTAGCAGCAGGCCAGGTCGTGCCAGAGGAAGGAGGAGTCTTTGGAGAGACTCAAGGCTCGGCAGAAACTCCTGAATGTCGAAGAGGATTCAATTTTCGGGGGGATTATTTTGCATTCATGACGATATTTCAAAGGGGTGATGACACAATGAAAAATTTTATGGAAAAATTGAAGACGAATTCGGTAGAGAATTCCATTGGATTTCTGTTAGTTTTTGGCTGATTGTATTGAAAAATTCTGCAGCTGTTTTGCATCTTTTTTTAAATAGAAGAAAAGATTCTGTAGAAAGAATCAATAGAATTCAATTTTTTATACAATTTATTCAATTGACATATTTTCTTATTTTTCGGTTGAAATTTTTCAAGTCTTTTTGTCTGATTTTTAATGAGAAAAATTGGAATTATTATGAAAAAATTAATTCAGCAGCTGATCTGCATCTTTTTTTAAATAAAATTTTTATTAAATATTATTAATAATATTAATATTATATTATTACTATTAATATTATCATTAAAAATATTATTAATATTTAATGGAAACGATTCTGTAGAAAGAATCAATAGAATTCCGTTTTTACACAATTTATGCAACTGACACATTTTCATATGTTTCGATTAAAATTTTTCAAGTCTTCATTTAATTTTTTAATGAGAAAAATTCTCTTAATTCAATTAAATTCTCTCTTTCCTTTTCTCTCCATAAAATTTGATAGAAATTTCCTTCGAAATCCATAAAAACGTGCAGCAAAGTCGAATAAAATCCTGAAAATGTACCTCGAGGAGAGTGTGAACAGCTCAGTCCTTCCAATGTGAACTTTCTTTTGGAGACAATCAGCTTTAACAAGTCCCCCAGCCACTGCTAGAGAGCAGTATTCAGGTGGGAATGTCGCTACCCTGTAGCAAGCATCACCGAGTAGCTTCCAGAGGCACGAGAGATTGGAGTTCTCGACGATGGCGTCGGTGAGGCTGTCGACAGCCTGCTGAATGTTCATGAGAGCTCTCCCCACTAATTGGGCCCTCGAGTTTTCCCTCGCGAGACCGAGACAGGTCTCCGCGAGGCCCTTGAGGGCGGGAATGTACCTCTGCTCCTGGGTGAGCACCTGCAGAAATGCGGCTTTGGCTTCGACGTGCCTCCCCAGCACCAGATTTATGTTCGCAATCTGGATCATGGGGTAGAGGGAGCCTGGGGAGAGCTCCAGGGCTCGCTGATAGGACTTCAGGGCTGAGGTGTGGGCCCCTCTAGCCCAGTAGGCGTCAGCCAGTGATTCCCAGCAGTGATTGTCGTTGGGATCAGCCCTTATCACGTACCTCAGGGACTTGATCGCCTGGGCTATCTCACCCTCGTCCAATTGCTGCAGACCGAGCTGCAGCCAAGCCCATTTGGGTCCTCCACCCTCGACGGTAGTCACTCGCTGGAGCATCTGCATATTTGCCTCCTGAAAATATTTTATATTTTACTTTATAACTAAAAATATTAAATTGAAATATTACATTAAAATAATATTTAATATAAAATATTAAATTAAAATATTTACTTTAGAAAATAAAATATAAAATTTAATATTTTTATATATATTTTAATTTATATTTTATTTTGGTAACTGGGGATTCATTAGAGATGTGAGTGACAAAAATGACCAGCAATTTCTACACTAACAATTTTTAGCTGAAATTTCCCATTCATTTTCGGAAATTTTTATCTCATTTAAGTTAAGGAATTCAGTCATTGAAAATTCGGTACTTAGAAAAAATCAATGAGAACAGTAAAATTTAGTTCAATTATTCATTGAAAATTAATAGAAGACATAAACATATTCTTGAATTTCAATTATTTGATTTATTTGATTTCAACAATTCTTCACTTATTTGAAAATTCAAATAAATTGAAGAATTCTCGTCTTCAACCTTCTCAAAAACTTGGAATTTTATTGAATTTTCAGTAAAATCTGCAATTTCATTATTTCTTTTCCCTTAAATTGCATTCAGTGCCCCCCTCTATTAATTATTGTCAGTGGCCCCGTCCCCAATGGGCCACTGACAATAATTACTAACTAAACCAATAACCGATACTAATCCAATTCTACGAAAAAGTTTTCCGATCAAGCCCTCAAAAAAGTCCCAAAAAATGCCTAAATTACACTATTCTTCAGCAATCGATAAGCAGTGCTGAGCCCGGCGCCCGCCTCATCGCTGTTCGGATTGATCCTCAGGGCCTTCTGATAGCACTTCCTCGCCTTCTCCAGATCGCCGCCTCTCTCCCTATAATAATGCCCCAGATACATGAGACACTGCCAGTGATTCGGGTCCGCATGTACGCCCTTCAAGAACGCCATGAGTGCATGACTGAAGTTGGACAACGCCCAGTTGATCTCCCCAAACATGAACCAGGCCTCGGCGGTCTCCAAGACGCCCCCAAGCACATCCACAGCCTCCTCACACCGCCCCTCGCTCTTCAGCACCAGCGCTCGCAGCATGGCGCCCTCTGCCTGGGTCTCAGGGTCATTCTCAAGCTCATCCAGCAGACTCCAGACACCTGGATCCCCCAGAAGTGCCTTCGCCCTGGCCACCAGTGGCTTCACGCCCTTCAAAGTCCCCCCCTCCATCAATTTCCCACAGATCTCCACAGCATCAGGGCACTTACTCCTGTTGCCCCCTCTGACAACGGCCTCAACAAAAATCATATCAACCCTTCGCTGCAGCTCCTCATGTTTGTTCTTCAGATGTCTCGAGGCCTCCGCAGCTGCACTCTCCGCATCCCCCCAGCAGTAGAGGCTTTTATTGGCTTCAGCCAGGGCAATCCACGCATAGAACTGCTTAGGATTCGTGGAGACAGCCTGATTCAACAAATCCCTCGCGTCGATCACGTTGCTCTCCTGCCAGAGGTGCATGGCCTTCGCGAAGAGCCCCAGGTACGATCCCTCGTCCGCTTGGAGAAGATCGTTGTAGAAAAAGTCAATCTGCATTCCCCTGCAGAAGTCCAGACCCTCGAGCACCTTCTGCTCGGAGTAGACTCTGCAGATCCACTCCAGGGGGGCCAAGTCCCTCGGGTACGTGTGGTGCATCTTGGCAGCTGCGCTCAGGAGGCAGTCGAATTTCCTCGAGGCAAACAGCAGCTTCAGGTATTGCCTGGAGCACTCGTGGTGGTATGGGAACGACTCGTTGTCTGTGATCGACGCCAGGGACGCCTGGTGGACCTCAGGATACTCCTGCGAGAGCTCTGGGAATTTCAGGAAAATAGTCCCCAGGCACTCGTCTATGCTGGTCGCATGCTCTCGGCAGGAGTCACTCCGCAGAGCCCAGAAGGAGGCGATTGACTGACTCGTCAGGAATGGGTCCTTCAGCCTCAGCATCAGGCGAGACGTCTCGGTGATGTAGGTGGAGAGTCTGGGAGATGCTCTGTCCAGTCGCATCAGCTGACAGTAGGTCGGGATCAGCTCGCTCCAGGTCTCGGGGTCGTCGGGTTCTTTCTCGTAGAAGGCGGCGAGGCCCTGGTACGCCAGGGGATTCTCCGGCTGGAGCTCGACGGCCTTTCGCAGGGCCAGCGGCACCTGGGACTTGTAGTCCTCCAGGCCCTTCATCGCACCGGCCAGGCCCAGCAGCGCTTGGTAGTTGTTCTTGTCTTCCTTCAGGAGACGCTGGCAGATCTTCAGGGCCTCGCTGTAACTACCCTCTCTGATCAGGGATTTTGCCTCCTTCAGCGCTGCTTTCGAATCCTTCGACATTTTCATTTCATAAGTTCCTGCAACATCTCTTGAACTTTATTGATAAGAAATAGTATTTTTTCGGCCTGTTGCGATGGGGTTTTTTACTCGTGTGGAGTTGGCCCTCGAGCCGTAGGCGAGGGCCAGTAAAAAAACCCCATCGCAGCAGCCCAGGAACAATATTTTTCTGTAGTGATTTTCAAATTTTCGAGTTTGGGAAGTATGTAATACTAATTCCCAGACGAGAAATCGTGAGAAGCAGTACAGAAAAAGAATTTTTACTCTTGCTAAATTAATTGCAATTCTTTGGATTTTTATTTTGAGAATTGGGAGATTGTGTAGTGATGGATAACAACAGTTGTTGTGTGATGATTCACTCAGAATAAAAATCCGCTGCTTCAAAATATTTAGTTTAATGTTTAAATCGTAAACAACCTAACCCATTCTGAAAACACTCGGAAAATACGAATTCCTCACCTACAGTGGTTGATCGAAATTCTGGATAAAATGGTACTCCATAAGCTGGAGTTTTATTTCTGTGGAGTAATTGTTGAGTCAGGGGAAGGGGATAATATTTTTAAGAGATTAAAAACGGCTTGTGTTTTTTTTTTTAAGCCCGTGAAGCGACTGACGCGACTGTGATTCATCTGTCGACGAAGTTGCGAAGATTGTTCAAGGTCATTCGCTCACCTGATTCAATTCGCCATGTGTTTTGATTCGGATAACCTGCGAAGTGAATAAACAAAAATATCCAGGAGTGAGAACTTCGTCGATAAACATCGCCCCAAAGTAAGAATTGATCCTCAATCTCGTATTCAATTCGTCAACTGATTTTCGTAGATTTTATTTTGAATTAATGGAATTAATAATGTCGTAACTCAATCAGAGAAAATGGAAGACTCATTTTGGCATCAGGTTTCCTCAGAATTTATTGCTCTAAAGTGATTAAACTTTATATAAAATAAAATTTATTGTAAAATTATTTTTGGGATTCAAAGTGAGTTAAATTTTTAAAACGATGATGAAATTTTCAGATTTCCACATTCTAATCCATCGTCAGTATAAATTCAGTCTGATATTGAATTACTGCGACGACTGTTCAAAAATCTAATTTTTTTTCGCTGAAAATTAATTGAAAACTAATAGTTCGGCTTGTCCCCATTGTTGCTATAATGACGCATTTCGCAAAATAAAAATTACGCAAATGTTGTCTTCAAAGAAATAAATTTCGTTTTCATTTACACGAGAATCTAAAAATCACAATGAATTATTCTGACAGCTGTTTTCAAAAATCTAATTTTTTGTTGAAAATTAATTCTGAACGCAAACGAATCAGTAGCGAGCTGTTAAAATGAGATAAGTCAATTTTTACTATTGACCACTTTTCATTAAATACCTCGGAATCTAAGGAAGACACCGAAATTTTTGTTATAACCTTTTTTGTGTAGCCGATTGAGTGCTACAACAAATTTAATTACAAAAATTTCGCTATCTCCCTTAGATTCCGAGATATTGATTGAAAACTGGTCGATAGACAAAATTGACTCATCTCCTTTTACCACTTCGCTACTGAAACAATTACTCCCACTGTTTCCACAAATTCGCATTTCGCAAGATGAAAATCACCAAAATCTCCTCATAATCCTCACGAGTATCTAAAAGCCACAATGCATTTTAATTCTCGCCGAAACCTTGAAAAGTCCCCCAAATGGTTAAATTCATCCCTAACACAAATTCTCATTTCCTCCAGCGCCATCAGCAGCCCCCGAGTCAAATAAACCCCGACAATTCGATAAATAGAAGCCCCTGACCCCCCGGAAATGTCCCAATCGCCCAATTAATCCTCCAACTTCAACCGCATCCTCCATGGCTCTCCGCCGAGTCCCCCTGCGCCACTTGATCCGTCTCCTGCCACCTCGCGCCCCGTCACTCTCCCAAATCCGTAATCAGAGGGTATTCGCAAGCGCGGAGAGCCCCGAGGCCCCTGGAGGCCCAAAAATCGACAAAGAGACGATAAAAAAGTTGGAGAGGCTGTCCCTAGTGGATTTCGGCAACGAGGCAGGGATAAAGCGTCTCGAGGCTGCGATAAGCTTCGCGGAGAAGCTCAGGCGCTTCCCGGTGGACGAGAGGGTGGAGCCCCTGTACTGCGTCCTGGAGAAGGAGAGTCTTCGGTTGCGAGAAGACAGGGTGACAGAGGGCGGCTGCAGGGAGGCGATCCTGGGGAACGCGACAGTAACTGAGGACGAGTACTTCGTGGCGCCTCCTGGGAACATTCCCCTGGAGCAATGACGTTAGAGAGAGTCCTGAAGGACCTGGGGACCGGCTTCCTGAGCCTGGAGAGGGGCTTCGTCTTCGGTCCCCAGGGGCAGCTGCTCCGGAGGAACATCGAGGAGCTTTGGTACAGGCACTGCGTCGTTCAGCCGCCTTACAATGTCTTTCTGTCAGCCCCAGACAGGATCTCCGAGACCCTGGGGACCCTCTGGAGGGCGGGGGCTCTGCAGAAGCCGTTCGGAGTGGCCGTCCTGGAGGAGGCGAGGACTTCTTGGAATGGGAGCGTCCTCCCCGAGGGCTGCAGGGTGCCCTCCCACAGCCTGGGCAGGGTCACGGTGGTGACCGAGGCCACTGGGGCCAAGGACCTCTACCACAGGAAGCAGAGGGAGAGGAAGGTCTGGTGGAGGAAGTTCTCCAGGGAGCCCAAGAGGTTCCAGTTCACCGAGGCCAGGAGGATCAGCAAGAGCAAGGAGGTCATTGAGGTCCAGGCCCAGTTCGCATTTGGGGGCGTTGTGCTGGAGACCATCTGCTATCAGCAGGATGCCAAGAGGATTTTTAAAGAGGTCAGTGATGGTTGGAGAAAAAAATTATTTTTGATGAATATTCATTTACTTGAGGGAAGTATTTATTTGGTGTCGATTGCTCCAGAAGATGAGCATGTTTGTTATGACCTTGAGGGCGCTCCCTCAATAATTATCAACATTAAAAAATCAATTGAAAGTCATGATCGAAAGCTAATCAGACTCGCCAGGGAATGACTCCATAGGAGAAGTACGATTTTGAAGAAATAAATCAATAATAATTAATCAATTATTAAATTCAATTAATTAATTGACTATTGATAAATAATAATTAATATTGATAATAATTTATATCAATTAATTAATTATTATTAATAATAATTAATTAATTGATATTAATTATTTTTGTTAATCCCTGAATAATGAACATTCCAATGATATTTCACTCGCAGCGAAACGAGATTGAAAAGTTCCTGGGCAATGTCCACACAGTCGAGCACACCGCATCCCTAGACTGGGCCTGTCTAGCCTTCCTCTGCGACGCCTACACTCCCGCCGACGCCACCACCCCCTGCCAGCTAAAACTCCACCCAAAGTTCACCCCCTACAAAGTGGGATTCCAAATCCACCCCCCTGACGACCCGGACTCCAAGTCCCAGGAAAAGTCTCGTTTACTCCTCTACTTGAACAACCTCGTGAAGGCGGAGGGCATCGAAACAGTGGTCACAACGAGTGAATGCGGCCTGACGGCCCTCCAGGTCCCCCTAGTCGTCGTCGTCGACGACACCACCCTTCAGAACGGCCTCATCAGGGTCTGGAGCCAGCTGACAACTCTCCACGAGACAATCCACATAACACACCTCACAAAATACGTGTCAGCTCGATGCAGATAATAAAAAACACAATTACGTTGTAGTCATTATTTTAATTAATTACTTTCAATAAAAATAGAACAACTTAAACATTAGGGGCAGACAGAAACGCATGTGTTTATCAGTTTTTTCAATTACTCCATAGTAATTAATTTTATTTAATATCTACTATTGGGGGAGAGTTGGGGAGACAGATACCCTCGATTTTTTCTAAAATGAGAATAACTCATCCAATTTTTGGGGCATCACGGACGAAGAAATTTTATGGTTTCAATTACTGAATGTCTACTAGATATTTTCAGAGCTGAGGAATTCGTCAATAGAAATCCAACAGAATTTTCTGGATTTTACTGTAAAATTTTTTCGTGCGTGATTTCATTCTGGAATTTCTTTTTGTTAAATATCTAAAAAACCAAGAGAGGTAGCTAAATTTTCCTCTCTACCTTTTTTGTGCAGAAAAACGAAACCTACAAAAAAGATTTTAATACAAATTTCTCTATCTCCCTTGGTTTTTGAGATATTCACAAAAAATTCCAAAAATTTGGGCAAATGTCCTGAAATTCTCAGGTGGCGTGACGGGTCTCAGGTGACTGCTGACTCAACTAATTTCAGTGACAAATATTCCAAAAGAATGTCGAAAGTATTCGTATCCCCCCCACCCTCTCAACATCCCGCGAAGCGCTTGATTCACGTGATTGACACTTTAAACGCGCACCTTCATTATTTTCTCATTAACAAATATTTCTTCCAATGAACATGATTATTTCCATCGCCGTAGACACTCACCACCAGTCTCTAAATTATGTACAAGAGGTTGGAGGGAGGGAAGAGGATGCATGAATAAATCGGATGATAGGTGAGGAATTGAGGGGGATTTGGCTCAGGGGGACTTTGGAGCACAAGGAAAATGCATTCGGATGAATTTTGAATCTTGAATAAAATGTCTTGAGAAATTTTTCATTTATTTCACTCTGGCGAGTCGATTTTTCCTCCTTTCCCCCAGCGAAGAGATGAAAACTTGTGCGAATTTTCAGTTGATTTTTTCTAATGTTTCAACTTATTGATCTTGAAAAATCCCCTCACTCCCTCGATGGTTCTAACGGCGTGCCAGGTCAGTAGTAGCATTAACTGCATTCGATAGTCAATTTTGTCGAGATTTTTTTCTTTTTTTCACGAAATAAATGTAATTAAATGGGTTTATGGTCAATTCACTCAATGTGGCTAAGCTGGTAACTGAAGTTTCTTGCCCTTGAGTACTTTGGTAATATAGAGATAAAAGAAATCGCAGTACAGGACAGTCTGCACGACACCAGCGACGATGGCTATGAGATCGTAGTGGTCTTCGGCGTAGTAACGATACACCCAGTTCAGGAGATAGAGGCCACGGTATGTGCCAAGGGCGAAGAGGTAGTGGCTCGTAATACTCTCGGCTTCGCCGGTCTTCGAGACCAGGAATAGTTGGGGCAATATTGCCACTGACTCGAGGTAAATACTGAAGGTCCAGAGGATCTCGAGGGGGGTGAACTCGTGGTTAATTAGGAGGGCCAGAACCAGGGCTGGGGCTATCAGAAATTCAATCCTGGAAGGGGAAGAAAATGTATTATTACGTGTGATTACATTCTACTTTGATTTTTTAGGGAAAATACAGAGAAACAGTCTCTGGGTGTGGATACTTTATTTTTATTAGAGAAATTCTTATTTAAGGAAATAATTCCTACGTAAATGTGTATTTTTAATATTTTTTTGATATTTTAAATGGTTTTAATAATGGTTTTATGATTAAATAAATGTTTTATTAGTGAAATATTTTTTACTGTAAAAAATATTTCAGTAATAGTTTGAATGTAATGATGAACATGGATCTGCGATAAAAATGTCTGGAATTTCTATAGAATTTTTGTGTGAAGGTTCGTATGAGAAATCTTAGAATTTTCGGTGGGGAAAATTCTGTGAAATTCACCGAGGGTTTTTTTCGTAGAAATAAAAATGAAAATTCTGGAATTCTTTTCTATAGTCAGCATAATTTCTTCGAAGAGAATTCCCCCAGGATTTTTTCTGTAGCATATCCCTTGAACTCTTACAGAACATTCTCCAAATTTTTCCCAGGGAAAATATAAAGTTTTGAAAAAACTCTTTTACGAATTTTTTGGAAACCCAAAAAAATACCACAAGAATTCCTGTGGAAAACCTCTGGATTTCTTTTGAAAATAAATTCTGTGCAAAAAAAACCTCTTCAAAATGTTGATGACCCATTGAATTCTTGAAACTAGTTTTTAATTCCATGAGAATAACAACTCTTCCTCTTTTTCATGGCCCCCGAGCCCCATTGACCCATCTATTTCTGACCTTTGCTCACTAGAAAAAAGTCAAAAGTCCGTTCTCACCCACCCTTCCCCTCCCCCAGGACACTTCTGAGTTATTTTGAAGTGCCCACAGCTCATTCAATTAATTTTCAATTTTCAAGGAAATTTCTTGCAAGAAAAATACAAAAAAAAATTTCTCACAACAGGCCATCGCCCGAGGGCCGTCCAAGTATTTACACATGGACACAAGTTTTTCGTTCTATTTTTGATGGCGTAGTTGTAGTCCAATGAGGTGAAGATGATACATTAATTCAGTAGCCAAGTGGTAAAACAGTTCAAGTCAACTCATCTGCCAGCTGAGTTTTTGAGGAATATTTCCGAATCTAAGGGAGATATCGAAATTTTCGTCATGACATTTGTTGTAGCCCCCAATCCGCTCTACAAAAAAGGTTATAACAACAATTCTGCTATCTCCCTCAGATTCCGAGATATTCATTGAAAACTGATCAACAGTCAAAATTGACTTTTATCGTCTTCCCACTTCGCTACTGAATTTGTTCGAGTGACTGCATTGATACATTGCCCATAGTCCACCTGAAACTTGTCTCGAACTTAGTTTCAGGTAACGAGTTTCGGTTTCTATTGTCAAATTGTTGATTCGACAATGAAAACAAAGGAAAACCATTTTTCCAAAGGGAAAATAAATTTTGCTCCGACTACAGATGAAGCTCATTCGATTTTCAACGAAAAGGGCCAATTTTTTTTTCTCGCGGGGAGAATAATGCCTCCTCTGCAACGATGAGCCTAGATCGACCTCTGTTGATAAACTCGCTGCTCAGTCGTGAACATCAGAAAAAAAGTCAAAGTGTCAATTTTACCCCAGTCTCACCCAATCGCCAATTACTCACCGGAACGAGTCATGATTGTGATCATAAGTCGCCTTGAATTTGACATACATCAAGAAGATAGTGGCCACTGAGGCACTAATGAAGACAAACTTCATAAACGTGTTGTAAGCAGAAATGTACGTGGTGAGGAGGTCGAGGTATCTCGTTATGTACACAATGGCAAAAAGTATCTGGGATTTTCCGCTTATGCCTTTAACCAAAAAATTGTTAACATTAAAGTCGTCGAATCAGGGGGTGAGCTTGATGTGCTCATTTGTTAATGAGTGACGAGTTCCACGGAGCAGTGAACGTGGAAAACATTGCTCCGAAATAACACTTACCGGCACAACTCCTGGTAGTCCATATTTTAAGCAATAGAACTATGATCGCTAGGAGATGCGATAAATCACCGAGCAATCGGAATATGTTCATGTCGCGGGACTGTCGGTACTGGGGGCAATAATTCAGTGGCTAATTGTTGGGAGTTTTTGTGGTTAAAACACGGGGGACGGGACGAGAGACTCATGCACAACCGCACAAATCGACAGCCACGGCACACAAATATGACGTGGCTATGGGAATTGTGCTTACTCAAAAGCATTCGGTAGATGGCCGACTGATGGCACGAGAAGGCACAACACTGGATGGGGGGACGATGTTTTTGGGGTGGCTCGTAGCGCTGTTTTAGTTTTTTCACGAGTTTTCTGGGGATAAAGAGGTTTTTTTCGGAACTCTTGAGATTGCGAGAATTTTTACGATTGTGGTAATCTTTTTTTATGGGGGTGATTATTGCAGTTATTTTCGGGTTTTCCATGTATTTTTTATCTTTAAGGGATGAGAATAATTTTTTTTTGTTCAAAACCCAGCAAACAGTATGTCGACGAATTGTCAATGTCCTGTTCAATTTCAGATGGCAGTGACAAAAATTGTTTTCTGGGAATGCAAGAAATTAGTTTATTTTTTGCGACTTTTGTTATATTTTTTTTATGGAGATGAGAATTTTAGTTATTTCCGAGTTTTGCCCATATTTTTTATCTTTAAGGGATGAGAATAATTTTTTTTTGTTCAAAATGCAAGAAATTAGTTTATTTTTTGCGACTTCTGTTTTTTTTTATGGAGATGAGAATTTTAGTCATTTCCGAGTTTTCTCCATATTTTTGATCTTTAAGAGACGAGAATAATTTTTTTTTGTTTAAAATGCAAGAAATTAGTTTATTTTTTGCGACTTTTCTTATATTTTTTTATGGAGATGAGAATTTTAGTTATTTCCGGGTTTTTCCAGTTTTTTTATCTTCAAGGGATGAGAATAATTTTTTTTTGTTCAAAATGCAAGAAATTTATTCATTTTTTACGACTTTTATCATCTTTTTTTATTGGAAATGATAATTCTATTTATTAACACCTCTTTTTCCTCAGTTTTTTATTTTGCGGTTGATATATTTTTTATGTTATTTCATCATTTGTCCTTTTTATTTTTTACTTTCAAGGGATACGATTTTTTAAAATTCTGAATTCGTAAAATGACTTCGTTCTCGTACTTTCATATTTTTCGAATCACCCGTTTATCACTGTTCCACGAAATTCAGTGACCGAAATAGAATTTTAGAATCATTTCGAATCATTAGAGGAGAACCGCCGCGCAGCCACCATTTTGTCTACCCACAATCCCTCAACCGCGTCTCATTTGAAATGACGAATGCCTCGAACTCAGGATAGCTAGCGTTATAATTACTATAACGCTATTTTTTCCTACCAAAAAGCGAATGAAAGCATGAAACTTCCTAAACTATAGCTCACAGACAGCTTTATTAATTGAAATCAGTTTAGACTCAACACAAAGGGAAAGAATTGTTCTTTTTACTGAAAAAAATCATTTCACCAACAATTCAACCTGTCATTAACATTTTTAAAAGTCAAAAGTGTCCATTTTACCCCACTCGCCCCTATCACAAAAAAAGTGAAAAGGGGCCGTTTTACCCCACTCCCCCTAAAAAAATAGCCCCCTAAACCCCCGAATTTCCAATGCCAACCCCCAATAAACCCCCCAAATCAATAAAAAACAAGATCCACCAAGCCCAAGCTACACGTGACATGTACTCGTGGCATCGCCTGGAAAAGTGGGTGTAGATAAGTGGGCGGTGGAGGGAGCGATCCCTCGAGAAAGAGAGGCCAGCACACGAAAACGAAGAAGGGGCGAGGCAGTTGGGTCACACCGTAAGCTAGTGGTGGTGGCGTTCTGAGGCACCTACTCTGTTATGCCTGGTGCAGGTACTTGTTTTCAGTGTATAACAGTAGGTGCCAAGTGTCCAAGTGTGTGCTCGTGATATCCTCGAGTGAATGATACCCCTAGATGTGCTGGTGTCCCCTCACAGGGCCATTCTCCCCCGAATAAACATTATTTTCGTGCAGCGACGTCCGATTACCCCAACCCACCCACGATTACCTGTTCGGCAGTATTTTAATATCGTTGAATCACTCGTCACGACCCATTGGAGAGGGAGTCTGGTCCACCAGCGTCTTCATTATTAATCCCACGATTATGCAGAGGATCTGAACAGCATCTCACCCCCTAAATTGGTGTGCGTTTAACTGCCATGACACAACCTCTCGTGTTATAAATACACGAACACGCGTACTCTCGTGCTAATCCGTGAATTCATACTCCCATTTTTTTTTCTAATTTTTTTTCCGAGTTCTGCGGTGATCGGGGGTCGTGGGGCGAAGGGGATCGAGTGATGTGATTTTCCTGCGGGTGAAGGGGACCTGGTGACATGATTTTTACGTAGAAATTGGGAAAAAGGTGAAGTGGCTGAGGGAGTGGTTGGAGAACATGGGAATATGGGTTTGTGCGTGAAATACGAGATGAAATGGTGTCTGTGGGCTTGCTGGTGGTGTCAGGCTCTCTCCGGGGCCAGTGGCTTTCCGGTAACCTCAGGTGACCCCTCAGGTAGGTCCTCGGTGGGTTTTGGCGTTTTTGGGGTTGCTGATGTGGGATTTTTGCAGGGTTCAGGGCCGATAGCTGGGAGCAGCGCTATGCTGTGGGCTCTCTGGGGGCTGGGGTCCTCATGGTCATCTGCGTGCTCAGCTGCCTCTGCTGCAGGCGACAGCGGAGGGCCTCCAAGGGGTTTCAGGTAGGCGTCGGGGCTCGGGGGGTGAGGGTTTTGGGAATTACTTTTTCTCGCACTCGTGGTTTTACGCTATTCAACTGCTGTACATTTGCTTTCGATTATAGAACTCTGGAGCTGATCAGTCACAGGTAATGGATTTGTTGGAACTGTTTTGAAGTAGACTCTGTTGGGGAGGTTGGGGTAAATGGACACTTTTGACTTTTTTTAAAATATTAGTGACGGGTTGAAATGTTGATGAAATTTCGTAATTTTTTTTTCAATGCAAAGAACAATTCTTTTCCTTTGAGATGAGCCTGAACTGAGCTCTATTGTTACATTTGTTTCCGAGTTATGAATAATTTTTAAAAAGTCTAAAGTGGCCATTTTACCCTGGCCTCCCCTAGACTTGGGGGGACGAGATGAGGAGGTGGGGGTTTGGGGATTGGAGAAGGTGAGGGGCTTTTTGGCTTGGGGAGTGGGGTATCGAGGTGTTGGGTGAAGTATTTGGGAATTGTGCAGAGGGAAAAAGAACTTTTTTCAAGACAAGAAGACATTTTTTAAAGGTTTAAAATGAGAGTTAATTCATTGAAATCGGTTTAGTGAAAGGAATTATTTTCAATCTTCAATAGTGCGAGAGTGGTAGAATGAAATTTGAGGATTCTTCTTTTATTTTTAAGGTTTTTTTAGTTTCGAAACAAGAGTTGATTAATTGAAACCGTTTCGTGTCGCTAGGAGATATTTGAGAAATTCTTATGAGGGCCTTTCCATTGCACGAGATAAGAACAACGAAAATTTTCTTCGTGAACATTTTATCTCCCTTCAATACCGAGACATTCAAAAAACACTGCTCTTAGAGGAAAAATAACTGAATTCGTCATTTCGGGTTTAGTGCACATTTTCCGATAAATGCAAAAGCTATATTTAATTGTTAATGAAATGGATTTTTTTTGCTTGGTGAATACACGTTTTTCTTTCTGTAATGAGCCCAGACAGCTCAATCAATCAATTTATTCCTGAGTTATTAATATTTAAAAAATTGTCGGAAGTATCCTTTTTGCCCCACTTCCTCAAAAAAAGAAAAAACAAAAAAATAATATAAATTAATAAAGCAAGGATTCCTAGCATTATTCGTCACAACAGCATAAACATTCAAATGTTAAAACCATATCCAATTGATGGAATAGAATAATTTTTTTCTCGAAGAATCCACTTCTTTCTCTTTGTAATGAGCCCGAACAGCTCAATCAATCAATTTATTCCTGAGTTATTAATATTAAAAAAATGTCGGAAGTGTCCATTTTGCCCCACTTCCTCACTCCTCATTTTCCCCCACAAAGAAGCTCCTCCGAACATTCACCAAAACCAAAAAAAGGAAAAACAGAAGAAGAATAATATCAACAACTAATAAAACAATGATTTCTGTCATTATTATTCACAACGGAATAAAAATTAACAATATTCCAACTGAATCATCTCTTCCCCAACTTGCGAGCCCCAGACTCCCCGGAGCTGTCACAACCCCCGAAAAACCGGCGCATTAACAAGCCTAACGTCCCCAAACCTTCCAGGAATTCAAGGACGTCTCGGGAGTAGTGAACGAGACGATTCTCTCCCGAGGGCTCTCGACCCTGGAGCTGGAGGTGCCCCGTTCAATCTCCAACAACCGAGTGGAGTTCGAGCCGTTGCCAGTGGACCGTCTGGTCCCCGATGCGCGTCACCCGGGGAAGCCGAAACCGCCCTCGCCCTCGCTCTTCGACCGCGAGTTCTCGGACAACGAGGACGGCCAGATCCCGAACCGCGAGTGGTTCTCCCCGGAGCTGCACATCCCCCGGGAGCGCCTCAAGTACCTCCGGGAGATCGGCAGGGGCTGGTTCGGGAAGGTGGTGGAGGGGACCCAGGACCTCAGCGACACCAGGACCCGAGGAATCGTCGTGAGGATCCTCACGGAGGAGGCGACCGCCAGCGAGAAGGCCTGGTTCCTGGGGGAGGCCCTCCCGTACCTGAAACTCCGCCACAGAAACCTGCTGGAACTCTTCGGAACTTGCCTCGAGACGGACCCCTACCTCCTCCTCTTCGAGTCCTGTCCCACAGGTAAGAATGCAGGGGAAACAAATTACCGGGGGTTCACTGACGTCTTACACGTGCATTAGACGTCACTGATCGCGAATTCAGAGACAGAGCACTCGATTTCAGAGTATTATGTTGCCGAAGACGAGAGACATTCCTATTTTGCATTTTTACCTGAGACTCAGCCCAGGACTCCTCAATTTATTCTAAAAATGAGTGGCTTTAAAAAGGCTTATTGGTTTATGAGGCAACGCTTATGAAGGATTTTATCAAATAAGAAATTTTATTGATTTCACTATAATTGACAATTTTTAGAATTCATAAGAAATTAAACAACTCTATACGATTTTTCAGTCAATTTTTTACAATTCCGAATTGAGATAAATTAAGATTAATTTTCGTGGAGACAGTGCACTCGATTTCAGAGTGATATTTTGCCGAAGACGAGAGACATTCCTATTTTTCATTTTTACCTGAGACTCAGCCCAGGACTCCTCAATTTATTCTAAAAATGAGTGGCTTTAAAAAGGCTTATTGGTTTATGAGGAAACGCTTATGAAGGGTTTTATCAAATAAGAAATTTTATTGATTTCACTATAATTGACAATTTTTAGAATTCATAAGAAATTAAACTACTCTATACGATTTTTCAGTCAATTTTTTATAATTCCAAATTGAGATAAATTTCACCACATTTATATTCTTGATCCTTAGTTCCTTGAGTACTTGGATAGCTCCATTTTACCCCACCCTTCCTCTTACCAAAATCCGAGAAAATCCTAGAAATTAAATGACAGAAAATAAAAAAAAAGATTGAACAAATACACGATGTTCTACAACAAATGATGATAGGAAATAATTACTGAAGATTCCTAGAATTAGTCAGAAGTGGTCAGAAAATAGTAATTCCACCGCTACTTAACTCATGTCAAAAATAACAGTAATTTTCCATTCCTATTCAAGAAGAAATTACAAAAAAATGGAATTAAATGACGAAAAATGACAAAAAAAATTACTGAACACAAAAATGACGGTCAGTTATCAACTAAATACACGACGTTCCCCCACAAATGACGCCAGGAAACAATTACTGTCGATTCCTGGAATTAACGTTCAAAAAGGCAATTTTACCGCTCACTTAACGCACGTAAAAACCTTTAATTTTGAATTTTTATATACCCGTAGGTGACCTAAAGTCCTTCCTACGATCGAACAGAAAGTCTGAGGCCCTCAGCACCGAGAAGATCCCGCTGAGGATGTCCTTAGACATCTCCTCGGCGCTCGGGCACATGCACCAGAATGGCTTCGCCCACACAGACTTGTCCGCCAGGAACTGCCTGGTGTCGCCAAACCTCTCCATCAAACTCGGTGACTACGGGATTGGGGTCGAGAAGTACCCCGAGGACTACTACGTCGTGGGCGACCGGGCCCTCCCCATCAGGTGGTCAGCCCCGGAGAGCCTGGTGTGCACAGACACAACCATCGAGACTCGAGCGATTACCCCGAAGGCCAACCTCTGGAGCTTCGCAATTCTCCTCTACGAGATCGCGAGCTGGGGGGAGCGACCCTACGACTCCCTGGGGGACGAGCAAGTCATCGAGATGATCCTCTCGTTGAACTTCGAGTCCCACCTGAAGCTGGAGGATCTGCAGAGTTCGAAGGGGCTCGTGGAGGCTCTGAAATCCTGCTGGAAGATCAACCCCAACGACAGAGTCGACTTGGAGAAGGTAGAAACAGTAACAGAACGCTTTTATTAAATACCCTGGAGGAAAAATTCCACTGGGGGAGAACAGTTCAGTAGCGAAGTGGTCAAACGGTTTAAGTCGATTTTGACTATTCGTTGGTTTTCAATGAATATCTCGCAATGTAAGGCAGATAGCAAAATTTCTGCTATGACCTTTTTGGTAGAGCACATTGAGAGCTTCAAAAAAGATATATATGGAAATTTCGCTATCTCCCTTAGATTTGGAGATATTCATCGAAAACTCAGCTAAGAGCTAAGTGGACTTGAACCGTTTGACCACTTCACTACTGAATTCTATTGGAGAACTGAGAAAATTCCATAGAAAATTCTATTGGACACCTACTAGTCTTTTTTTCAATAGAAATCTCAAAAGAACAATATTCAGCAGAAAAAATTGGAATATGGATTTGGTTTTTCTGTACAACTCTTCTATAGAAACACCTGGACATGAATTTTTATTTTTTTTTCACTCTATTTTTCTTCCTATTTCATCAGAAAAATCAAACCAAATACTTGCAAAAATTAAAATTCTCATTCCAATAGAAATTGAAATTCTCATTCCAATAGAATAAGTTGCCTAGAACACCGGAATTCCATTGATTTTTTCTAAAACATTCCCACTGAATTTCTATTGTTCAATCTAATTTTCCAATACACTGAGCCAAAAGCTAATCTAAAGTTCAATCGAAATCCATTAGAATAATCTTTCGAATTCCCCAAATATTTCCGCGAAATTCTCTCGCACCCAGTCACCATTACCCCGAAATCGCAGGTGATCGAGGCCCTCCGAGGGAAGGACGCGGTGAACTTCGAGGAGCGCTGGGAGACCCTGCGACCGAACATGAAGGAAACAAGAAGTTGCAGCCTGAAGGAGTTGCGAGCAAGCATGGACTCAGACCTGTGGCAAGGCGTCCCCGAGGAGAAGCCCTCGACGACTCCCCAGGCTCGTTTCAGGCTGGGGCCCGACGAGTCCACGAAAAACCCCGACCTGAGGTCCCAAATAAGCCAGGAGTCCGGGTCTGAAACCGAGGAGGAGAGTTGGCGAGGGCGAGTGGAGCGAGGGGCGTACACAGAGAAAGTCAAGCAGAAGTCCAAATCAATAGCCGATCTCATGGTTCTGGTGCACATCGACGACGACTCCGAGGCCGAGTGGTCCCTGGGGCCCCAGGTGGCTGAAAAGCCGAGGAAGAAGATCAACTCCTCAGGGAGCGTTGGGGACCTGCCCTCGGTGATTGCTGACGAGTTCGACGAAGCCCTGCGAAAACTGCGAGACATAGGCGCCAGTAATGCTGAGAGGGAGCGGGGGAACGAGGAAGTGATCGAAGTGACGATCGAACCGATTCCCAGGGAGCACATGAGGGACTTCAGCTCGACCCCAAAGGCATCCAGAGCCCCTGAGCCCGTCACCGAGTCCACAAACACCTTCGTGGACGTGGAACTCTGGAAAAATGCTTTGGAATTCGAGTTGGAGCGCAAGAACACGGGATTCGAGTCCATCAACTTCGAGGAGATCATCGAATCCGAGAAGATTGAGGCAGTTCCTGACCTGCTGGAGACGTCTCCGTCGGCCCCAGACACCCCCCAGTCCCGGGGGGAGATCTCAGTGGACAACGAGGACTTCTCGAACGGCGAGGACTCCACCCCTGAGGGCAGGAGAAAACCTGGGGATCCTCACGACGAGGAGGACGAGAGGAAGCACCTGAGCACCCCTGATGACGAGAGAAGCTCGGACAGCGGCTTCAGGGACAAGGAGTCATGCGAAGAGGAGGAGAACAACGTCTGCATATTCAACTCTGGGATTCCACACTCGACAACTGAAGAGGAACAGCTCAAGATCCTTTACGAGCTTGATACCATCCTGGATGCCGAGTATTGCGGGGGTTATGAGGAGGAACGACCCTCCAACACCCTCAGGATCAGCCACGAGGACGAGAGCACGGAGAGCATAAGTCAAACCACTGAGAGGGTCAATGGGGCTTTGGTGGAGAGTGTAGATAGTGTAATTACTGTAGATAAAGAGGTAGATAATTGTACAAATGTTCGGCAGGAGGAGCCCAGTGGGTCCAATCCTTCGGGGTCAAGGGGCAGTGAGCAGGACGAGCATGAAGGTGAGCAGACATTGGCGTAATATTTAAAAGATCGGGAAGTTGATGACGTTTTATTTTTTATTACATGTAAAAGCAGTTGGGGTATATTTGTTGTTTATTATCAGGAGTTTTGTTCAACAAGTCTTACATTTTTGAATTATTAGATGATCAATTGATTCTAATTTCGAATTCATTTTTCAGTCAGGGATTGACCTTGAAAGATTGATTGCTTCGTTAATTGTCAATTGACTATTTAGATTATTCGTCATATTGGTAATTATTTTTTAATGACACGTACAACAAATTTTGTGGGAAAACTCTGCAGGCTGTTTTTACGTTTTTTTAAATAGAAAATGCTCATATTTTCCAAGTTTTTTTGGTTGTCGAAACATTTTTACAGAAACTTTGATAAAATTTGAATAGAAATCCAATAAAATTTTTGAGTGAATTCGTTAGGTTTTCTTAAATCATTTTAGGAAAAAACTTTTCTCAATATTTCTCTAAGAATATAATGTCAATGTCATTGACATTATAGTGACATTGACATTATGTTTAAATAACGTCTTAATTTTGATTATGCGTCATATTAGTAATTATTTTTTAATGACACGTACAACAAATTTTCTGGTAAAACTCTGCAGCCCATTTTTGCATTTTTTTTTACTTAAAAATGCTCCTATTTTCCAAGTGTTTTGGTTGATTTTTTTAATGAAAAAAAAAACTTTTTCAAGTTTTCTGCACTCGAGTGGAAAATTCATGTCGAGAAATTTTGACAGAAACTTTGATAAAATTTGAATAGAAATCCAATAGAATTTGGCAATGAATTCGTTAGGTTTTCTCAAATTATTTTAAGAAAAAACTTTTCTTAATATTTCTAAAATAATAATTACTGTCGATTCTCAAAGGTGAGGATGATGACAGTTCGACGATGTCACTACGCAGTGACAACTCCTATGTTTCCTTCAACCTGGACGAGGAGTTCGTGGCTGCGATCAGGAATGAGCTCAGGGAGAAGCTCCCGCGGGCTCAGTTGGCAGTGGTGGAGTCCCAGGAGCTGAGGGACGACGAGGAGCCATCGGTGAACAGTGTTCAAGACACTGACACCCCCTCCTGGGGGTCCAATGAGGAGCAGGAGAGCTCTGGCCCTGGGAACATTGACATTGCCATTAGGTACAATATCTATGGGACTCCGTTGAGCCCCATCCTGGAGGAGAGGGAGAGTGCGGTGACTTCAGAGTCCTTTGCGTCGAGGGAGGACTCCAGGGAGGCCTCTGAGGCCTCCAGGCTCTCGCTCTCTGAGGACGTTATCGTCGTGGATACCAGGACGAATAAAGTTGTCCTGGTGGAGGGAAACGAGAGGAAGAACCCTGAGGAGGATCGAGACACTTGTGGGGACATCTCCGACGACGAGAGCATGGATTACGTGGCTAATGTGGGCCAGAAGTCCCAGGTGAGAGCGCAAAATTAGCGTCGTCCTTGGTGTGTGTTGAGTCAGTGGTTAAATTACTATTTTCCATTTTTTTTTCATTTTCTGTTGTTTAAGGATATTCCGTACTTTGGCTATTTTTTCTCCATTTGACGTCAAGTTTACAATGATCTAAGTTTACGGACATTTTATATTAAGTTTATTATTTAAACCTATCAGATCTGAATTGGATCTCGATACTGAATCGTTAGAACACATTTTTGAAAATAGAAAAGAATAGAAAGTTTAGTTTGGAGGAAAATTAGTGAAATAATCCAAAAAATAAAATTTTTTTATAAGCAATCAATTTAACGTAACGTATCGAATTCATTCACATTTAGATTTTCACCATAAATTGATCTCATACCTAAAAAATAAGATTTCCAAAAGTTTAAACAATGTCAATTATTTATTTGCAAATAACGAATGGTTAAAAAAATAATTCCAGGCAAAATGGAATTTTTGTGACTTTGAATTTATAATGTAATTTAATTCCCATTCCTCTAATTTTTCAATTGACTATGAATTGAATAATTGACAATATAGAATTCTCAATTTACAGTTGATCAAATAATTCGGAATTTACATACCTACTTGATGATTAATTTAATAATTAAAAAATCGTCGAGTAATATAAGCCAACCGACTAATCCAATATTTAACTTAATTAAAAATTAATGATAACTCCGATGTTTACCGTAAAATACCTGTAAATTGATCGGTTATATTTCCGCTGCATCCCCAGTCCCAGACGAGGAGCAGAACCTCCAGTGGTGCTCCCCTGCCCAGTCCCGAGGAGGAGTCCAAGTGGCAGGCGCAGTTTCCCATTCCTCTGCAGCTCCAGGACGACCTCATGTCGACGAGTTTCAGCACTGAGCATGAGTGGGACAGCCAGGATGAGGACGAGGAGGGCGGGGGGGAGGAGAGGGCTGAGGTCGAGGACGAGGAGAACAGTTCGAGTTCGGGGGAGTTCGTGTGGAAGAGGTACAGCGAGGAGAGCTGCAGGGAGGATGTCACTCCCACGAGCCACGACGTGGGAAAAATCGAGGAGGAGGACGAGGAAGAGGAGGAGGAGTTCACGCCTTCTGCCTGGGACGCGACCCTGGCCCCTCACAGATCGGCACTGAGGTCTCCGGAGAAGAATGTGAAGAGTGGGGTAAGTTTCTGGGTGTTTTGGTGGCTCTTTGGACTTTGTTGTGAGGAGGTATTACGTAAGTCTCAGGAGTTTTGTGTTTTTTCTTGCTCCCAGGATGAACTGGTAAATTATGAATTACATTTTGATGTTTGAATGCTTGTGTTGGGGGTGGGGCTTGAGTTTCTGGGGCCGAGGAAGCTTGTGGGGGTCAGGAGTCAGAGATTGACGTGGGGATTTGCCGGGATTCATTGGGTTTGTGCATGCAATTCGAGAAAAAATTCTATTGGATTTTTATTTGAATTTTACTGGAAATTTCTCTGCAGAAAATGCCCTATAGAAATTTTTAGTTGAGACATTTTCAATTGGAATTCTTCGACGTGAATTCTCTTTCCAACTCTATTTCTCTCCTTTTTAAAAAAAAATCAAGGGAACAAACTTGAAAAATTTGAGCCGGGGAATTTGTACAGAAAATATCTCATCAGAATGTGCTTCATATAAAAATCGAATCAATGGTTTATGAATTATTTATACAAAACGGTCGCACGTTCAAAAAATTGAAAATTTTCAAATTTTTTAGAAAATTTTAGAAAACGATTTTTATTTTTTTTAATATTTTAAAAATGTTTCCTAATGAAATCAAGTATCAAATGGCTTTATGTCAGAGCACAATTCAACTACAAACCGAAAAAAAAATCCTCAAGTATTTCAACAATCGTTTCTCCATTTTTCCCCGAAAAAGCTCTCCCTCTTATCTCATCTCGAAAAATCTGACCAAATTACACCGAAACATGCATTAAAACTCTCACTCTTAAAATCCCCATTCAATTTCCTGTTCTCACCCCCAAAGGTGTTGCCCCCGACTAAACTCATCGTAAATTTCCAGGACCAGAAGAAGAACGTGTGGTTCAAGAAGCAGCGTTACCACTGCGTCTACGAGTACCCAAAGGAGACGCACACCTCGGACTTCCCGAGCCCAGCAGCGACCACCTGGGAGCCCACGACGTACGCCGACTGGGAGGAGATGATGGACGAGCCCCGCCTCGACGTCTACCCCATGGACTACGACGAGTCTAACCACCTGGGTGACGACGAGTTCTTCGTCAGCAGTGGTAATAGACCCTTCCAATTTCAAGCTGGGGACGGAAAGTACGTGAGTCAATTTTTCCCAGGGGCGAACGTTGGCCTGACACCTGACGACGACGCCACTGGACCCAGTGACAATCACCAGGTGCAGTTGGGAGAGCTGCGACACACCCGTGACAAATTGAAGCTCAATCTGCCGATGAATCAGGAGAACAATTCACTGGCCCATTTGCTGCACGACGAAAGAGAGATGGAGGAGCGATCGAACGACGAGAGTGAAGAGAGGATGGAGAGAAAGGAGAACAGCTCGGAGTCGTCCCTCTCCAAGGACGATCAGTCCATCAGATCAGTCCTGCGATCCCCAGAATTGTCGGAGAGAAGAATAGTTGAGGACGAGAGTGCAGACGAAGTGAGTGAACTCGAAGCCTCTAAGACTGAAAACCCGAGCCATACCAAATCGTCCGGGAGACCACTAGTAATATCGACTAAAGAGGAAACTGATGCTAAAGTTGATGGTGATGTTGAGGAGAATGAAGAGAATGATCAGAGGAGTCAGACTCCACGTCGGGGTGAGGGGGGAAAGCCCTCCAACATCGATGGCATCGAGACGTGCGGTGTGATCAAGGAACCTGGGGAGAACGATAATCCGGCCTGAAACGTCCATGTTTAATTTACATTGTAAATTTCAACCGTCCGGGGTGATCTTGGAGGGGAACTAGATTTATTTCGAGGAGGGGAATGGCATATGTCAAAAATGATAACACGTGTGAACAAGTGGATAGAGTAATTCTATTGGAATTCCGTTCGTTTTTGATAACTTTTTAATAGGACAAAGTCTAGACTCGACTTATTCACTATAAGTTTTATTTCTCATGACAAAATTCAACGGAAAACTTGAGCAATTGCATAATTTTCGATAAAAGTAGGGAAAAACTCTAATAGACTTTCAATTCTTGTCGAAAAATGAGAACAGCGCGTATTTAAAAAGTCGATAGAACAGTTCGATTGGAATTCTTCTCGTTTTTGATAAATTTTTCTAGACATAAAAACATCTATTGTTTTTTTCTGTTAAAAATATTTTAGCAATTATTTAAAATTGCCTAATTTTCAATCAAAGGGTAAAAAATATTACCCCAATAGACTTCCAATAGAATTCCCCAAGAATTCCAAAAGAAATTTTCTATTGATTTTTTACATGCATAAAGACAGAAAACTTTCTAGAGAGCTCAATTGGCCAAAGTCCGTCCGAAAGAACTCCTTCGCAAAGAGAATAAAAATTAAACTTCATTTCTTTCTCTTGTAAATATCCACCGAGTACACGTTCATTAATCAAGTACTCTCTTAATTTTATTTAAATCTTCAGATTGTGATAATCTGGAGGTCTTTACCGAATGTAAATATGTATTAATTTACTCGTAGATGCACCAACTGTCGTGCCTAAACATTGAATTATCCTCAGTTTCATTTCAATTCGTAGTAAATCAATCGTTATTTTATCGTTGAGCATATTAACATAGGTATTAATAATTTTGTTTTAACATTTAGTGACATAATCTGAAAGGGGTAATTTTCAAAGGTACTTTTTAATTGTTATTTGCTAGCGCCAAAACAGCTCTCTATTCGTCGAAACGTGTATTTATTAATTTCTCGAGTGAAGTGAGAAAATTAACGAGAAAAAATGATGGGGGAATATCATTTGAGCAAGTTAGCCTGTGATAATGGAAACTACGAGATAATTTTTCTTTTCTATTTGGAAATGGATCTGTGATTGATGATAAAATGGATGGAATACGATCACTGATTACTTTTTTATGTATTTACCTGAAATTTTCAATTAGATTAAAACGAGAATATGGTATTGACAATTTCAACGCACACTTTTACGTAAATTTTGTTTTTAGGAATAGGGTACACCGATTATATTGCACGAGTGAAAGAGTATTTTTTATCTCATTCTGTCGATGTAACGAATGAATACCAAAAAAAGGGGAATTAATTGGAAAGAAAAATGAGTTTTCTTACGTATTTTCTAATTGAAGAGTATTGCAATATTAATTTTACCCCATAAACTCGATATTTCGCTCATTACATTGTTGATAAAGAATGACTAAAGCATTTTATTTATAAAAATAGAAGACAACATGCTCGATAAGTTGATTTTACAGTTTCAATTAATGAAATCTCGAGGAAAATCGAGTAAACATAAGTTCTTTACAATTCAAAAGTTAAATCAAAGGTCCAGTAAACTGACTGAATGCTCTCAAAGGCAAAATATAACGACAATGAGAGGGAGGGGAAGTCACCAAATGATAGCAATTGTTATCGCTATACATTAGCAAATGTAGATGCTCGGCTTTTCCGGCTGTCGTCATTCAAGAGAACACCCAGATGCACCATCGCTACAATTTGTAGGATATTACAATGAATAGAGGACGATTAATATATTGCTATACACGTGTTGTTTATTTTATATATCCTATTTGTTATATTATTGCAGTTTTAATCGTACATTCATCATCCATAATCCCTTTGTTATTGCTGACTTCAGTTTTTGGAGTATTTTACATCCTGTTTCTCAATTATACTATTGTTTCCAGGAGACATTTTCTGTGGGAATTGCTCGACATGAATTTTCCAAGTTTTTATTGATTTATTTTTCTTCTTCTTTCATAAAAAAATAAAATAAAATAAAAAACTTCTGTAGACATCTTAATAGAATAAATTGTATAGAAATATCGAATTCTATTCGTTTTTCCTAGAGAATATTTTCTGCTGAATTTTCTGATTGTTCTTCGTTGATTTTATTAAAAAATTCCACAATTTATCTGCTCGTTTTTTTAAAATAAATGTTCAGTGCAAAAGATTTTACAGAAAAAATTCATGGAATTCGATTTTTCTATACAACTTTTTCTATTTAGATATTTTCGACAGAAATGCCTCAACCCTAAATTTTCAAGCTTGGAAAATTAATTAATTAATTCCTATAGAAAAAGTTTGATGATTTTTTTTACAAAATTGTTTCCATTGGGAATTTTAATTAAAAATACGCAGTGCAACTATGGAATTAAATTAATACAAATGACTAATAAAATTATCAATAACATTTTTTCCTCAGTGTCAATAAATGGACGAAAATTCAATTTTCTAATTATTTTTTTTAATATTTACACAACTATCTTCGTAAAAAAATATACACTGCTAGTCTGTGCTCCGATACTTTCATTTTAGGTAACACTAGAGCTCTCAGTTCTGCCATATGATAACAAGTCCCTGGTGGTCCCCAGTGGCGAGGTACGACTCGTCATAGTTGAAAGCAATTGAGAGAATTGGAGCGGAATGCCCATGTAGTCTGTTCACCTGGGCGGCTTTGCCCTCGCGAGCAGTGTCCAACAGGTGAACAGAGCCGTCTTCTGAACCACTGGCTATCAGGCACGCGCCCATCTGAGGGCAGAATGTCGACCTCACGAGATACTGCCTTTGAAAAAAACAATACACGCTTTTTATTTTTATCTGGCATCTGGAGGTCGAGAGCCTCGCACTGTAGAGTATGAATAATTGTGAAAATGTATTGTTGAGTGAGAAATTGATGGAATTCTCAAAAAAAAAGGATTTTATCCCTCAAAAATTGAGTTCAGTAACTTCGTTTTTCCGAATTTCAAACTTTTGATAACAAATTGACAAAAAACGATTTAAGTATTAATATTCTTTCATTGTTATATGCAGAGATGCGTGAGTTTAGAAAAAATCTCAATTGAAGGGGTCAATTCAATGGATTCATAATTTTTATTTTATTTATTATTCTAAAATTGAAGACGAGAAACTCTAAAAATTGACGTCCAACAATATTCATTTTAAAAAAATCCCAGCATCCATTGGACTTTCCCAGAAAAATGAAAGCTCATTTGTTATTTCATCTGCAATATTTTAAAAAATGTGGAAAAATCCATAATTGTCATTATAAATCGAAAAAAAAATCACTCACTGATGTTTAACAGGATACTTCCTCCAGACAAATTGACAAAAAACGAGTTAATTGTTAATATTCTTTCATTGTTATATGCAGAGATGAATGAGTTCAGAAAAATTCTCAATTGAAGAGGTCAATTCAGTAGATTTATGATTTTTACTTAATTTATTATTCTAAAATTGAAGACGAGAAACTCTAAAAATTGATGTCCAACAATATTCATTTAAAAAAAATCTCAGCATTCATTGGGCTTTCCCAGAAAAATGAAAGCTCATTTGTTTCTTCATCTGCAATATTTAAAAAAATGTGGAAAAATCCATAATTGTCATTATAAATCGAAAAAAAAATCACTCACTGATGTTTAACAGGATACTTCCTCCAGACACTGAGAGACCCCTGAGCATCCCCAATCCTGTAAACGGAGACTGCATTGCAGGCGCTGCTGACGAGAACACTGGGCCAGGGGGACTCCCTGGAGAGCCAGGGTCTCCAAGACAGACTGGTGACAGCTCCCCCGAGGCCCTCGATCCTCCTGAGCTTGGAGAGTCTCCCAGAGGCGGGCTCCAGACGAAGACTGGTGATGGTTCCCCTGTCGTTTCCAGTCCAGATTAAAGAGCCTCCACTCTCCTCGCACGTCAACGAGAGCACTTTCCCCCCGATCTTTGTCGTTCCCCCTCTGGGGTAAATCCCGGTGGAGACGTTGAGTATCTGCAGGAGTCCCTGTCCATTCCCAGTGATGACGAGGTTGTTGTTAGCTGGGACGAAGGCACAGCAGAGTACCTCAGACCTAGGGATGCAATTAATAATTAATTGTTAATGATTAATCATTAATAATGATAAATAATTGATAATTAAGTATTATTATTAATTATTAATCATCAATTAATCATTAATGATCAACAAATTTATTACAGTTCCAAATTGAAATTATTTTCATCACATTTATATTCCTGATTTTTACTTAATTGAGGACTTGAATAATTCCATTTTACTTCACTCTCCCTCTTCCCAAATTCTGAGAAAATCCTTGAAATGAAATGACAGCATGTGTGAAATTAAATAAAGAAATGAAATGAAATAATAGAAAAACTTGGTGAATTCGTTAGAAAAATCTATTGGGATTGTATTAAAATTCTAAGGAATTCTCGTTAGAATTCTATTTGTTTTTTGCGCTGATTCTATGAGATAATTGATAGGAAAATGTAAACAGACTTCGATTTTTCTACATGAATATTCTCTTGGAATTTTTTCCATAAGAATACTTGGCCATGATTTTCCAAGTTTTTTTCACTCGGATTCTGCAATGCAAGACAAAGCAAAATGTAGCCAAAAAAATTAGAAAATCCGTACCCAATAGTTTTAATTAATAGAAAAAATCTCAAGAGAAAAATTCAAACCGAAATCTATTGATTTGTTCAATAAATAGAATTTTAACGAGAATTACATTATATTAATCCGATAAAATTTTTCATCTCCGATTTTTATTCTTTGCTATTTTGTCCATACATTCTATCAAAATGTGAGGATAAAAATTGAATTGATGGGTATTCTTTCACTATTTGAAAAAATATCAATTTTTATTTTCTCGCGAATCGATCATCATCCCAACAAAAAGTATCAATACTCTCTTTATTATTCATCATAAACATCTCTTCATTTGAAAATGAGAAAAACTGTTCCCCCAATTTGCATACTACAATGGGAAGAATCCAATAAATTTAATGTAATCTAACCGCAAAGAAAAATTGGAAAGAAAGCAATAAAATAAATTAGTATAATATAATACAGTCTAGTTCTCCATAATTTGAATAGAATTTCTAGGGAATTCCAACAGAATGTTCTCCCGAATTCGCAAACATTTTTTCTATTGATTTTTCTATTATTCTATTGAATTTTGTCATACGTGTCGGTTCAGACGTCTCCAGAAGCTTCTAAACCTCAATTTTCTCAAAACTCGAAAACAACAGTAATTTTCAATTCCCAATTGCTACCTGAATTGATCGGCGACGACCCTGAGGCAGTTGGGGGTGGCATCCCCGTGGACTCCCCAGAGCCGAACAGTGGCATCCAGACTCGTGGAGACGATGAGATCGTTGCTGATGCTCCAGTCAATGCCAGTCACCCCCTTCCTGTGGCCCTCGAGCTTGGCCACCACCCTGGGGGGCATATCTGTGACACTGCAGATGGATATCGTCCCATCGAAAGACGCGCAGCACAACTTCGATCGGTCGTTGTTGGCGAATTTCAACGCTGTGACCCCAGCAATGTGTTGATCGAAGACGTGGTGTACCCCGGCGAACGCGAAGCTCTCGGCAGTGGATTTTTTGCTGAACCTGGGATGGACCGACCTGTCCTCGAGGACGCCGTCGACGGAGGCGCGCGAGCCGAGGCCGTTGTACTCGGATATCGTTCCGTAGCGGAGTTTCAGGAGCTCGGAGCGCAGTTTCACGTACGTGGGGCGCGGGGAGGGACTCTTGGACTCCTTGTCCCGGAGGAGTTGCGACCTCCGGCGGATGTAGAGCATCCCGAAGGCCGGCTGAGCGCCGTTGCGACGAGTGTTGTATTTGGCGTCCAGGGCGAACACCTGCTGCGGCCACTGGGGAAGCATCTTCGAGGGGAGGGCTGCAGTCATCGCCACTGGACTCAGGAGAAGTGCGCATTTACACCGAATTGTTTATTCGAAAATTGTCTGTTTGAAAATTTGGGTTTCTTCGGTGGTAATTGAGGGGTAAGTGAAGGCCACCGTTTCCCTGGAATTTTCAAACAAATTTCCTGCGCAAAGTCATTAATATTTTTGGCATCTAAAGCACATTGATCTTCATCGTCGCCTCCTGGAGATTAATGTACTTTGATTTGTCAATATATTGATAACTTGCAGCAGATTTGCTCGAAAATTGATACTTGATACCACCCTGGTAACACAGTCCGATTATTTCTGACTGGGTGATAAAAAAGGAATCGGCGTTAATGATGTTTCTGTCTTTGCCTGTTAAATTCCGATTGACTGGTAGGTAGAGTTTGGAGTTTGAGAAAATTATGAGAATTAATAGGATCAGGGGTATGTGTAAATAACATTTATTGCTCATTTAAATATTTATATGCGTAATATGAGATCTATCAACCACTTTTTCGGAAAGTAATCGGACGATAACGGCCACATACCCTTGTTCCCATTAATTTTCATAATTTTCTCAAACTCCAAACTCTACCTGTCAGCCAATCGGAATTCAACGGGCAAAGACAGAAACATCATTAACGCAGATTCATTTTTTATCACCCGGTCGGAAATAATCGGACTGTTTTACCAGGGCAACCTCCCCTATTTATCAAAATGAAAATGTTTTATTATCGTAAAATAAATAATTCATTGTCCCTCCTCTTAATTGGGCTGTACATCCCAATGCGTTTAATATTGGGAGTCGATTGTAAAGATTGTAAAATCAGAGAGAGTCAAGTTTGAGTGCAATCCCGACTAAACAATGATTTCTACTCAAACTTACAAAATAGTCGGAGGAAACCTTTGGTCTGTCGTCGTTATTCCAGAAGTCGTGTGGAGCTAGGGCTGCTGGTGTCTTCAGTTCATAGTCGAAGGTCATGCTGAAGATTGCTGACATGACTTCAAGACCTGCAATTGATAATTCCATCGTTTATTAACGAATATCTCATTAGAATTGTTACATTCGAACTAGAAATGTTGAAATCTTGAGAATTAATTTGATCCTTAGATGAGAGTGAGAATGGCTAACCTTGAAGACATTCTCATGATGAAAATGAGGAAATTCTGACTCACCCCTCAACAATAAATCAATTCCATCTTCGTCTTTCTCTCATTGCATTAATCATTAATCAACTAATACGACAGTTTTCTCCCCCTTCAGGTTTTGCTGTATTGACATACGGACGAAGTGTCTTGCCCCTTTTCGGCTTACCGACGACTGTACTCAAGTCAACTGAACATGAGTCATGTCACAGAATAGATAATGTAAACCATCAAATTAGACACACGCATAAATTACGACGGAAAATTTTGCAATGTACCAGTATAATTGTGGACATGGAAAAGGACTACAAGTATTTTGTGACATGAGAAATGATGAGAGAATAAATTGGAGTGCAATAATTGGGCGCGAAACTGAGTGGGAATTCAAATTGACTCCACACCATTAATTTTACATTGTTTACTATACAGAAATGAACCATGTGAAAAGGACCGCTCTCAATCATCGGGACTCTGATGAAACTGTTGATATTATTTTCTGAACACGGAATGCAATATTAGATATTATGTACGGAGGGATTCTATTGAAAATAAAAGGGGCAAGAAAATTATACACAATGGTAATGTGCTGTTAATTTTCCCCACATGAAAGTTGAAATTATCCACGCATAACTTGGGCACATGTTAAATGTACTCAATTGTTTATTTTTCATCACATCTCACTACATTCTTTTGCACCGATAACTAAGATGGTATTCAATTTTCTAAAGGGAGTATGTAAATAGTGGAATTTCCTGCCCGAAGGTTAACCGTCGAAATTTTCCAACAACACATTCCAAAACTGGAATCCGATTATTGGAAGGTATTTATCAAGTTTGCTCAATAAAAGAAAGGATTGCCAACAGCGAGTGCAGAGGTAATAAAATTTTAGCGATTCTATACTGACCGTTCAAGTTGGAAGATAATGGGAACGCGAAAAATGTGCATGATAGCTCGTTGCTATGTGCATATCTTAGTAAATATTGAATAAATTAAATTAATAACTGCATAAGTGGGAAGCGGATTGGTGATTTATATAGTGTAACTAAGGACACTCCGTCTAAGTGGCCGCATTTCTTATTAGTTGATGGAAAATCAGTTGAGGGTAGTGGAAGGGTATAGTAGACACTTCTTGTGTCGTGTCTAAATACTTGATACTTGATTGATACTTGAACTTGATAACTCTCGTTGTTTTTATGAGGTTATCGGGCGCGACTTGGCTGATACGCTACCGCGTATCTCGATATTGTGCCCCAAGGACAGAAAGTCATGCTTTCCCCGCCGGAGGTGCACATGCTATTTTTTAACACGCCTGCAAAGAATAGCTACTTTCATCTCAGGTCCGAAAAAACATTTCTGACGAGTGGGAGATTTGCAGAAGGCGAAGCCGAAGAATGCAATCACACGAATCAGAATAGTATATTTGGTCACTAGGCCGAAATAGTATATTTTCCACCAAGGGAGGAAAATAAAGGAGTCGTGCCCACGGGTAGAATTACCACCCGAGCCGAAAACGAGGGTAGTAAGCACGTGGGTAAGGGTCCTTTATTTTACATCCCGCGGTAAGAACGTTATTTTTCGTCACGGCGTAGGCGGAAAGTCAGATTTTCCCTCCGCGAAGCGAAATACAATTTCATACAATTTTCGATCGAATGCGCAATGTTATTCTATAAATTTTTTGCGCGCACGATGAATTTGATTTTGATTATGCGGAAATTTAGCAGAAGATAGAAGAATGGAAAACACTAAATTACCAAATATTAGTCTTTATTTCATGATTTTTATGATTATTATCTGAATCTTGATACATTAATTATTACAAAATATTATTTCACTTCTAAAAGGTATTCAAAATTAGATTGATAAATTTACAATAAATGGCAATATATATGATTATTTGGCTAATTCTCAACCTCAACTCCAGTATTGAGGGCAGTGCAGCTTTACTATTGATCTTGCAATGTCCACATTACCTGTGAATAGCACATTATTGAGAGCTAGAAACTGCGATTTTCTATGGAATACCGAATTCATCTGATAGGAGATGAAAATAGCATAACAAAATATCTTATTTACCTTTCTGCAATTCAATGTAGAGTGCCAGCATAATTACGTGTATTGGTATATCACAGTCGGGCCCTTTTGATACCCAAACTTCTTTAAGTGTTTCACTGGATTTATCTAGTTCGCCTCTGGTGGCATAAGCCACTGCTAAATTGTAACGAAGTATCGCTTTTGCTGTCACAAGGCTGGTGGGAAACCATTCTAAAATGTTTATATTATTGATTGAAAAATTATGGATAGCCTTTTTAAAGCTTGTTATGGAAAATATGAGATATGGAAAAAATTGATAAGAATAAATTACTTTTTGTATTAATAAGCTTCTCTTGAGTCTTATCTCTATCCAACGCATCTGGAACAGGTATGGATGTATTTAAATCCTCAAAATTTTCTATTTTGAGATGATCAATAGCTTCGTTAATTTTATCCATTAGAATGAGACACTCAGCAGCGTAAAGATTTCCCAGCATTCTATACGCTCCTGGGATTTTTTCGATGGCTAAAAGAGATTTTGAATGTTCTAATGCAGCGATGTAGTCTCCTAGACATAACGAGACATATGCGGAAGCTCCAAGGATCGCGATTTTCAGGTTTGAAGATTCAACTGCGGTTACTTTCGAAGTTACAGGTATTATAGGAGCTGCTGCTGGAGGATTGCCTGAAAAATAATATCCAGTGTGATAAATGGGATCATTTTCTCTGTCGGACAGAGAAATTCGGCAGTGTTTGAATCTATCTGAGGCGGATGTTCGTATTTGTTCGAATTCGTCATATATGAGGAACAAATATGAACCTACGTCTGAGACAGATCAGATGAAGCATTGTTGGAAGACCAATGTCCGATCAAGAGCATGAAAGCGACAAAGATCCCAATAACTATTTCAAATTTTGGTGGCATTTCCGAATAGAAGCATTGCAATCCTTCGATTTTCACATTCTCTAATTTTTATTGTAAATGATGTAGAATGGTCTGAAACGTAAAAATACGAAGTTTGGCAACCGTGTCTGTATATGACTACGTCCACCGCCACCTTCCCGGTGGTCAATTTTTAGAAAATTGAGTAATTAAGTGACTAAAATAATTTTAAAAAATCTGAAATTTTATTAGATTGTAGGTCTTAATCAGGACTAGCTCTACGTGCAAAATTTCAGCTCGATCGAGCTAATAGTTTTTGAGAAAAAGCGATTCATTTTTTAATCGTTTTCCGTAAATATCTTCAAAACTAGCGGACCGATTTTAATTTTTTTTCAAAATATTCGTTTCGACGCCTTCTATCCAAATCAATCAAAACATATATATCCGTTCATACAAAGTTTTCGAGATATTCCCGTTTTTCCGTCTTTTCATAAAAAACTTTGTAAACACTCTAGCTTGTGCAAAAATGGGGATATCAACTTGAAATTTGGACAGAAAATATATATACCCGCTCATACGAAGTATTTGAAACATTGGAATTTGAATTTGAATTGTGTTTTAATTAATTCATTTCAAGTACCTAGAATATGACCAGGCGATGCTAGAGACACAATTGCTGATTGTAGACCGGATGTTACCGCTGAACTGACCGATGGATTAGGTGGTGATGGTATACTGAAAGTTCGTGTCGATTGTTCTTCTTCTGGCAGAGTAAAGAGTGCATTTTTCAGACATAACATTCCGAATTCCAGTGTTGGCTGTGGAATTGCGTAAGATAGATTCTCGACATGATATTGCGTGTCTTTACTTAATGCTGAAGCTAGAATGATTTTTCTATGTGCTCCAGTACCAACGACTTTTTGCACCATGTCCTCTCGTCTCTTGGGAATGTCGAAATCTACTTCATTCGAAGGTTTATGGCAGTATATGCAGCACTCTGCTAATTTCAACCACAGGGATGGGCTGTTGTGGAGTTTTTGTGCTGCTTCAGTAAAACAATCAAAAGCTTTTGTTGCTTGTTCCGCTTGGAGTAATGACACACCCAGACTGAACATCAATTCGTAATGCCGATCACCGCCTAAAGTATATAAAGGTTGAGATGACATAGGATCCGTCTCTTTTACCCGAACACTTTCTACAGCTTTCTTATTTTCTTCCAAGGCTTTTTGAAAATAAAATGCTGCTAAATTGGGTTTCCCGTTGGCATAATTTATACAAGCCACATTGTTGTAATACAAAACGGCTGCTGATTCTCCGCAAATTCTATGGATTGAAAAAAGCATAATATATAAGGGTATTCGCGTACGAAAAAATTTAGTAAAACACCTAGCGTATTTGTTGCGAAGAAAAATATCGAATAGACACTATTTTATAGAAAACATCGGTAGAAATTGATCTTTCTATATAATTTATTGTACTGAGGTATTTTCTATAGAAATCCTTTTGACCTAGTCGTCAAAAAATTAGAAATTAAAAAATAATCACGTTAATTAACGGTCACGTTTCCTTGGTCACTCCCCCAACGCCGGGAAGCCGCTACGGAGCCGAACTGACGGAGGCTAAACTATGTGGCTTTCTGTTCTGAGGATACCCATTGTCGTCACCTTGGAGAAAAATCTCTTCAGGATCAAGAGTACGACAACGAGGACGGGGGTAGGAGAGCCACAATTAGGGATTGCCTGACGATGAGGACACCCTATGACGGCGCGGTTGGGGTCGCGGACCGAAATCTCGTGGAGGGTCACCTGCGATTCCGCGAATTCCTCGGGATCTACACGTGGTGTAGGGAGAAGATCCTAACTTATCGGATTCGATAGGCGAAAATAATCGATCCCACCCGAAAGGATCTTCGTGCCGCGAGCCAGACAATGCCTTGCGGGAGTCGTTCAGCGAACGTGATTGAGACCGGTCATCGGCAGGGCTGCTGAAAGTTCAGCATTGTTGAATCTTCTTAAAGTTAAAGAATTATCAATCTTGTCATAATTAATCGGTTTATCGAATTAGAGTCAGTTTACTGGATCATCGTCGGGGAAATCAGACAGGTCAGAGCTGAATGAGCAATAAAAATTACAGTCGAGTTCTTTATATTCAAATTTATAATGAATTATCAATTAATTCGAGACTACTCCTTCTCAAACTCGTGAAGCCGACCTTGAACTTCCAATGGAATTATTTTTTTGCCAATTGTGTTACTCACATTCAGATTGCATAATTTCTTTATTTGGAAATACATTGATTTTCCCCAAAAATTAAGTACTGTTTGATTGATTTGGTGCCGACTAACGAACGTAAGGGGTTTCGTTCCCCTTCACCCTTGAGTGATTGCTTCTGAGCAGGGTTGGAGTTTATTAGTTCTCCGAGGAAAATTATTCTAACAAAAAATAAATAATTGGCGCCCATCTGGCAGAATTAGCAGTTAAGAGAATTTATTGGATGGGAAAAAGTCCGTCATCAAAAAGTTGCCCCACTCCTCAATTCGCCCCCCCCCCCCCC